ATAGCTTTCCCCATCGTTTGTGTTCAGTTCCAACGCGTCTCACTGGCTCAGCAGCGCGCAGCGAATGCCCCCGACTCCACTCCCGTCGAGCTTCTTGTGCCTTCATTATTGCTGTTTGATAAACTACCTTTTGTCGCGCGGCGCATTGTGTCTTTGTTTTTGCTGCATTGGACCTACCCCACTCGGCTGGTGTTTATCCGTGGAACCCAGGAATTCATGGAAGGCCCCGCAACATGAGGTTCTTGAGTACGTCGTGGTCTTAAGGTGCGCGCTAGTATCCTCGTTCTCTGGCAAAGTAGCGCGCTAACCATGACCTTCCGTATTTCGTTCATCTAGACTCGTTTTTAAGAAAAGAATCTTAACACGCAGTTGTACACTCTGCATGGAATTCCAAGCTCATGTCCCGACAGACGTGATCGACAGCTTCTCGCTCGCCCACGCTGTTAACGGCTCTGAGGCCTGTCAATCCGTTTCCGTTCCCGTTCGTTCGTCTGCCCCAGAGGCGACGCTTCTTGCTTGCCTCCCTTTCTCAGCAACAGCAGGCTGCCGTGCCGTCGATCTGGCATCTCGTACTTACCGTCCATAGTTACTCCGGGGAACAGCTACGCTTCCGCCTGTCCTTCGTACCACTCTAATCTACAGTTTGTGCCCAGGCTCCTGGTACCTGGCAGTACGCCGGCCAAAACGTTAACATTATGATTGACCCAGGATCTATCATCCTTTTCTCATCATCAACACGCTGTCAAGATGAGGGAAACGTCGAGAGTCAAATTGTGTGTCCTGTGTAAGCAGCCCGATGTTTAGGTGGAACATATGCTACGTCCGAAATACATCTCGTGCACCCATGCCAGTCTGCTGAATTATTCATGTTAGCATGCAACCAGCGTAAAGCGCTGTCACAATGAGGACCAAACATGTGAGTTATGTAAAACACTTCGGCGCAAGTATAGAATGACTGTGTCAGTGTCATTAGCCATAACATCTTGACTTCAAAAAATTGTAGACATTCACTCTGGTCCATTACAGCAAGAATGGAGAGATAATTTATATTTTTTTCCAATATTATTGGAAACACAGAATACATGGTTGGTGTTAGTTGTAGGCGTACATGTGTCTAGTAAGTACAAAAAGAAAGCCTAAGGATATGCATATGATAGTGGTATGAGTAGATGCGTCTAGAAACAATGCAACAAGAAAACAATCAGAAGTCTTCGTCGAGGACACTGGAAAAAGAAAAGAAGTCAAGTCAGCTGAAGGCTCAAATGCAACTTAAAAGCGCGGGAAAACGTACAAGCTCTTCGAGGAATTTGACGTCGACTCCATTGTTGACGACGAGTGGTTGATGCCAGCCTTGGAGTAGTCCGATACGCGCTTCTCGAAGAAGTTGGTCTTGCCTTGTAGCGAGATCATGTCCATGAAGTCGAAGGGATTCGACTTATTGTACACCTTCTCATTGCCCAGCGCGACGAGAAGGCGGTCAGCGACGAACTCGATGTATTGGCACATGAGCTCGGCGTTCATGCCGATGAGTTTGACGGGCAGGGCATCTATATTATTGGGCGTCAGCTCCACTTGCCGCGTCTTGTGAGAGAAAAGGATAACTGACCTGTCAGGAACTCCTGCTCGATGGTGACAGCCTCAGTAATGATCATCTTGACCGTGTCGGGGTGGGGCCGGCGCTTCATATGACTGAACAAGAGGCAAGCAAAGTCGGTGTGCATACCCTCGTCGCGACTGATGAGCTCGTTGGAGAAGGTGAGGCCGGGCATAAGACCGCGCTTCTTCAGCCAGAAGATAGACGCGAAGGAGCCCGAGAAGAAAATACCCTCGACGGCGGCGAAGGCGACAAGACGTTCAGCGAATATCGAGTGCTTGTCAGAGATCCAGCGGAGGGCCCACTCGGCCTTGCGCTTGATACATGGAACGGTTTCGATGGCGTCGAAGAGGTAGTCGCGCTGGGCAGGGTCCTTGATATACGTGTCGATGAGGAGGGAGTAGGTCTCGGAGTGGATGTTCTCCATCATGATTTGGAAACCGTAGAAGCAGCGGGCCTCGGCGGCCTGGACCTCATTGGAGAAACGTTCGAGGAGATTTTCGTTGACAATGCCGTCGGAAGCGGCGAAGAAGGCGAGGACGTGAGAGATGAAGTGGCGCTCGTTATCGTTGAGGCGGTTGTTCCAATCATGGACATCCTTGGAGAGGTCCATCTCCTCAGCCGTCCAGAAAGAAGCTTCGGCCTTCTTGTACATTTGCCAAATCTGGAACGCGTCGGTATGAGATAGCAAAACGCGTCAACAGGTATACACACCTCGTTATATTGGATAGGGAAGAGAACGAAGCGCCGACGCGACTCCTTGAGGAGAGGCTCTTCGCCTGGGTGAAGGTCAGGACAGGAAGACGCGTCAAAGAGTAAAGCCACATACTCTCTGGCAGGTCAACATCGCCAACGTATTTGCGAGGGATGGACAATGGATCCTCCTCCGCGGTGCCGGTCAATGACTCGGGTGATTGGGGAAGCCTGGCATCATCGATGAGTTTTGTCGAAAGCTTGGTGGGTGTCTCGAGGGTGAATGAAGCAAGGGCGGCAGCAGCCTGGACATGAGTGGTCAGTGACGCGACGCGATGGCTGCGACGTGGATGCAAGTACCTTCTTGCTGGGAGTGGGTCCAGGAGAGACGGGGCGGGCAACGGTGGCCATTGGTGTAGCAGAAGAGTAGTGAAGTACTGAGTAGAGTCCGAGGAGGGGAGTCGCGCAAAGAGCAGGGTTGAGCACCCTCAACGCTATTTATGGGCAACTCGGTGTGGTTGTGTTTGGCCAGCGTTCAACAACGCGTCGCGACCCTTTGCTTCTATTTGTAATTAGCAACACGCTACACGTGACTGTTACGTCACGCATCTGTGACGGACACACTCCATTTTTGCTCCTCTCCCTGACTCATCAAGGACGGCTGGCGGTTCTCTGGGTTCTTTCTTGGTCAATACACCCATTCACGGTCGCTTTTCCATGGTTTCTGAGCTCGCAGTCCGCACGACCAACGGTGCACTTCATCCTCAAACCTTGAAGCAACGTCACGCCGAACCCCAGCCTAACGACTCGCGTACCCTCTTTGTGGGCGAGGTGGATCTTCCCGAATGTGAGTTAATCACATCCGTGATTCTCCTGTCGCCTCGTGTCGTTCCACTTTTTCTAACCTTTCGGCCGAACAGACGAAGAGCCGTTACTGAAAGTATCTCCGCGCCGTTTTGTTCTCTTTCCGATCCAATACGACGAGGTCAGCATCATCATTCCCTGTCACTGCTTCCAAACATTCATCATTCTTTATCAGATATGGGCCTTCTACAAGAAAGCTCAGGCCTCATTCTGGACCGCTGAAGAGATTGACCTCCAGCACGACTTGTGGGACTGGGTCAAGCTAACTCCAGGCGAGCGCCACTTCATTTCACATGTCCTTGCCTTCTTCGCCGCCTCGGACGGTATCGTCAACGAGAACCTCGTCGAGCGATTTTCGAACGAGGTCCAAGTCGCTGAAGCCCGCTGCTTCTACGGCTTCCAAATCATGATGGAAAACGTCCACTCTGAGACGTACTCCCTCCTCATTGATACTTACATCAAGGACGTGAACGAGCGCGAATATCTCTTCGACGCCATTGAGACGATACCCTGCATAAAACTCAAGGCGGACTGGGCTCTGCGCTGGATCACGGACAAGCATTCGACGTTTGCCGAGCGTCTCGTTGCGTTTGCGGCAGTCGAGGGGATTTTCTTTTCGGGCTCGTTTGCTGCCATATTTTGGTTCAAAAAGCGTGGGCTCATGCCCGGCTTGACCTTTTCGAATGAACTCATCAGTCGAGATGAAGGAATGCACACCGACTTTGCCTGTCTCGTGTTCACACACCTAAAGCGTCGACCACACCCTCAGACTATTCTCAACATTATTACAGAGGCTGTTGAAATTGAGAAGACCTTTTTGACTGGTATGCCTGTTTTATCGCACATTTTCTTCGCGATTAATGGAGCTCTTAGATGCTCTTCCTGTCGCGCTGATTGGGATGAACGCAAACCTTATGTGCCAGTACATTGAATTCGTCGCCGACCGCCTTTTGACCTCTCTAGGCAACAATAAGCACTATGGCTCCGCCAATCCCTTTGACTTCATGGACATGATCTCCCTTCAAGGCAAGACAAACTTCTTTGAACGACGCGTCTCAGAGTATGCGAGGGCCAACATTGAACACTCGCCGGCCATGTCCCGTTCAACCTCCTGCTCTTCTAATAAGTTCTTGTGAGTGCTCGAGATTAACTTGATTGACCGATTAACTGAAACGTTCCTAGCTCAACGGCGGAAGACTTCTAAGCACCATGATCCTCATGATAATTCTATGCTAGACGGAATATTGAATCAAGATGTAATATAGCCCCACCAACCCCATACTATTCAAGCTACTCCACTCTCTTGCCTGTGCCATAGTTTATTGAAGTGCCATACTTGTTATCATAAATTCACGCTACGTACTCATATCTCCTCTCAATCGTCGTACTAATGATCATTTAATAGAGCTACAGGTAGGATACACACGACTCGTATCTTTCTGCGAAAAGTGTCGTCGAGAGGACTCGACTCTGAACATTAATATTATTTCTAATTCCACGCTGGCTCACAATGTTGGTATTGATAGTAACGACGTCTCCACTCCAATGCAGTGTCAGAATCCAGAACTGCACCAGGAAGGTCTTCGCTGGTAAGTTTTGAGAAGGGTTGATAAAACTCTTGACCTTTTTCCATGCCAGCAAATATCTCTTCCATCCTGGCCACTTGCTCAGAAGAGGGTGGCTCCCTGCCCTCTAGCTCGAGCTGTTCGAGGAAACCATGCAGGTCATAGACAGTGCCGACTTTCGTTGAATAACTCGCATGAATCACAACTTCTTTGGCACTTCTCTCCTCCTCGCTTAACGACTTCTCGGCACGGAGGGCTTTGATTTCTTGACGAAGTTCATCCACGACGCTCTTGTGATCCGGCAAAATCCATATCGGTTGAGACCTCCGAAAAGACTGCATAGGAACATGAACGTCCATCCATCGTAAGTCCCATTCAAATCCATAGGACTTTGTGGTACAAAGGGTACAATACGATCTCCCCAAGGTTGGCCTTCTTTGCGAAGCTCAGAAGCATAGGCCGCCTTCAGCGAATAGCGGCAGAGTCGAATGCAGGTGACGAACGTGACTCCATTCTCATCGTCGAGCAGCGGGCTCAGATAGTCAATGAGGCCCTGCAATACCTGTGGTGTCGTGAAGTAAGACAAGCTCACAGCGTCGATATCGCGCTGGCTGCTGTCCAGGGTGACATGAGTGAAGGCGATTGGAGGACTTTCCGGGGCACCAGGGTAGAAAGAGTTGAATGCGGGATGGATAAATGCTTCCAGACCATGAAAAAGTTTGGGATTGTCACAAAATGCAGTTCTGACTTCGTCTTTCGTAATTGAGGTGTTTAGAACCACGAGTCGCCGCAACCTAGGAAGAGTGGGGGAAAGTTGCTGAACGAAAGCCATGGACACTGCTTTGTTGTGCGATAACTTCAGGACCTCGACGTTCGTATGTGACGATAGAATCTTGCTGATTTGTTCATGCCGAAGACGATATTGGGAGAGATCCACGACTTGATCGTTTTTAGTCTCCAACTCGATGATCTTGTTGAACAAATGAAGCAGGTTGTCTTCGATCCGATCCTGGGCGAGAAGATATTTCTTTAAACGAACAATGTCGAAAGGCTCAGAAAGGATCTTGTCGATGTCAAAAGCTGCGAGGTCTGCATCGACGCCAGCGGGCATGACGGAAGAAGGGACACGTCCTCGTTTCTGCACTGTTCGATAGTCGCTTGGCCAGACCTCTTCGAGGACATCGGTGGAAATAAGGGGAAGAGATTCCAATGGGCGAAGGGCGGACTGCACTTGCGCCTCTATACCGTTCCCCCGTCAGCTTCGTCTTCTTCTTCTTCTTCCAACTCTGCTGGTTCTGGATAATATGTACGGATGTACTGCCTCGCGTTGATTGATTTCGGTCTCGAGAATTTGACATAGCAGTAGGACGGTGACTCCAGGATTGTTAAATCAATGATAGTTATCCCGTCATTGTTATCTGTGTGAGATAATGGAATTCGTTCAAATGGTACTAGAATCGCACAAATGCAAAACGTACCACCGTCAAAACTCGCCATGCTGGCTGGAAGGATAATAGAATCCGGGGCGTACATCGCTTCATATGGCTCGCCACTGAAATTAACGCACCAGGCGACACAGGCTAGAAATTGAAGATAAGGGCACAAGACACGGGGAAGCTTTTGTTGGGGTTCCAACGATCCATATAGCTCGTTGGCCGAGCGAATTTCGTCCTGAATGATCTCGGAGTTGTCCCTCTGTTTGACCAACGCCATAAAGCGAGTGACTGCCTTCAGAGCAAGGCACCCGTATGTCCACTGGTGGTGTAGTGCAGCGATGCAGCGGTATCGTGCTTTGCTGGGCTTTCCATCGGGGACGATGCGAGCAATGAGAAACACCTGGTGTCTCTGACCCATGATGAAACGCGATAGGGAATTCAGAATCCAGTCATCGCCTTTTAAGAAATCCGATGAAATCAGGGAAGGCAAGTGTCAGTGTCAAAGTACAGATATACCTGGGACAAGGAGGGTAATGACGTCACAGGCGATTTCTAGGCTGCATTAGGTACATTTTAACGTTATCGAGATCAATTCTTCCTGGGCTCAGAGGCATATTCTTTGCGTACCTGTTTCCAGTATAATGCATTTCAAAGTAAAGCATGTGCCCTACAAGATCTTCATTTTTGATCCTAGTGAAAGGCTCGAAGTAAGAGCCACTGTCGGATGTCAATCACTGTGGGTCCTGACCTATTGAAGTTCGGCAGTGTCCAGCCAACCACACAAGGGAGCTCAATGTGCTATATAGCAGGAGATGCGTAGATGAATTCGCAGGATTTATGCGTCCAATCGATGCGCTAGCACAGAAGTGAGGATTCTGATAGAGAAAAGGAGATAACATTGCCGTTTTTGAGGGAAAAGACGCCGAATGTCGGTGGACTCTAGGAGGAAAAGGGCGCCTTGTTCTCAGCTCGCAATGGACACCCAGGAGCGTGTGGCGACGATATTACGTAACCTCTTCTCGCGTTCTCATGATCAAGAAGAACGCGGTTTGCTATTTCGCGGCACTTGATAGAAACGATGGCGATAAATCCCTGGGTCTCTTTTCTTCAGGCATCAGCACGTCCGCCACGATCCATCCTCTACTGGCTCCCAACAGGTATTTTTCTGGGCAACTACTTCTTCCATGTCAACACTATAAGCGGACGCAGCATGCAGGTGGGTTTGTCCACTTTAAGATACCGTCCTGCAGCTCGCTGACGTTGTTTAGGAAGCCAACCCTTAATCCCGATTCTTCACCCCGGAGGGATGTGGCTCTATTCAGCCGCTTTGCTGTCCATACACAGCACGACTATGGGCGTGACGACATCGTAACTTTCAGGCATGTTGGTTCACTTCCTAGGTTCAGTAGGCATAGCTAATCTCACGAACAGGTCACCAGAGAACCCCGAACGTTTACTCATAAAGCGGATTATCGCAGAGGAAGGTGATGTCGTCCGGACACTGCCTCCATACCCTGACCAGGAGGTCACTGTACCCCAAGGGCATGTCTGGGTAGAAGGTCGGTCGCTCAGGTATTGTTGACGCACACTTCAAGTGACATGGTTTATAGGCGACGAGCATTTTCTAAGTGATGATAGCAACCGCTTTGGTCCAGTGAGTCCATGAACGCCATTACTCTCCATCCATTTGTCTTATTCATAGGTGTCCCGAGGACTAATCGAGTCGAAGTTGATTCTTATCATCTGGCCAATGAACCGCTTTGGGTGGCCGAAGAAAGCTAAGTCCTCGAAGGAGGGAGGACCACTCGACCGACAAGCTTTAGATGAACTCAGGAGAGAAACAGTTCGGCTTTCTAGAGTCAAGGTCCCCACCCCATCTAGCTAGTCCTATGGCTTGATCTTATCTACCACAATACCATCTCAACATAATTTCCGTCAGGCGTTTAAATCCTCGTCGTGACCGAGGATCATATTTGCCTCAGGGGATCCAGCCATTGGGACGTCTCGGCGCAACGAAACAGAGACAGGCGAAACACCCTCCCGATGCGCCAACGCAAATATAACATCCATGTCTAGACGCAAATCGTCAGCCCCCGCATTTCTCGTATGCACCGACCATCGCTACATACCTTCTAGGGAGCGCCCAGCGGTTTCTGAAGACCGTCAGCATTTAATGAACATTTTGAAGGCTGCTGCGATTACCTGGAAAGAAGAAATACACGGGCGGAATGATAGCCGCATTCAGGACGGCGAAAACTAGAACAAGATGAGACTCCCTCAGACCGAAGGGGCGTAGAACTTACTAATATATGTCCTCCACGAGATGTTCTCGAATGCGGGGCCAGTAATCATAACGACAAGGAAGTTGAAAGTCCAATTGCTAGCCTACATCCTAGTTTCATTCGCGGTTTCTACACAGGTTTACATGTTTCACTTACTGTTGAAAGCGCGTTAGCAGGCCCTCGCACACGTAGTCCAACAATTTCAGCGGGCTGCGCAAATTCAGCAGCAATTCAACGCGAAGGAAGGACGACCCGCCTACGTAAAGCCATGTCATTCCGAGCCACCCCACGGCAAAGAATGAGTTGAAAACGAAGAGCAGAACAGCACTTATTACGCGAGCTGCTGAGTGATCGAGGCTCCCCAGAACCGCAAGAAGCACCATGGAGGCACTTTGCCCGGCAGCCCCAAAGAACATTAGCTTGCGTCGACCGATGCTTTCGATGAAAAAGACAGCGATCCAAGATGCCATGAAATATTCGGTGGCGTTGCATGCCGCAATGATTCTAGAGTTGGTGTCTGATATGTGCAGACGCTCGAATAGAAGTGTCTGTTTCTAAAATCAGGACTACCACCGGCAAAATTTGAATCGAAAAGCTCACCGCATAATACGTTATAATGTTGATCCCAGTAATCTAGTCTCAACAGAATGAGAGAGGGAAGACGACTCTGGAAAAGCGTGACATGCCTGTTGGAAGCATTGAATCACTACACCGAGACTGACTCTACGGAAATTCTGTCCGCGACCTCCAGTAAACAACTCCCTTAAAGGAACATCTTTTGACTGCGTCTTATCAGGGTGTCGACTACCGCTCGTTGGCCCGAGTTCTTCCAACAAGACAGCCTCGCGAATGGCTTCGTATGTCTGCTTTATCTTCTCGTCTGAGGGGGGCTTGTCCTCGAGGGCAGATATGACAGCCATGGCCTCAGCCGGACGTCCGGCCTTCAGCAACCTGAGATCCTTAGTACGCTTCTTGCGTGTCTCTCCAGTAGTCGAACTTACCACCTGGGAGACTCGGGAAGCTATATCAAGACATAAGTATTGCAGGAGGAAAAGGGACATGAACATACAAAGCCAATGGCAATAACCATGATCAAAGCGAAGATGATTTGTAGAGCAACCGGAACCCTCCATTGGGCCGAAGAATCACTGGCCCAAAAGCTGCCAAATGCGCCATGTAAGGAGAAGACCAAACAGTCATGTTCGACAACTCACAGTGCGAAGTCGATCCACTTGAGAAGGGTAATCAGAAACAAATTAAGCCGAAATCGACGAAACTTAAATCACGTACATAGCTGAGCGGGGTGGTCAGAAATACGCCTTCAGTGACGAAGAAGAACTCACGAAATCATGATCCCGAATGTGATAAGACCTCCTTCAATCATGATCAAGCGACCTCTCTGAGCAGCCGGCGAGCACTCCGCATGGTAAGACGGCACAGTCGATGTCTGTACAATTGAATACCGGCTGGTCCACGTTAGTGTCGCGGTGCTCACATTAAGTCCATTCCCAAAACCTGTAATGACACGAGCCACGAGCATTTGAGCGTAGCTGAATGACGCGGCTTGAAGAATTGCTCCAGCAATCATGATGATGCCACCCAAAGCAATTGTACGCCTTCGACCAAGCTTGTCTCCGACCCAGAGATTAGAAAGAGCACCAGCAAGACACCCAAGTTCCTGGATAAAATGTACGTCACATATTGCTCGGCGATTTGTTTCCTTGCCCATGGACGAACGTAGATTGCGACCAAGAGGCTCTGCAAGGTTGCATGGTTTCTGTGGGCAGGGGACACGACGACCTCGGGGAAGGTTTTCTCAAACTAGCCGCAGTTGTAAGAACGCAATGAGAACGTATAAATATCGACAAGTACTTGTTTAGCAGTCAAAAGGGAGGACATGACTCCCTGGTCATATCTAACAAACAACGCGAATGTAGGTCATGAATGAGCTAATTATTGGAGGAATGCACGCACCCAAAGAGAGTGAATCCAGTCCCAGTGACGAATGCGATCGCTGCTGTAAGCTTCCGGCCTCTCAAGGGAAGTCTGAGGGCGTCAACTTCGGCATTGAAAGCAGGAGAATCAGTTTGTCGCTCTTCCAGCTGTGTTTCTTGAGAGGTTTTCTCCGCGGTCATTATATCCGCCTTCGACATCGTTGAGGGGGATAGGAGCTGGGGCCGAAAGCCAGGAGTAAGGAGCGGTATATAGTACCGGAGCACCATCGATTACGCGGTCATCTGCGGACTGAAGAAGCGAATGGGTGCTTCTTAGCAACTATTTTTGTAGCTCATGCCCCACTTCACCATGCCCGGCGGACATTTGTAAACCAAGAACCGTTTTTTAGCTTCTAAGCGTGGGTACAAGAAAGGGGGAGTCCATGTTGCAGCAATGAAAGGACAGTCTAGGCGAGGTCACCGCAAAGAAGGGAAACTGCCAGTGTCTGCAGACGCGATTTATCCTTCTCATCCTCGGCACCAAGCATAGGAAGAGATGCCATGGATTTGCTATCTGGGATTTCACGTAGCAAGAGAAGGCACTGATGTTTCATTGCAGCCACAGCCAGCGAATCGGACGGAGCAGGTCATGGTTGAAGTTCAACATGGAAGATAGGGACATGTCGCCAGAAATGGCGACAAGTAACCTCGTTGACACTACTCTAACAGAACGCCACTCTCTCTCAGCTCTCTCTCTTGAAATCCATTGGTATATGGCAGGAACCTAGATCGTACAAAGAAATTCTACAAATGGGAAATGACATGCGCAAGGACGAGGAAAGCCAATACATAAATAACCATGTACCCATAGCATAAATTACATAGTAGAGGGTTGTCCCTCCTGAGTACTCGGCTGTTAAGCACCCCATTCGTCTGGGACAAAAGGAGTGACGAGCTGATAGGTCTCCTCGTTGTTGGTGCTTTTGCCTTTCTTCTTTTCCTTGTTCGATCGTCCAATGACCCGTTTGAACAAACGCTCGACTCCGCCCCTTCGGTCGGGAATATCGAAGTCGGAATGGGTCTCCTCGACGTGTGGATAGCACATCTGTACCATCCTCCCAAGCTTTCCATGCCCATTGGCATCAGAGTGCCTTCGGGATGCGTCCAGAGCTGCTTGTAGGTAGAGCGCTAAGTTCGGGAACGTAATGGGTAATGTGGGCAAGGGGACAGCATCCGTGACAGGAATTGTGAACGCCTTCGAAATCAGGGTGTCAGCTGCATCGCGCAAGAGCATAGGTATTGGCGACAGCGTATACGACCATGGCAAAAGGTTCGGGTTTCCGGTTAGATATCGAGACGCTCCTGGGGCGGCAGGAGGAATAGGATGGTCTATCGAAAACCAAAGCACCGTCCGCCAGGTATTAGAGGACGAATGTGGCTAATAGGACAATATCTGAGTTCACAAGCTGACAACAGTTAAGGGTGTACAGTACCTTTACAAACTGAACTACCGTACGCAGTTTAAGCTCCGTCTTGCAGATAGCCATGGCCTCAACTGTAGGCTCGATCCTCGTTCCGCTCAACCTAGCCATAAGACGCAGGAGATGCCGCCAATCTGGCCCTTGAAAGTGTAGAGGTGGACATCTCGCGTATGGAAGTGAAATGATATTGGGCATGGGATCTTGCATAGGTAGAAGCTTGGCTGAGATAACAGGCGGCTTGAACCCAATAGCTAAACCACGGAGGATGAGATTTCTTGGTAGAAGGAAAAAAAAAGAAAAAGACTTACAAACACCCATTAACAATTCGCGATCGAGGAAGTGGTTGGGATTAACGGCGACTGGGGCTGATAGATGAGCCGGTTGGGAAGCATTGGATGGTCCTGCCGCAGGTGAGGACGACACTGACTGACTTGTGGGTCTGTCGTAATATGCAGCTGGAGCGCTTGCAGCTGAGTACGTCGACGAGTGATGGCTTGCATCAGAGCGGGTATCAGGCTCCGACTCGCGCCGGTTGCCCAGGGAAGGATGCGGGATGGGAAAGGGAGAGGCATAGGGGGGAGCATTCGGTGTTGAAGATGCAATACCTGCGTCAGATCCTCGTCTTGCAAAGGAGGCCGGTTGATTTTCGGGAATGGAGGAAGGATAATTTGAACGACTGTTTCCTTTCGATTGGGTTGGCAAGGGATGAGGTTGAATGCTAGATTGGCGCTGGGGGGTAGTCATGGATCGCGGTCGATTATTGGAGTACAACTCCGAGTACAGCTCTGTGGCTTGCCATTCTGGCAGCTGTTGATCCCGCGTTGTGTAAAGCGGGAGGTCCTGCCCCTCCGGTTCTTGAGGTTGTGATGCCTCAAGATTTCCTTTCTCCCCGCGTCTGGATTCTAATTCTTGCCGCAATAGCTCTTCCTCTTCAGCTGCTAGTTGACGAGCGTAAGCTTCATCGTCGAAGACGAGTACAGTATCGCTCTCAGTTTGTTCCAACACATCGACATTGTAGAACGCGCCAGATGTTTGGGCCGATGTCGAGTTTTCCATTGGTGGCAACGATTTCGCATCCTCGCTGCCCGAACCCCCATCAGAATCATCTTGTACACCTGGACTTGGAAGGGTATAAGGTAGCATTGAGACGCTGGAGGCGCTCAATGGCCGACGGGGAGAATCAGCCTGAGGGGCTTGCTCTGGCTGGGATCCACCTTCAGAAATCATAGGTCTCTTTCCTTTGCTGGTTTCTGTTTCATCCTCAGCGATTGGAGGTTCTTCCCTCAGCTTTTCAGGCAGCGGGGGAATGCGCCACTTATCGTATCGCCCAAATTCGGCGGAATCACCACTTGATGCTGACGCCCAAGGGTTTTGCGCGGCTGCAGCGGCTTCCTGTGGAACTGGTGGGGGTAATGCCGGGGTCGGGGTGGGCGAATGCTCATCCTTGGGCTCATCCAAAGTAACACGAGATGAAGTGGCGACCTCGTCAGAAGGCAGAAAGAATGGATTGCTTGAATCAGGAAGATGGGTTCCAGTGGACAGCAACGACTCCGCAAGAGCCCTAGCCAGATCTTGCTCCTCTTGATCCAACAACTTCTCTTCCATCTTCTGCCTCTGAACGGATTCTGACTGTGAAAGAGCCAAGACCATCGCTAGTTCATCTCCATCTTCGACGGGCGAGGCTATTTGCGCCTCCCTCGCGTCCTGAGACTCAGGTATGGGGATGGGAGGTGGCAGTGGAGGTAGTGCAGGGGGTTCATGCGGAGGTACAGGAGGAGGTGCGTTAGGAGGTGCAACAGGGAATGTCTGGTATGACTGGGGTCTGGGGGGGTAGCTGATATCATGAAGAACAGGAGCAGAACTTGTTCCTAGTGTTGGGGATGTGATCGGTGCTGGTTTGGGAGGAACGGGTGGCGGTGGAGGTCCTTGTGTTGCCTGGGGGCTTGTGAAGGCTCGCTGGACATATTCGGGGTATTGCACATGGACGTTCCGGACGTAAGTTGCGGCAGGGGGTGGTGGAGAGCTCGGCTGGGAAGCGGGGGCGTAGCGATAGAAGGCCTGCTGGTGATATGGGTAGAGCTGGCTAGATATAGAAGGTGATGTGGTCGAGGATTGCGGGGACAGCTCGCCGTTCTGCCTAGAGTTCATACGAGGAGTTGAGTTGATGAAGAGCAGTTCAGATCTATGTATTGTCTGGGGACCATAGCCTGGGTCAAGAACCTGATAATTGCCGTTTGGAGGTAGGGTTCCCTCGGAAGCGGGATCGACAGGAACCGCTGCAGCGGATGGATACGATGGTCTGCGGGCCATACTCGTCGGTGGATCGCAAAGCTCTCAGCGGTGGCTACATGAAGCGTGGGCGACGGTCGTGCATCCAGAGTGGCGGAAAGTTGCAGACTGGCCTGGCAGGGCTGCGGACGATCACGACAAGGTGGACTGAGTAAATGACACACCGTCTTTACGGGCTTTCCGGGGGGGTTACGAACGGCCTCAATCAAGCAACAGCAAAGTGGTCAGCACAGACAGCACCGTGCAATCTCTCATCTTGTAGCGCCCGAACCCCGTGCTCTGACAGATCTGTCATATCATCACACCGTCAGATCACAGCGCTGCATACGACAAGTCAGAGACCAGTCGCACCGAACTAATTGGTGGCACAGTATCTAAGAGTAAATTACAAAGTGCGATATGGCGGAAGGAGGATGCGAATGACTAGAAAATGCTATGTGGTCATGGAACAAATGGATGCTTGCAGGTTGTAAATCAAAGCGACAAAATGATAGGGCATGAGCGAACGAAAACTGGATGCAACAAGAACCAAAGATGAAATGTGGGCATAACGGCGCGTTAAAGTTGGGGGTCATGAAACGTGGGCGGAAGCAGTAACTTTCGTGTGTGCTGTTGCGCCGTGCATTGTCGAAGTTTTGAAGCCGAGTTGACGCATGACCGCTGGATTCAGATGAGCACTTGAAAGGGTTGAGTAGACGAGACGATAAACTCACTGAGGAGGTCCGCCTTCGTGACCGGTTTACTGATAGACGCAGCGAAAATATTGCTGGTGTCGTTCGGGTCCGTGCCGCAATAGGCGCTCACAGCAATGATCGGGGTGTTCGTATTCTTGCTGTTGGTGCTTCTGATGTACCGTGCAGCGCCTTCACCATCAACTACGCAGGCGAGGAGATAAAGGAACTTTAATCAAATTGCAAGGAGTTGCAAGAAGTTGACTCACGAACTGGCATCTGAAGATCCATGAGGATACAGTCGAATTCTACTCATGAAGCAGTCAGCAATCGTTACACCAGGACGAGGTAAATCATCACTTACTGATATCACCCATTGCGACACTGATGGCTTCTGACCCATCTGCCACTACCACACATCGACAGCCCAGTCGAATTAATAACGTTTCGATGATTTTAGCTGTTATCGGATTATCTTCCGCAAGCAGGCAGGTCACGACGCGGTCAGTCGGATCGGGCCCTTTCCGCAGGTCAATGGAATGGACGGAAGAGGGGGGCGTGTTTGATTCTTGCTGACTTCCATAGCCTGCAGATTGCCAGGTCTCAGAGCCAGACCCATCACCTGCGCTTGAGACCGAAGCCGTCCTGAGTCGACTCGGGGAATTTTTTCGTTCTCCTTCGAGATGATTGAGCTTGAAACGCTCAACGGCGCCGTATTCCGATGGTTTCCGAACATGACCAGCACTGCTTCCCGGTGTGGGAGGGGGTAGACTTGCCCGAGATGGAGACGACGCAATAGAAGATGTTGAGGTGGCAGGTGAAGGCGGTCCAGCAGACATCCCTGGGCCCATCGTGGTAACGACACTCGGAGGTTTCTTGATGCGCTGGGAGACGCTCCGTTTCCGCTGATGCTGATAATTTGCAGGCTCTGTCAGAGCATGAGTGATGGGCGCCATTTGGTCTGTCTTGAGTTTTCTGATCACATCGTCATTGGCTTGTTTCAAGACGGGCAAATTCTTGAAGCTAAAGGACCCAAAGTCATCACTTCCTCCAGACAGTGGCGGCTCGCGACCAGCGATCGGAACAGGCATGGAAACAGGAGGAGGCATGGTTGAATTGCCAGTTGGGCTGTCAAGAGTGGACTGGCTTTGCAGAGCGACTGGGTCTTCGTCCTGGAATAGTTGCGGAATGGCGCCACGAGGATCGAAGTAGTCTGTGGACTCAGGATCGGTCACCTGCGGGATGAATGCTGCTTCTGTGGTTGTGACCTTATCCCAATCAATGCCTGCGAAGAATGGGTGCGCCTTGACCTCTTCTGCTCCATTCGCTCCCAGACGCTCATTAGGATCGAGCGTCATCAAGGCCTGCATAAAGTCACGAGCCTCAGGGGAGAAATCAATCCATTCTTCGTGCCATTCGATGTGTCCAGAGAGGATGTTTTCGAAAACCTTCTCTGGCGTTTCAGCATGGAAGGGAGGGATGCCATACAAGAATTCGTAGGTGATAACACCAAGGGCCCACTGTAGATAGAGTTATCAGTCACTTGTCGCATCCAAACGAAGATAAACTCGGTTCCAACATACCCAATCGACTGTCGTATCATCGCCACGAAGGCCGAGGATGGTTTCTGGAGCCAGGTAGTCTGGAGTGCCAACAAATTTCTGCTCACCAGGGGGCGTACCACCGCCACCAGAATTGGAATGCGAACGAAGGTCGGTGGTCAATTCGGTCGCAAATGATTGCAGGGGACTCTCAGCGAGCTTGAGGCTGCGACGTGTATGAAGACCAGACAAGGACTCTGAACCACTTGACTCGGCATAATCATCTGTAGGGAGTTGATGAGGACTGTGGCCGACGCGAGGTACTGCACTTGTTCGTTGAGCGAAGTACGAACCTCCACCAGTTGAATCAGGATAAATCAGAGGAGAAGACAGGTAGGCGGAGTCCATCGAAGGTGGCCGCGATCTTGAGTTGTACCTAGTTAGAGGCCGGCCAAGTTGCGCTTCACGAGTTTGTCGTCCGAGTAGACCAATCCGACTGAGCCCAAAGTCAGTAAGCTTGAGGTGACCATGAGCATCAATCAGCAGGTTATCAGGTTTAAGATCACTGTCAACAAGTATGAGTGTCGGAGGGAAACAACATTACGAGTTGGCGAATGAAATCATAAGCGTACCGATGTACAACGCCTCTTTGATGCAGGTATTCCAACCCCAGGACAACTTCAGCTATATAATTCTTCGTCCATTCCTCTGGGAGGCAACCAAGAGATTTGATAAGCGCGGCGCAGTCGCCACCATTGAGGTATTCCATGACCAAATATAAATTATCCTTGCTCTGGAAAGTAAAATAAAGCTTTGCAACGAAAGGAGACTCGGCTTGCTTCATGAGAATCATACGCTCAGCCTTGACATTCGTAATCTGATTCTTCGCAATCATGTCAGCTTTCTTCAAGACCTTGATTGCGTAGTAATCCCCAGTCGCCTTCTTCTTAGCGAGGAAGACAGACCCGAACGCGCCTTTGCTGATAGGCTTGATGATGTCGAAGTCCTTGATCGACGGTGTCGTCCGAGCCAAGGGCTGAGTCGATGTTTGACGGGGGGAAAGCGGGCCAGTAACCGGCGGACTCGTTAGAAGGTTCGCAGTGGAATGCCGTCGATGTGAGCGTTTGGTAGAAGACTCTCGTGTAAGAGAGCTAGAGCTACCATCGCGTGCTGCAACGAGGGGCGAGGCTGGCGGCGTGATGACAAACTTTGGTTCCAATAAGTTTTGAGCGGACTTACGAGTCTTCACCGTCAGGATATTTGGACTTTCGTCCAACGACATCTGCGGCATATGTTCCTCGGGTGACGATGAAGCTACAATCGGAGCGGCAAGTGCGAGAGGGGAAGAGACTGAAGAAGGGGTCGATGAACGTGTAGCCTGCAGTGACTGGCGGGCACTGAGGGTGGACGGACTAGGCTGGGGTGGCAGAGGGATGGACGCCGTGCGGGCATGGGCAAAAGTATATGGAACAGGAGACCCCGAGCCTACAGGAGTAGGGTCGACGGTTCTCTGCCCCCCACTGCCACCGCCATACTCCGACCTCGTACTCGAATGATCATTAACCTCCAGGTCATCGACTTCCACATCCCCTTCTGCGGAGCCACTTCCTTCGCTTTCGCCATCTGATTCATCCACCGTGGCGAGTACTCCCTCAACCTTCTCCTGCCATTCCAGCCAGATTTTCTCTGAATAACGGATGGTGTTTTGCATCCGCACAACGTTGTCAATCTTTTGCCTCATGACACGTTCTGCATCCTGAAGCAATTGCCCTAGCGCAGCGTCCTCAGTGGTTGGCTTCGACCATTGTCGAATCTGGGTGATCTTGCGCTCCGAGCCAGGAGAAAGTAGTCGTTGTCGCTCTATCGGCTCCTTCGCTTCCTCCTCCTTGAGTGATGGCATCGAAACCTCCAGTGCGACTTCGAGAATCTCGTCGATTTGGTCGAGGAATCTCCGTTGCATCTTCTTCACTCCTAGACGCTGCATCTTGTTGGCACGGAAAAGTTGCAACGGGGAAGAAACGATTGTAGATGCTGATGGCGTGAAGATTTGCATACCGCGATATTCTGGCACGGCAGTAGGTGAGGGTCGATCAACCGCAATTAAGAGATCGCGAATGGTGTTGCGTAGCTCAGATATAGATTCGTTGCATTCGACGATCTCTGCTTCCAGGCGGTGCGTTTCGGCGCACGTCTCGCTATGTTTCTCGAAGTACCACTGAGGAATCTGGCATTCGCATATGCGACATAGAATGGGGTCCGTGCTGACAGGTTGACTGAATGGGAAGGGAGTGACAGGTTCGAAAGCCGGGCGGTCGACGAAGTTCTGCCGGATCGTGGATGCTGGCTCGGGAGCGCGGTCATTCTCCTCAAGTATTATGGTCGGTGCGTCGTGTTCGAATCGAGCAGGGGCGATGGGTTTAATGACCCACATTGTGTGCGAGGGTTGGCCATCCTCTCGGTCGATCATGAGCATGCCTTTTCCCTCCATCTGTTGATATAGTGTACCAGCTGATGGATCGTACTCCACAGTGGGTTCGATTTGGAGCTTAAAACGAACTTCAACTGTATGTGAATCATCCTCTTGCAGACGCTGACTAGCTTCCTTGAATACGGCCCAATCCGAAGGGGACAGTAGCGTCGATATTCGAGTTCCTGGCAAGCCCTCAGGATCCGTGCTGGGAGTAGAAAATATGAGAACAGGTCCGACATGAAACATGCAACCTACCCGACGACACCACGCCATGCGTGATTTACCCAAATGAAATGATCTCCATCCAAGCTCAATTCCAAGACGATATTCTGGTTCTGCGCAGTCTCTGCTTGTAGCCTAAGACGCTCCGTGGCGAGCACACGAGCAGATTCTGTCGCTTCCATGATTTTGGAGGGCGATGCGCTCGGAAGCGGCTTTGAAGAAATCGGAGGTCCAAGTTTCGAGGGAGTGGTAGACTTTGGCGGGGGTTCATCTCTTGATTTCCGGGTAATTGTTGGCGGAGTGGGAGGTCGGACCTTGTGATCGTCGTCATCATTCAGCTTGAACCCTTCCAGTTCAGCGTCTGTATGGAGCGACGAGGATGGTGGGGGTCCGCTGTCCTCGATGGGTTTCGTAAGGAACATAAAGGGTTCTTCTTCCTCCTCCTCCTCGTTGTCTTTGAAGTTCCAGAACTGCTTTTCCGCCTCCCACCATTCGACCACACGACTGAGGCTGGCGACAGCCAGAAGGACTTGAACATACCAATTACGCCCATGCCAATCCGGATGATCGTCCCATGTTCTGCCAATATTTTGAACGCGTTGGACAATTGTCTCCATAATTTTTGGCTGGTTGATCAGCTGAGGAACTGTCATTTCCGTAACATCCGTGGCGACTCCGATGATTTCGTAGAGAGCGGTCATGATAGGGTCGACAGGATCATCGACGAGTATTCGAGATGACCGTCTGTTGAAGGCGGAACTGACAGCATATTCAGAAAAGCTTGCATGAGAGGAAACTGGAGGTAGGGGAGAGCGAGAGCGGGAAGTCGAACGCGAGCTTTGACCGGAATGGGTCGGTCGGGCAGACATATGAATTGTGCGCGAGAGTCGGCGAGAAGAAGCACTGCCAGTGGCCCACGAGGTGGAAGAAGAAGGCGGGTTCGGCTGCTTACGAGTGATGGGCGCATCAGGCAACAGGATGGTGGACGATGCTGGGCTGGAACCAACGACGCTCGACGAAACAGAGCTCGAGAGCGGCCTATCCCATGGAGCAGCACTATGTCGCCGTATGGAAGCAGGACTCATCTGAGCAGAGGTGAAAGACGCTGTAACAGGTGATGAGTAGGAATGAAGGAGAAGTGAGGGGGGTCGGGAGCGTTCTTGTGGACACGCACGTTGACGACTATGTCGACCGTACTCGGGCTCAGCGTCATAACCACCGTCTGAGCTATACTCGTCTGTCTGCAGAGCGCCGAATTCCGAGGCTTGGGCACACGCAAAGGCTTCTCTGAGCGGCTCTGGGTCACCCTGCTGGGAGTCCTGGTCGCGTTCGCGGCGATCCCGCTCTGTCTCGTGGTCGCCTTCGCGAAGGCGCTCCTCGAAGAAGGCGGTGATATTGTTGGTGATGCGCTGGAGTTCCTTATCGCAATCAGCCTTTGCGGCCTTGAGACGACGGGTTACATGGCGTCTGACGAACGGCATGGACACCGTGTTGGACGCGGAAGCATTGTTGATACTGGCGATGCTCTGCTGGGCCTGGAGGGGTACGGGGGAGAGAATGGCGTCTGGGGAGAAGACGAGCGGGCTTGGAGGCTGTCGTCGTTGGTATTGACCGGAGTCTGACATTAAGCTGAACTGGTGGGTGCCAGCAAGAGAGACCTGTGGCTAGACGGCGGAGCGCCGACGGTGGTCTGGGTCGTGAAAGAATGGGGCGTAAGGGAAAGATGGATGGATGCGGGTCAAGACGACATTAGAAGAGGAACAGAGCTCTCGTCAAATCCATGATCCATTTATTGCAAGCTGGATTAGTAGTTCCGTGCGACCATCACTCGCAGACATTCTTTTCCGGCCACTCGCCCCGCAGCTCCCCAAAGTAACAAGCGCAGGCCACAACCGCCCATCCTATATTTCCTGAAACCTCACCCTCGTCGCCTTCATCGTCGTTGCAACGCGCACGATCGCCTTCGCCGATGAGACATTCTCCGCTCGTGACAGTCACAAGCGTCACAGCGCTAACCGGGGTCCTGGCACGGAATCAATCTTACCACCAGTAATCTCCGGCGCCGTGACACCCCAACTTGGCAGCCAGGGCTGTCACGCTTTTTCGTCCTCTCCCAAACGTCCAAATGCAAACCTGCCTGCACCAGGCTTGTCGGCACGTCCCCGTCGCGCGTTCCTTCACCGCCCTCTTCTCGACATCCGCAAGACGCGGAAATGACAGTGGTGACTTAATGTCCCACCTCTCGAATATGCTTGGAGGTGTTGACTATCAACGGCCCCAATCCACCCAGCAGCAGTACAAGACAACCCGTCAGGATCTTTGCTTTTTTCGAAGTGCTCCGTGTGCTGACACATTTATCTCTAGCCTGGGTAAAAGTACAGCCTCACAGGGTGTGTCCTTTGCTCTTCACTATGCGTTCCGTCGGGTACTCACTCTTGCCACAGGTTCTTCGGCCAACGGAACTCTCCTACAATTCGCGCGCAAAAACATACAAACCATTTGCCAAGTACCAAGTGGCTCCACCTCCCTCTATCGCCAGAGGAAATGACGTCTTCTACCGTCTCAACCTCGACCCCCGCTCCTTCACTATGAACCCAGAGGTCCTCTATCAATTCGTATCGGGCATGGGCAAAATCTATCCCCGGGAACAGACGATGCTCACTGCAAAAAGTCAACGCCTCCTAGCCAAGACCATTCGGCGCGCGAAGCAGATGGGTGTCATGGCCAATCTCAGCCGACCTCGGTCGAGCTTCTAAGCGCTATCCACTTCCTTATTTTCCAGCTTGTGCGTGCTTCGCGTGCAATCCTATTCCAAGCCGACATTCGTTGAGCTTAGAGTAATTGCCCTTCTTCCCTACATGTCAGTCGGCATGACCATCCGGAATAGAGTCAATTCCACTCTCCTGGAGCAAATTCAAGATGTTGGCAGTCGGGTGACCCGGAGGCTCCTCAATTAATTGTCGTCCAATGGTCCCGTGAGATAGACTTCGACTTGCCTCATCCTTTGTCGCCACTGGGATGATGCAATGAGCCTCCGATTTGTGGAGAAGAAGTTCTATGTCCGCCTCCTCTGCAGGGGCCAAGGTCGGAGAGAATCAAATCATACAATCAAGCTTTGCTTCACCAGTCATCTCGAGATGTTCCCTAGCCTTGAGAACGGAGCTTGACCACGTTATCTCCCTTGTGACCTCTACCGTGGTTTCGCGTTTCAAATCGTTTACCTTCGGGGCTGCATCCCCGGTTCCTTTCCACTAACTATATGCGTTTGGACAGCTGCTTGCGATGTTAAGAAAAGCATTCCATCAAAAAGCGGCATCGTACATCCCGAATCAATATCTAAAGTTCAGCCAATAACATCGTCCCAAGATTCTGAACGACTTGGTCACCCATAGCTTTTTCGACCGCTTCTTCCAAATGTCGTTTCGGATCCTGCTTTCCCACATGACGCGTCTGTAGCTGTTCTGGGGTGAGTGTTGATTCCTCCTGGACAGATTTGTTGTACGCCTCTGAAAGGGAAAGCATTGACTGCGCAGGGTCCTTGATAAGTCTCCGGTGACGTGCTCGCATGATGAGTAACGAACCTTGATAGCTTTCTCGTTCTCTTCTTTGTGCGAACAGAAGTCGCGTAGCTTCAGTCCTTCTGTCCAGTTTCTCTTATGAAGGTTCATGAGCATGCTTTGTTCGAGTTCCGTCTTGCGATAATTCACGGCGATGGAGTAGTAGTGTCGGTTTAGACCATGGATGAGGGCTTGGATTGAAGGCTTATTAATATGGCCGATGTTGGAGGTCGTCTGCCGTGGTTCGCGTCCAGAGATTACAGCGTGAGGGTTGATGAGGCGGAAAGCGTCGATGACCACTTTGCCTTTTACTGACTGAATGGGGTCAATAACAACGGCTACAGATCTAGGATCCAGCGATTCAAAGGACTAAATATATAGTCATTAAACTCAATGGGACGCGGAGGAAGTCCGACAGAGGAACGCACCTGCTGGGTATTGATATCTACGCTGGATAGCCAGCACCCAAAACCAGGGTGTGAATGATACCAGCCGACAACTATTTCAGGTCTGATAGAAAACTGGGGTCTCAGTAGTCGAGATAAAACGAATGGGCAAAGGGCGGGCTTACCGTCCAGTCTGTTTCAACATATCCACCATTTTCGTTTGGAAAACGTGATCTACCGACTCAACTGTCACCGTTGTTCCTGACTGGGGCATTGCAAAGACGTCGATGACTTGTACTGTGTATTCGTCTACGAACTCCCCAAGCATAAGGCCCATAACCTCCATTGGGACACCGGCGCGGCCGTGCTTCAGCATCTACCAGGAGGGTATGGTTCAATAGGACGCCTCACTTCTCCCTGCTTGAGACATACCTTCAGGAGTGCCAATGAGGAGATATGAATGACCTCGCCGCTGTGGGGAGGAAATGAGTGACAAGGACACGCGATTCGATGCAAAACATACTTATCGGGGGTCGGTTGATCCCCACGCGGACCACCGCCTCTTGCTTGTGCCATAAGTCGTTCCATTTCCTGTTCCATGGATTCTGTGGTGGGATTGGGAGTAAGAGATTGTGAATGAACGCGTGTGCTAAGTAAGGGTGACGCGTCTCATGGATGCGTTGTTTGGCTGTGCTTGGCAAACGCCTCGACGTCATTGCCGCCGGTCTTTGCCTCAGCTGAGCCTGAGGTTTGTGGGCAGCATCCATGCCCACCAGCGAACTCTCAGATGCCCTCAATCCGTATGCATCGCAGTCTCGACAACGGCAGTCCGCGCCTGTTGATTACTCACCGCCAAATCAAACTATTTCTTATCAGACGGTAGCCCCACCCTCACAACAATATGTCCCACACGTCAGTGACCTCGAGTTGGCCATCGCAGAGCCAACGCCCGCACCTCCTGCTCTGTGAGTCCAAAGATATTCGGCTTCAATGTCTATTGATTGTGGAAAGACCGCGACAGGGAGTCAATGTTTTCGCCGAATTGGCGCGAGTAGTAGTTGCAACTCAAAACGCTCAGGAGTCGGAGCGGAAGAGGCGATTAGCTTGGGAGCAAGAGCAAGAGTCCAAATATGCCCAGAGGCAAGCGGAGATGGAAAAGAAGATGCTGGCCATGTCTAATGAGCTCTCCTTGCTTCGTGCAACTATGAATGCTCTGCGTAGTTCAGGAAACACCCCCGGGCTGGCCACCCCGCAATACAATCTGTCTCCTGCCCTGTCGCAACGAGCGACTCCGAATCTTCAGAACCTTGCTTCGCCCATATCTCCTGTGTCTCAATCAGCATCTCAGGCCCAACCGATGTTTATTCAAGGCTCGTCCACAAATCCTTTACCCCCTCCTCCTTCCGTGTTCCAATCCGAACCCACCACCAATAATATACAGCCTGCTCCGCAGCCCTACATTGAAACTACCTTCCAAGTCAATCTTAGTCCCCTCCCCCAGGCCATGACACCGGGTCCATCACCTCACCTCACCAATACCGATGCTTCTGAACGACCGTCGGCATCGCCAGCTCCGCGGCCTAGTAAACGGAAAAAGAAAAGAAGATCTGTGCACTCAAGCGATGACGAAGGGACCAGCTCTGGTTCATCGAGCTCAACATCTAATCACCAGCCTCGAAAACGAGTAAGCCACCATGATACACGGTGCTATACTATCCAGGCGAGTTCTCTTAATTTTACGTCCGATACTTTTTCCTCAATTTCTATCCAGCATGCTATGCGCCTCCATGTCCTACGCATGATGGACGTAGACAATGACAAGGACCTACCAGACAATCACGACGAGTCGGGTGCCCTAGGTCCGTCAGACCCTGTACGCTTTGTCTGGGACAAGACAGCAAAACAATCCGTCCATAACAGTAGGATGAAGAAGCGAATAATAGACGACCTCAAGGAAAACCGCCGCCTGTATAGGCACGTCCCGAACAAGGAGTTCACCAAGAAAGTGCTCGATGCCGCATTTGATCAATGCTTCGTGACATTCCGACAGAAATACAAAGCCCAAAAAGATGCCACTTCAGCCTCGCACTTGAAGCAACGAGAGGACTCTAAGGCCCGGAAGGCGAGGCATCTTTCTCGGAGAAAAATCGTACGTTTCCGTTACCTGCGTTTCAGTGTTTCTGGGGGTCCTATGAACTAAAGCTGACGGCCGTGGGCGCAGAAACTCAGCAATCGTTCTGATGCACGTAACAACATCCCAACCTTTGAACATGTGACGTTCGACGGCGCGATGCAACCCGACTGCATGTCCTCGGAGGAATCAGACATCGAGCAGGATCCCCTGAGCTCCCAGCCTTGTCCAGTTCTCAGGACTCGAGGCCACGCCTGGCGAAGTTCACGGCTCGTGCGCTTCTACTGCATTCTCGACGACGAAGAACGTCTGGACACTAGCTCTAAACCCAAGCGAGGGCTAGGCAAGAAGGAACGGAGGGTTGGGCCGCTGAAAGAAGAATTCACCCTTCCACCACAAGGGGCTGCAACCTGGATGATCAGCCGGCGCTGGTATAAAGCTTCGCTGGCGAGCCGTCCGGACCTACCGAATATCCTAAACAAGCTTATTAATGACCAGCCTGGATTTGACTGGGAACACTTTCACGATCTAGGGGAGGAGACTGTCGACGAAGACGAGGCGGTTGTCCAACACCAGCACCCACAACAGCAGCAGCCGCAAGTGATGCATAATTATAACCCCCCTATGCATAGTATGAACCTTGGTATACCCCAGCATCAATATGACCCCAATACATACATGAATTACACGATGTAAATTTATCTTGTCGTCTGCCATGAGAAATCAGGCTTTGTACGAGGAACCAATAAAAGTAACAAGTGCCCAAGATGATGAGCACGGGACTACGTTCGCGTCCCCTGTCATCCGCGTCTTTCATCTCATCCATCCACGAACAGCTACACAGAAGTAGAACTCCTGAGGATGTCTGTCGAGCCTGTATCGGGTAAGCTCTATCGTCCTGCGAATACGTAGCGAACCGCCTCGACCTCGTTTACAGAGCATGCTCCAGTCGGCAACTTCTGTACGTCCTGAAGTCAAAGTACCTCATGCTACCACTGAGTCTGGTCGTCTTCATAGACCGAAGTCGGGCAAAGGAATATATTGAACTTCATGACCAAGTCGAGGTGAGCACTAAACGCTCACTTTAGACGACACGACGCCCAGATTTCGTATAGACCAGCGTTTCATTGCTGGACAATCTCGAGTCCTTCCTGTCCACCTTTCAGAAGGATCTGGCAGCCGTTGCCGGGCAAATTTCGGAATTGCAAGATAGAAGCAAGGACATCGACAATAGACTGAAGAGCAGGAAGGTTCGTCACTACATATCCCGCCAGTTCGACCGCTAGAGTGATCCCGGGTTCAGAAAATCGAGAGACGCTTGTCGGGCCTTCTCTCAGATATCACTATCCCCCCTTCCCTTGCGACAACCATTCTCGATACGAATGTTGGAGAACCATGGCTCGATGCCATCGCTGATTTCGAAAGGCGCTTGAACACCACGAAGACTCGCACAAGGGTCAAGGCTGCTCGCGACATTGCGGAGGTCATGGAAGCCTTGAGGATTGTGGTATGTGTCCCATATCTACACAGCCCTTCTAAGAATTCAAATCATTCTCACAGGCGGCTACGAAACTTCGCGCATTCTTCCTAGCCCTGTTCCAGCCCATCCGGAGCAGTGTCACGACGAATATGCAAGTTATACAGACATCCGTGCTGCTCAAATATAACCCTCTATTCGCATTTCTCCAACGACAGGCGACAAACGTTGCCAACGAACTCCAACGTGCCTATGTTGGCGCTGCCCGTGTCTATTATGAGACTGGATTTCGGAGATATGCCCGGAGTCTCGGTGTAGTAAAGGTGAGTTCATCGTTTCCTTGTGAGCCAGCGACTGATGCCTTTCATAGGCACGGACGGTAGAGAAGTTTGAATCTATAGTACATACGCATTCAAGTCCTAATATAAATCTGGAACGACTCCAACACAACGAAATCGATGGTCCACCTGTGACTCTCGCATATATGGCAGACGATAAAACGCATGTACGAAGCCTGCCACACCTTAAGAGGACTAAATGGAATCTGACTGAGCAACTAGAAATCCCCCGTTGAAGCTCTTCTGCGATCACTTCTGTTGGTCTTCTTGGACAATGCAACGGCAGAATATGCTTTCGTATCAACTTTCTTTGCCTCACAGATGCCGCTTCCTCCTCCAGAGCCGTACACGGCAGCACCTCAGACAGCCATGTCTATTCTATCCCCCGATGGCGTCTCGTACACAGAGTCACAGTCGCCTTCGGCCTCTGATTTTGGATCGCAACGCCCAATGTCAAGCACGACGCCAGGGCTTGGTGGTTTCATGTCATTCGTTGCCAAATCGAAAGAGGAGCAGGCAAAAATAGATACCATCTGGAAGCAAGTAATGGACCCTGTATTGGAGTACTGTCAAGTAAGTCATTTACTGGATTGAGCAATTCGCATTTCTTATGCTCTCGACAGATTTTTGTGCGCTCAATATTGGACCCCACCCCACCAATTATCCCTCTGCTCACGATGATCAGGTTGGCAGAACACGTGGTAGCAGAAATCCAGAAGAGGCATTGTCCCCCTGCGGAGACATACGTATTTACCCTGACTTTGCAAATGTGGCCCGTCTTCCAGAAAGGAATGACAGAGAATATTAATGAGCTCAAAAAGCTTGCAGAGGGTGTCAGTTCTGGTTATTTGAGCCGGTCTTCGACCACCACCGACGCAGCTGTTGAAAGCGTAAGCTCCTTTTGAATTCCAATGCTTTCCTTCACCCAAATGATGTTCTAGATATGCGCACAATACGTTGTTTTCTTCAATTCATTCGTCTTTTTGACGGACAACGAAGCCGAGAATATGATTTTCACGAAGTAAAACACTCTCTACCGTCCTTCTGGCCTACCATCTGACCTTCTCTCTCCAGCTTGTCGCGCTTGAGACAAGAGGTGGCAAAGTTGATCATCCGCCACACGTCCCAAGGAAATGACACTCTCGGCAAAGCGAAAGCACAGTCCAAGTTTTACGGCATCCTGCTCCAGGGATTGAGTGTTCGTGTCTCTTCCTCTCTCCCTGACTTCAAGGCTTATGTTTACGTCTCTGTAGAAGGGAACGCACCACACGGCCCACTTGAAGCTGCAGCAAGAAATTGCCCATTGGGCATACTTGGAAGAGGAAACCAAGAGGAAAATTGTGTCTGCGGGACAGTCCCGATGATGCAGTGGGAGAAGTGGTTTCATGTATTTTATCTTCTTCGCAGATGAGGGGATATTTAATCACAATTTACGACATACATAAGGGAGGCCTGGTTAAGACTAAGCAGTAAATTTCTGAAGTTCGTTGTCTTGACCTGGACCTCACCCAAATGAGGCAAGAGGCTGATCTTCCATAATCCACGACCCCATTCTTACGGACACCCCTCTTCTTGACCGCCTGTCTTTGGGCTTGTCTTACGCGTCAATACTTACGCATAACTACTCTGAGGAGAAGATGCCTGCAATGTCATCCAGCTCTTCCCAACCGATCGTTATCCCTCCTCTCACAACAGAGGAAGAGGGTGAGTCTCGGGCAGTATTCCGATGCGTGAACACGTTCACCAATTCCGCACGTCAGACCAAATTATCCTTACTCGAATAACGGTCGATGAACGCCCTCTTCGACGCATAATCAAGAAGTTCCACACCTACACCTCGCTCTCGCATGCACCCATTGTTCCTGTTGTCACAACGGCACCTGCAATTCCAAACTCCGTTGAAGATGCCCGAGAAGCATTCATTGTGGAATTGGCCTCGTTTGAACTGTTGATGAAGAAAACTGCCATGATATGCGAGGCTGAGACGCGACAGGTGGAGGAATACCAGAGGGAACGACTACGACTAGGTTCGTGTTTAGCAATTCTTTCTCTGCCGACCTGTTACTCATATAAATTGCGGGCTTCATCCAGACAATGAACGTGGCACTCTGAAAGCGCAGATTGAAGAGCTAAAAACTGCCTTGGAACACGCTCAAATGTTACGCCGCAGAAAAATCGAGTATGATCTCGTTGCAGAGAAAGTTAACACACTTCCTGCCAGAGACGAGCTTGAATCGTAAGTCTCCTCTGTTATCGTGAGCCTTCTCTCTGAACCCTGGTATTTGTGCTCCAAGAACGATTAGGGCTTTAGAAAACGACATGGCTGCAATACGAGCAGAACACGACACCCAGAACCGCATCATTCAAGGACAGAAGTCTGCGCTCGATGGAATCATTGCAGAGCTCAGCCAACTGGGATTCATGGGCAAAGAACCGGAAACTGCATCTATTCCTCAATCCCTGCGCGCAACGCCTGCCCTGGACATACAAGAAGCAGCCTCCGTAGAAAGTAGTTTGCCTTCAGCCAATGCCGGTGAAGAAACAGAAGACGACAAAATGGTGTCTGACTCAGCTCCTCCAACGGTTGTCAATGAAGGTCTGATTGAGGAGAACGACATCGAGATGGGGGAGGTTGAAGAAGAGCCGAAGGATAAAAGCAAGAAGAAATCCCGGGAGGAACTAGAAGAGGGCGAGGCAACAGATGCTAGCAGCGAACTTTCAGAACCACCGGACGACTGAAAGGCTTGTTTTGATTACGATGTATCATTGTTTTTCGCTGAACCCTATATCTACACTCGTCAAGTCCTTTGCGCAAACCACATTTTGCCCAAATTCTGAAGCTGCCAAGTTCCCAATTGCTGTCATAATCTGTTTGGACTCCTCCGAATCATCCCCTGGGTACCTCGCTGAAAAGTGGTTCAGAATCAGTCGTTTCGCTCGAATCTTTTTCGCAAATGCTCCGGCCATTTGGGGTGTTGAATGACCCCTGGACTTGGCCCTCGCTTCAACTGATTCGTATGTATCGGCCTCCTTCGTCGACGTGTCGATGCCAGGCAAATGGGCGTTAGTTGCTTCATGAACCAGCATGTCTGCATCTTCTGCCAAGCTGGCTGCGGGAGAAGGGTCAAATGTATCTCCAAGAATCACAACCTTCCGGCCTCTTTTGCGAGGAGGCCCATAGAGCACCGTCCCATCTTCCAATGCGACGGACCCGCCTTGCTGGAGCTGGCGCATGACTGTCATAGCCGTTCTCGTGCGTTTCAGCTCTGGGATATACTTCGACGGATCAATCTTGCCTGGCACTGGGGCTTCTGTGACGACATACCCCACGCACGGAACAGAGTGATGGATTGGGGCAGCGGAGACGGAGATGACCTCGTCTTTGAATATATCCTTCCAGATGCCATCTACTTGCAGTATGTTGCAACCATTGAGACATTCAGCAAGCTGAGGAGTGAGGGATGTTACGTCGCCTATTTGTGGGTCCGACGGGAATCTTAACTCGTGGACGACGTAAGAGGCGCCTAGAAGAGTGTGCGTGTAGGCAAGTCCATTGCGAACGTATGCACGCGTGCCTAGAGGGCCGTAGATCTCAAGAGCCTGGGAGGAACTGTGAAAGATGGTCCCAGAGTGATAGGATGGCACCTACTGGCGTTTCGGTATTCACGTTAAGTCTTGGATCGTCGCTTCCTTCCGCGGTACCACCTGCACCGTTTAGGAGGCTGGCCATGAGGGGGATGAGCCCAAAGATATGATCGCCTGTCGTAAAAATCATTCGAGATCCACACCACGGAGCTGTACACCACTAACCATGTGTATGTGTGATGAAGATCTTCTCAATCCTCCCCATCTTCAAGGGACTCTTCTGTAGCTGGTGTTGGGTAGCTTCACCGCAGTCGAACAGCCAGACATCCTTTCCCAAACGCAGGGCTAGTGCAGAGTGATTTCGCGTAGTAGATGGCTGAGCAGACGCAGTACCCAAAAACGTAAGGTTCATGGAACCTATATAGGTCCTTGAGACGGCCGACGACGACATTGCTATCTCAATGGGAGGAAAAAGTGTTTTAGGACTTTCAGACCGCAGACTATCTGGTTAGATCACATGGCGGCAAATCAGACTGACTGCAATGAAGTCAGGATGTCAATGTCGAGTCAAAGTCATTGGGGCCCGTGGGTAATACTGATAGGAATGAAGGCTCAAGTACATAAATCAAAGAAAAATAGTGTCGGTAGCTGGAATCGAACCAGCGGCTCTTCGGAATGAGTAACCACAACGAAGTGATTTAACCCCTAATCGATACCGACATGGTTATCCATTGTCATTGGACCACTTTAACACTAGGCGAGGCCACCTTCCTACAGAAAACTCTTACAACTTACATTCAAGTTTGACCTACCTATTTCTGCACATCTGTAGCTGGCAGCGTATCATGACGTTCGTGGAGTGAGGATAGTCAAATAACTTCAATTTCATGGAGTTGTACGGGTACTCGAAGTTGGCAAAGGAGCCCTTGGAATAGCAGTCATGAATGACCGTCTAAAGCTCATGTCAGTTGCTAAAAGATGGAGGACATCGTGAATGAATACCTATTCAAGACCAATCCTTTCAAGGACTTTATTTCTTTCTTGATATCTTCCTCGATCGTTCCTTGGATATTTGGGTGCCTGTACGGTAAGTAGACCTGTGTGCTGATATAGCCGGTAAAATCTGAGAGTGCTTGCAAGGTGTATTGGAAGGGGCTCTTTCGCGTGTTTACGTCCTTCGGCATTTGAGCAGACAAAGCTTGTAAGGAGTCGACGAGCGGAGGACTAGGGACTGCATTTGGACGGACATACTCCCAGCGAGAAGGCATGCCAGGAGCTTCGGAGGACGATGATGGTGAACGTTTGGAAAATAGCGTGCTCGTCGATAGCGTATCCCATAGTTCTTGCTCGAATTCTAATCCTTCTTCAGTGAGCAGCCAAGGAATTTGGCCATCGAGGTAACGGAACAAATCCTCTGTCATAGGTTTGGCGTCCTCGCCATCCTTTCCTCGTCCAAAATCCTCCAAGGCACACCGCAAAAGAGTCACCACAGGAATTTGGTCATAGCGAGGAATTTTTTCGTTGACCGATTTCAAAAGTTCAGCGACGGAGTGCAAATTCTGGTTCTCTTTGGACTCCTTGAACGGGTCGGGTCTGGGAAGGACAGAAAATGATTCCGCTTGCGACTCCTTCAAGGCAGAAAGAGATGTCGTCAACTGCCTCAATAACGAGAGATGGTGACCTTTGAGGGATTGCCGAGCAAGATAGGTGTGGGTTATCCTTGGTAGCAAGAAGCGCTAAATGAACGAGAGTCAAAGAGACTGGGAATAACATAACTATGAAAACTGACATGATATGCGAAAATAAGGAGAGCAGAGCCTCCAGCTAACCAGGAGAATAGCCGTGCAATACCCAGAAGCAGTAGGGGTAAATTCGACGGAGGGGGTTGGGGATATGTTCTGGGCGGAATAGTTGGGAGTTGCGTCGGCTTTCAGATTCAGTAAGTAGATGAACCTGGGCAATGAAGTTGAGCGTACCACTCTGTGCAGCAAGCTCTCGATCTCAGCACCGTTGAGTCCCTTCTCAGCTAGAAATGCTCGTTTCACATGGACATCCTGGTATTGAACTTGAGGAGATGCAAGAAAAGCGCGCGCTTTCGAAATGATCTCATCTCTAGATGTGCTGGGGGGTACGGGCTGTGGGGGAGATTGGGGTTCCGGGATCGAAGCCGCTGGTACGGAGTGTAGGCCTGTCGGTTGTGTCGTTTCTTGAAGTGACGTTACAGCAAGCTGCTGAGATGCCGTTCCTTCTTTCTTTGTCTCGTCAGACATGGTCAGTGTGCGAGGGTGACGCAGAAGAGTTGGTGCGTGAGTGGGCTGGTCAAAATGAAAGTTGAGACCCAGGTCCCACATGCCTTCAGCGGCTAACAGCCGGGCCGGCGGTGATAAACCACCTTTCCTCTCAACCACTCACTTCTCATGGGAGAAGCTAGGAAGATGTCGCTGAGGGACATCCCACGACAGCTCACAGACGACTGCCAACGATGAAGGCCCTGATCTTCGTCTCCCTTCTCGTGTCCTGTGTTGTCCCAGCACAATTCCATCCTCGTCAACCTGCTCAATACCGGCCATTACCTCCTCTGCGCATGCGGGCATCTATCCAAAATAAGTGGACAACTGAAAGGATTGCGAAGATACCGAAGTTGCTCAAAAAACACGGTGCTGGTGCTTGGTTGGTGCGCCCACTGTTCCATCTTCCACGACTGGATTGACTGTCTTCTCGTGTGTGCAGATCTGTCAACGAGAACACGCCGAAGATACCATATGGTGGTCAATCAAGAACGCAACGGACTTCGACGCACATCGCCGGACTGTGTTGCTCTTTCACACCAATGACTCTTCTCTGGCCAATACGCCTAATCCCCTCAAGTGGGTTGACAACATCGGACAGGTGTGGCCAGAGTTGCGCAGAGTTCTTGGTGAATACCGTCCGTTCCGTATCGTTCTTAACACCGACGAAGATATCGCCTTTGCTGGTGGCCTTCATGTTGGAGAATTGGCAATCCTTCAAAGAGAACTCGGCAAATACTGGACGAACAGATTCGTAAATGAACCCATGCTGGCAGTTGAATTTGTCGCCACAAAACTGCCTAGTCAACTTGAATACTATCGAATAATGCAAGAAAATGTTTGGGCTATGCTTGAAGAAGGTTTTTCTGACAAAGTCATCGAGCCAGGAGTAACTACGACGGAGGTACCCTCATGGAGTAAATCCTAGAAGGCCGAAATCGCTGATCATTCCCTTTGCAGGACCTCAGCTGGTGGTTTCGCGAAAAGATGCAACTCCTTAACGTATCGACATGGAACCAGCCTAGAGTCTCCGTCCTAGTCGAAGACTCTTATCCGGGCTGGGAAGGCACGGAAGATGTCATTAAAGAAGGGGACATCCTTCATATAGATTTCGGGATAACCGCCATGGGTTTGAATACAGACACTCAGCATATGGCATATGTCCTCAGAACCAGCGGCGCAGAGCCCGAGACGGATGTTCCTGACAGCCTGAAGGAGGGTTTAAGGAAGGCCAATCGGCTGCAGGAGATCGTCCTGGGTAACATGAGGCCCGGCTTATCGGGAAACACGGTTCTCCACCAAAGTCTGGTCCAGATGATAAGAGAGGGGATGAAGGGTCAAATATATTCGCATCCTATAGGTGATTGGGGTCATGACGCCGGAAGTGTAATTGGTCGGCGTTTTGCTCTCTTTTCTGTGACAGTACTGAAACGCAACTCTCCAGGTTTTCTTAACCTTCCGGCGTATGTTCCCGTCCTAGGGGAACTCCCGATTCTGCCGAATACCTACTATAGTATCGAACTTTACGCTTACCACTTCGTTCCAGAGCGGAACGAAACAATCAGGTTTCGTCTTGAAGAGAACGTCGCCTGGTCGGAGTTGTCTCAGAAGTGGGAGTACGTCTACGGCAGACAAGAGATATTCCACCTTGTCGATGGCAGAAAGCGATCTTCGTTGGAACTCATTGAGCAAACGACCCGGCCATGAGCTCGAGAACTCAACCGTGCTGGCGTAAAATTACGGAAAACCAATGTACATGTACTTAGAGAGAACACAATAATCAGCATAGTAGTTTAACATAGTAATCTTCCGCAGCTCAAAACATGTTCGCAAGCTTACTTGCAGCCTCTCTAGCATCGAGCCTTGGCCGCGTGGGTTGAACACGCACGGAGGCAGACATTTGGTGAGGTTTAATTGAACCTAGAGGATCTACGTCCACAGGACCAGAAGGCTGCTGTGGAAGTCCGCGTTCCGAACTCTGCACAGCAGAGGAAGTTGTAGGATACGTATCGCTACGGAGAGGGTCGAAATGGGCAGACGATGACGATGACGATGACGTGGTAGCGTTGGCGTGAGGGAGGTTTGAAGTCGAGGATGAGAAAGCAAGAGGTGATGGACGCGGGCTGGACGTCGACCTCGGCACGAACATGGATTTCGTACCATCCACAAAGCGACCGCCGAGAGGCGGCTCTGCGATTGCTCGCGAGGCGACTGTGGGACTTGGTGGAACCGACGAGGATGAGGGCCCCGCACCGGGTGACTGTGGTGGCGGAAAGGGTTGCCTCGCAGGCTGTGGAGGGAGTGCAGGCGACGGAGGTCCTTGAACGAAAGAGCGAATTGAAGCTGCAGAAAAAGGCTCTTGTCTACCAATAGGTGTTTGCGGGAAGTGCGATGGTACAGGACTATGAGGGTAGAGGGGATTAGGCGCTGGGCTTGGTACTTTATGCGGTATAAATCCTTGGGGTCCATTGTGAGAGGCGATGCCCGCAGTGTGAGGAGGTTGCACGGGCGCCTGTCTGGGAAAGCCATTAGTTATAGGGGCGGAAGGCATAGGTTCTGGGTGTGGTCGCTCGGAGTAGTCTTCCAGCGGAGGAACGTAGGTGGGTTTCGGAGCACCGTTCGTAGGCGGCAAAACCTTCTGCGCTGCATTGCTGATGTCGCCACGAAGTGCCTCCAGTTCACGCAAAAGCTGCCTCTCGTACATGATGGAAGAGCGAGCGTGCTCAATGAGAGCAGTCGTAATATCGTCATTAGCGTAACGGTTGTGAATATGGAGGGCACGATGGAGGTTCTGCGAAATGCCCTCCGCCCGCCTGGCAAGAGTTTGCTCGTATCGGTTAGCCTGAGATGCGAGATCGTCTTTAAGCAACAATTCAACCTCTGATGGGATAGTGACGCACCTCCTCGATCTCCTCTAGCGCTTCATCCACGCGTTCAGCACGAATGTTTGAACTCGCCTTCAGCCGCTCAATTTGACGCCGCTTAGAGATGGTGGTCTTAACAGCGGCCTGGTATTCCTCTAGCACTCCAGTACGCATTTGCAGAGTTTCCTTGGCAGAACGCGCGTTCATTCCCTGATACCCAAGCGAGTCGCCGAGGATGACACATTCACTGATCGCCTGGGCCTGGTCCAAGTCCGCTACGCTATGCCACGCTCGTCCCAGCTTGCGGAGGGCATTCCCTAACGGCGGGTGCGCCTCTGTTGTCGCAATGTTGACGAGTTTGTTACCCATCTCGGCGTGGGCTGTGGCAAGAGCTATCGTCTCGGCTTAGTGAGTTGGTTCAGAGGCTGAGTGCAAGTGCCGACACAAACCTTTCCGAGTAATAGCCAGTTTGTCCACAGCTTTCGCTGTGTCAAAGAACTGGCCTTCCAACCTGGTGAGCTCAAACCTTGCCCGCTGGAGTTCTTCGTCCTCGTCTGGGACCCCTCGGCGCATGATTCCGAAGCCAGATGACGTCTTCTTCCTTGGACGCGGCGTTGGCTGGTACCCAAAGTCACTTTCGATGAATGACCGGACATCCTCGTCATGCAGCAAAATTGGATCCTCGCATACTCTCGTAATCCATCTCTGCAGCATTATCTTGACAAGGCGATCATCCTCCTCATCAGTCGGGGCTGACGTTTGGGCAAGGGGGAGGGCGGGAACGATAGTTTGTGGATTGCTATGCACAATGGTCTCGTAGAATTGTTGAAACTCAAGGTATGAGCGGGAGACGTTACGATACGTCGTGCCGTTAAAATTGGAGAGATTGGTCTAAAATAGTATATGGGGGCTCCTCAGTATCACCACCAGAAAGCTGAATGCAGCCCTACGCACCTGTGCATCAAGCTTGACAAGGATATCCCGCCTGTTCCTATCCAGCCCATTGATTCGCACTCGCAGATACGGCTCGGGCTTCTCGTACTTCACGCCGTTCGAGCCAACAGCTTCTCGCGGAGAAATGAGGCCTGCATCTGGCTGCCCGTATATCTGCGGCTCTCTTCCATACAGCCCAGGTGCGGGGCCCTTGTCCGGCGTCGGCGGTGCAGGTGATGCGCGGCGCAAGTTCGGAATAGTGGAACCAGGAGAATGAGGCGTTGTAGGCCACGGCGGCGTAGAATCGTGGTCAACGCCACCGAAAGCTGCACTCGTTGAGCCTAGGGGGTCGAACATGGCAATGGGCTTAGGAGGTGGGTGGAGGCTTCCGCAAGAGAGCTCAGGCTGGATCGCCGAACAACAGCGAGAACTTACGTAATCGGTACCTTCATTTTCCGAGATGATTGGGATTTCATTCATGTAGAAAGCTGATGTATAATGTCCATTTGGCATGTATACTGTATATAAGTACGATGCGAGTAACGAGCGACGAAGGGTTAATCCCTAAAGCAACCAGAGAATCCGTATAAAAAATTAAGACAAGGTCCATGGCAATTGTAACGAAGTGTCTGAACTAGAAGCTGCTCAAGTATGGCTGGATCGTAAAGGTCGTGACGAGAGGAGGATGTTATATGGGCTATTAGGGAGCTGCGCAATCGGGGATTTTGACATCCTTGAGCTTGCGACTGGAGGGATGAAATGTTAGAGAGGCGTCAAGAACAAATGCAGAAGTAGACGAACTCTTTGGTGAATAGACCCCAGTGACCCTCAACTCCTCCGTATTTGATGTCCTGGACAGGGAATAGGTTAGCAAGAATAACGTCAAGAAGAATGATGAGCATGCCTTCCACTCTTCATCGACGAGCTACGTGCAGAACGAGATAGTCAACTTATGTCTCGCACGCAAAGAGGACATCAACGCACCTCGAAGTAGAAGTAACCAATTCCAGCAGAGTTAGCTTGGCAGACGAAAGTATCGAGGAAAATTTGTAGATTCGGGACGGAGGCATCTGCGGCCCCATTATTCTTGTTGGAAGTGTCCTTGGAGTCCTGAGAAGCGAATCATTCGTAAACTCATACTCTGGCACGAACAGAGACCATGGCTCACAGTTGGCCAGCCAGTTTCAGCGATGTACATTTTGGGCTGCAATTGACATCAATACACCATCAATCCGAGAACATTGTGCGGTGGCATACGTTATTGGGGAGTAGGGCGGCAGGCTTGACATTGGTCTCGTCGAAGAAGTCGGTGACCCACTTGGAGGCGTCCTCAGCAGTGGTGTTCGCGAACCATGCATGGACGTTTGACAGCTGCAAGAAGCGTCAGAGTCAGAGCAATAGAGCCATCATTGCAGACGTACTCCATAGTCCATGGCCTCCATGATTTGGGTGTTGAAGAAGCTTCCAGCGTCAGAGTTGCCAACAGGAATGGTCTTGTCCAGGTTCATGTCGGCGATCATCTTCTTTGTGTCCTCAATGTTAGCCTTGAGAATAGCAGCACCTACGAGTGGTCATTCAGAAAGACGATGAGATCTAGACCAGCAATCATTCGTTACCTTCATTCCCAATGGCGCTGTTGGCATCGTTCGAGCTACGGCCGGTGACATAGCTTTAAGAATAGAACGTTACGCATCGCAGAGTAAAACGTTGCATGCGCTTACTTGAGCATGAACTCGTTTCCGACGGTGACTCCGGCAATGTGTTCTGTGCCGTACGTCTCGATAGCCTCCTTGATGACTTCCCGCTGACGCTCATAAGCGCCCGGATCACCATCGACGACGTAGTTTCCGACGAAGACCTGCATGTCGACCTTTGTCTGCTTGATGGCCTCGAGCTGCATCGCAAGAGAAGGGATAAATTGTGGATAAATTTTGTGAAACAAAGCGGCAATACTGACCACAAGGGCGGTTTGATTGCAATCAGCTCCATAGAGACGGATGCGGGAGGTCAGCTGAGAAAGGATCTAGAGCACACGGGGTCAGAACGGCCTTCAGAGAGGGAGGGAGGAAGGGTCTTACTTGAATATCCTTGATGGTGCCAGCTGCAATGAAGTCTGTCAGGAAAATACAAGGGCCAAGAAAAAAAAATGAACGTGCCCAGGCTGTTGCTGCAGCCATAGTCAGGGAGCGATCCCTCCGGTGTGTAGGCCATGCCGTAGAACGACTTGTGGAGGTTCGGGTCCTTGTCGAAGACACTAGGATCGTTGGACGATGAGCCGCCGGAGCTGCCGGAGCTGCTGCCGCTGCTTCCACTGCTCGACCCGCTGCTGCTACTGGACGACCCGCTCTTCTCCTTGTTGTTGTTCGACACCACAACTCCAACTGTAACACCGACCGCGATCAACACAACAAGGGCAATAACAGAACCAACAACCTGTTACATGAAAAGTGAGTGCTTGATCGCAAGACGTGCACGGACGACTGACAATCCATTTTGAGCGCCTGCTCTGTTTTTGTTGCTTCTCTAGGGCGCTCGACATCCCCAATGACTGGTAGTGGGTGTCCGACATGATGTCGTATGAAACAAAAAGAGTTGGAAGGGAAGAGGGAGGGAAAAGAGAGGGAAGGGAGGGGGAAGGGTGTCTTGATGGTGGTGGAGAGTAGAGAACGATGATTAAGACTGAACCACCTGGTCCTTGCCCCTCCAGGGTCGTTATGCCCGCAAATAACAGAAACAGAGGCTTGGCGATGTGCCAAGCCTCTGTTGGCTGTTCTCCTGCCGACTTGCCATGTTCCGACTCGACTCTCCGGATCCGGGCCTCACTACTGAGACGGTGTTGCGGGAACGTGATAGAACGGAAGGCGAAACAAGGAAGGGCCCATAGTGGCAGATTGTGTCTCAGTGATACTGTGAAGAGGAAGCGTCGTCCAAAGGCGTTTTCTTCATGTCCAGCTGCGGCCCCGCAATGCCGCGTCGAATCGTCGCGTAGCGTACGCGAAGACGCAAAGAAGCCTCAGCATTTCCTCTTGTCGACGGCCGATATCGATTTCTTGTGGAAGCTTGGACATGAGCTGGCACAGGCTCACTGGATTCGATGGTCAGCGCAAAAACGTTATTGCATCGCCACCGATTCTTGGACAACAAGAAATGTGTTCTATTTTTGGACCCAATCCGAGTTCCTGAAAGTACCTTAGTAGTTCCACAATAAATACAGACTTAAGCGCTGAAGAATAACGATAGTGAGGGTCGATTAGTAGATAGTCGATTAGTAGATAATAAGCTCAGTCTCCTCCATCCACAACGGCAGCATATGGCCCATCCGCAATACTTTTGTTCGCAGGTACTTGTCGAGATCCTCGCCGTGAACGGCCTTTCCTCCAATCATCGTAGCGCCTGCGACATCGTTCGAGTCAGCAACGATAATGTGGGCATGATCGTGGGCGGCCGTCGCATCTGTGGCTGCTTTCCGTTGCTGCCAGCTGCGAGGAATCATGGGTACCCGTTCCGCTACGCGGACACCCTCCTGCTTCAACGCCTCGACCTTATCCGGATTGTTCGTCAGAACACGAACACCCTCCGAAATAGACGACGTCGAAGGGTCCGTCCCGAGGCTAAGGTCTCTTAGAATAGCACCAGCTATTTCGTAGCCTCTTTCATCCGCTTTATGGCCGAGCATCAGGTTCGCGGTAACGGTGTCGTGGCCCATATCCTGCAGGTTGTAGGCACGTATTTTCGACAGAAGCCCGATCCCGCGGCCCTCTTGACGCAAATAGATGACCGCACCGCGCCCTGGAATCATCGTCCCGCTGGGATTCGAAGGGGTGGAGGGAAGAGAAATGGGCAGGGAAATTTGTCGGATGGCTTCATCGAGCTGCTCACCGCAATCACATCGCATGCTACCCACGGTTTCCCCGGTGAAGCACTCAGAATGAATTCGGATCAGGGGTGGGGGAATGACGCCTCCCAAGGATCTTGAGTGCGGGGGTTCACTGGATGGCGTGGAAGCTTGCTGTGACGCTGAGGACAGTCGGCCGACGTAGGCGCCCCGGATAATGCGATCCATTTCGGTTTCCGTTTCACTCCATACCGAGTCCAGAGAACGTGACCGGATAGGTGATGCGACGGGAATGGAGTTGGGAGAATCCGACAGTTGAGCGGGATCGATTACAATGGCAAGGTGCTCCTTGGAGTCGCGATTATTGTGGTATAGGTGCAAAAATGCGGGACCGTGCGGGGTGGGTATACGGGTCCGCGCCATGCATCTGACTTCGAGTGGGGGTAGGGAAGTATCTGTCTTTTGAGCCGATCCCAGAATGCTCTGCGATCTGTGGCGGGATGTGGCGTCGGAAATAGTAGCACTAGCCACGGCTACCACGGATGACCGACGCTTCTTGGACGGGAGTGGGAGATTGTCGGCCGGCTTTAGAGGCTCGGTCTCACGAGGTTCATCGTTCTCCTTGGTCTCTTCTGAACTGGCAAGACGCTGCCTGCGGGGACCTTGCCGGCTGACATAGGCGTACTTCTTGCGAGGTGGTTTGGAGGCGTCTTCACCGGTGTACTTTGTCCAGTCCCATGCACCCTCGGCCTTGGGGAGCATTACGCCAGGAAAGAAATCATGATGGTAATGGTTTCTGGTGACGTGAGGGCCCGATGCAAAGGCGGCTGCTATCAGGAGGGGGTCGAGAGCTGCATCGCGGCGAGCGAATGCAGACTTGGCTGCCCGTGGATTGGGACCTGTAAGCATGTCGAGGAGCGCTGCATCGGCGGCGGCATCGGATGTGTGGTGGAGGGCGGTCATGGGAGGACAAGAAGAGAGCGGAGAGCAGTTGGGGCGGGGTAGAGCTCTTAAATATCGTCGGGCTTGTTCTGGTGAATTCTGCAGTGACCAGCACCGCTTATTCACATGGCGGCAGATCCGGGACCTGCTGACGTAATGCGACTGTCACACGCGAAGCCATGATCGAGAATCGCGCAGTAATAACCGTTCTCTTCATCGCTCATCATGGTCTCGTAGCACATCGCTCTGTCAAATTCACGATGCGCCTCCTCAGCGTCGCCCTCTACCTTGCCCTTCGTTTCTCCTCACTGTACGTCCAGCCTGACATCACCGCCCTGAACCGCGTCCCTAATCATTCTCCGTTTAGCTCTTATGCAGCTCCGACATCGTCAGACTCATCTTCCTCTTCGCTTTCATCGTCCCCAGCGACCTCTGTTGCACTGGCCCCTCATACCAGAACACTTACCACCACCTCTCACAGGAGGGCTACTGTCACCCGTATCCCCCATTCCCAGCCCACCCGCGCTCACTCCATACAAATCCCCCAAATCCCCCAGCCTCAAAGCCCGAATAACCCTGCTCTCGCAACCCGCACCCGAGACGTAACCGCCGCATTTCCTGACCGTACGAGAGGTCCCGGGCGTGGCCCACCCAGAGATCCGAATGGTTTCCAACGTCCTCGTCGACATCGTGGTGGCCAGCGACCTATCATCATCGCGTTCGAGGTTCTTGGAGGCATCGCCGGAGCTGCTGTACTTTTCTTCATCGGCCGTTGCCTCTACAACTACAAAAAGACTCCCAAGCGGGATCGCATTGCCGAAATCCTCCAGCGACACCACCTCGAGCGAGAGATGGAGGAACTTGAACGTAATCCCCGCGCACTGCGACGAACATCCATACAAGAGCCCGCCCCTCCGTACTTCCCTCGCCCTCCCTCCTACAACGAGACACGTATGGCTCCTGCAGTGAGCTCTGCAACACGCGCGGAATATACGCAGGTCGCAACGCATTCCCCGCCGTCATCTCCCCCGCCCACGCACACGTCTCTCCCATCAGTCTCTGCTCCCCCTGCCGTCAATTCTATGCCCATTGTCCCCCAGGGATAACGCCGAACTCATTCATTTTTTTTTTTGCTGCGGCGCTCCGCTTATGCGACAATCCTAATGGCAGAATACGTTCAGCCGGGACTCATCAAGGCTGTCTATTTACGACGACGATAACGTGGGCAATGCAGACACGACTTATGTCTTCCTTTCTCACAGCGGGCCAAGCCCATCTTCTACTCCATGAACTGGTGTGTGTGTTATTTCGTTCGGACTTTGGTTGATTCGGGCACGGACTTCTCTATCTACTCCCTTAATTGAACTTGGGTTGCAACAGTATCTACGTCCATCCACTCCTTGTATATGGTAAACTGCGCTGGGCACCACCGGAATCACTTATAGATCAGTCGCTACAGCATGTACTCTATGCCGCAGTAAATTATGACAGGCAATCCCCAGAAACGTCAGCGACATAACAGTTGAGGCGGCAAAATTAACAGCGTCTGTTCTATTTTTAGCTTGGATAAGATGCTTCAGCCTTTCGCGCGCTAGCTTTCGCGATCACGCCCGCGTTATTTTTGGGCAAGATAAACACATCCTTCAGCTGGAGAACTGCTTTCAAGCTTACATTAACCTGAGCTCCAATACATATGTCTCTCATGACCCCTGTATTGCTCGGAGCGTTGTGGTCGACCGCATGGTTTAAACTAGTATCTGCGCTAAGATGCTATGTCGGTCTCGGGTCCCCGCTCGAATCTCGATCTAGGACGAAGGGCTAAAAAGAGCCTCAAGGCTTCAGTGCCATATAGGTATCTACTGCGAACGCCCACACGAGAAGCTAACGACAAGACAGTGAAACGGAGAAACCGTAATTTGATGTTAAAGCTAGGTATCCATGATAATAAGAAAACCGTCGTGAAAGGCGCTCACGGCTCCGATCGTCTATAAGTTTGACTGATGTACAGAGTGTCAACGTGCCAATGGAATATCGAGACTACTCAACGCCGAGATTAACGATGGGCGGGCGTTAGAACCTGGAAGATCGACGCCCAAACCGGTGAGTATGGGCCGTTTCGGGCCGGGGTCTTTTCTCTTTCCTCATCCATCAACCGTCCGCGTCAGGGTCGACCGCCACAGAAGCGACGCGTTTGGCGCATGCATCCCCCATGGCCTCGTCATCATCAACCGTGCCCTTGGGTGCAAATCCCCACCAGAACAACTATCACCCGGTGAACGGAAAGTGAGTGTACCCGACACCCCTTCAAAATTCGGCCTTTGACGCCAGTCCTTCGCCTTTTTTTGTCCAAATCTCAGTGCTGTAAATCAACAGCCGCCGCAGAGACAGCCGTCTGGACCGCCCGTATCGAACAATGGCACCGAGACGCGTCTCAAGATCGTCGAGATCCTTGCGAACACGGCGAATGGGTGCCTTGCAGAGCTGGGATACTTCCCTGGGATGTCGCAAAAACTGGCGGAACTCGAGAAGCGGAACAAGACATGGCAGAGCGAGAACGTGCAGCTCTATCAGGACAACCAGACGTTGCTGATGAAGCTGCAGGAGCAGGAGCACCGGTTGAAGTTGGTGCAGGCTCCTGAAGCCGAGAAGGTTGCGAAGATCGTGCAGCTCGAGCGGGACGTGCAGAGGCTGAGGGCACAGAGGGATGAACTGAAGCAGGGGAAGCCTGCGACCCCTGCACCGAACACACCAGACTTTCAGGCGCTGTATCGCAAGCTGCATGCGGACTATACGAGCCTCTGCGAGGCGTACCGGGTGGCGTATAGCGAGGTCCATCATTATCGCGCTCAGGTTGGACTGCAGCCTTATGCACCCCTGGCGCCTATCCCACAGAATGTGCAGAATGTGCAAGCGATGACGAGAGTCCACCCAGCCCCTGTCGTCCCCAGTCATTATCCACCGACGCCTACGGGGCATCAAGCTCAAGGCCCGCCTCCACAGCCGCCTTCACAACCAGGAGCCGCACTCACGAATCAACATGCTGTTGTCCAATCTCCAGTGGCGATCTCTCCTTCGCATAGCATCCTGCAACAAGGACGAGGGCGACCAAATGAGCAGATTCAAATCCAGCACCCCTACGGTCAGATCAGGCAGCAAGGTCCTGGGTCAAACCCTCCGTCACGAAGGTCTTCCATGGCGGGTGAGTGTCACTTACGTATGTTGTTCAGAATGACGCCTGACATCTCCGCGCACAACAGCCCCGCCGCCACATCCACTCCATCAGGTACGCTGCATCTTCGGATCATCGTGGCTGTCCCAAGTTTACACCGAGTCTGTAGGTCCCAACCCAGGCATTCGTATCCCCGAACGTCGTGGACCCACCTGTGAGACCCTTCTCTACACCCCCACCTCCTGCGATCTCACGCATTGCTCGCCAGCAGCACCCGCCGCCGCTAGCCCAGCAATATGCGCAACCCATGCCAATCCAAACGACGCAAATACCGCCAACCCAGAGCCCGCAAAACGCGGTTTCGACGCACGATCAACAACAAGCCGCGAGGCGGGCGTCGAACCCCAATACGCCCGTGAATGGTGTGTATCCGCCGAACCTATACCCGCCTTCGGCATTCCACCCTACAGCAAGGAGGAATACCTCGCAGCCCTTGCCGAGTTCGGGTCTGCGTTCTGGTTCAGAACCTCTCAGTATTTCGACGAACCATGACCCGAATTATCCTCCAACCCCCAGTGCTGACTACCCGCCACCACCGATGAGCGCCTCCGCGATTCTGTCCCAGAGCTCTCCGTTTGCACCTCCGCATTCGCAGCAAAGTGTCCCTCCAGCTTCATCCATTGTTCCCATTCAAACCATTCTCCCAACGCCTCCGCAGAGTGCTGAACAGAATGGCCAGCCTGCAGTGACCACCATGGCACCGTATGACATGCTTCTCAAGAAGCCTCCGTTTGTTGCGCAACAACAGCAACAACAGCAGGTGTTCGATACTCCTCAATATACACCGCCCACACCCCAGCATTCCGTCTCCGGTGGAACGCCTCTGCAGAGTTACAGTCGCAGTCCAAGCATGCGTACTCCAAGTTCGTCGCGGTCAAGCACTAGTGGTACCCCCATACCTGCAGGTGCGGTCTCTGGTGGAACTCCTGTGCAGAATTATAGCCCATACCCACCAGTGCCAGGACCGTCTCGTTCGAGTAGTACACCTCCTGTCGCCTTTTCGGCTCCTGTTGTGTCTCCGGCTCCTGTGGTTGTGCCTTCAGCTCCTCCAGTTGCACCTCTAGTTCCTGCGGTTGTGCCTTCAGATCCTCCACCTGTCGTGTCTTTGAAGCGTGATAGCATCTCAATGGCGGACGGACACGGACGAGAAGAGGAAGCCCAGAAGAAACCACGCCTCGAAAGCCCTGTCTCCCAACCAGAACTAGTGCAGCCTGCTCCTAGCCATGCGGAACCGCAAACTAGTATACCGCCGCCATCTTCTCCAGCTGCAGTTCCTCCTGCTTCGTCGCCTCCACCACCTGCTTCTTCTCCAGTCCCAGCACCCGCAGAGGCTGCCCAAGTAACCACGGATCTTCCTCCACCTGCCCAGGACGACGATCAAGAGATGGAAGATGAAGAAGAGGGAGAGGGTCTGGTGGAGGTTGGCCCTGATGGTCTTCGTTTGGTGAAGGACTGCCTGGAAGACCTCTTCGACGAGGACGAGGAGTTGCCCGGCCATAGGACGTGTAGACTCTGCTCGTACGTTCTCTCTGCCTTATTAATTGTACTATATGCTGACGGTAATCACCGCCCCTCAGCGTTCGGCATCGGAAGGGGTTAATATCAGAACCACCAACAGCCTTCGTCAACGCCACAGACGAAGAGCTCGAAGCGCATTGCCTGGCGGAGCACGACCAGGTGTGGGAGGTGCTGAGGAAGGTGGGTGGTTGATGATCGATGAGCTTCCTTGCGCTGTACCTGCCCTCCGTGGATATTTCAAGTCACGGCTTCTTCTATTTTATTACCTCGCGAAGTATTGGCTTTGCGTTACTCTGTCATAGACCGCTTAATGTACTATATGATTGAAGCTTGATCGGCCCAGGACCTGTTTTTAGATTCCGGATGGTATCCAAAAGGTTCTCCATGGCGTCAGCCGCTTCATTCCTGTCAGTGTTGACACCACTGTCATCTTCCTTCGTCCTTGAATGAATTCTGACATACCAGGGAAGCCCGATGAGGCTCTCCCGGGACCTATCCTCCTCGACGGCTTCCTCCAGTCCTTTCTCCTCGGAACCATCGTGAACCAGGCTTTTAAGTACTGGGTCGACTACCGAGACGACTCTTGGCGTCGGCGTATCTTCGTCACGAGCGTCATAATTTTGTCAATGTAGGCTGATCCCTCGCTATTCTTATTTCGTAAACTGAACTTCACGCGCGAAGATTGCAAACCATGCTTGAGGACTACAAAGTGTGGAGAACGTTGATTATAGGCAAGCGATGGGTGAGTTTTCCATCCTCTCTGATTCTTCTTATAGGCAAAATAACTCTGGTCTTAGTCAACAAGCCGGATCGAGTGGTCGGATCTATTTCTAAATGGATGTATTTGCTGGCTGTGTGAAGGCTTCTACATCAAGCGGTGTTGGAAGGTGCGCCACACGGAGCCTGATGCCAGTGAGATTGCTAAATTTGACATGTATTCCCAAATCAGATGATGGACAGGAGCATGTGGGTCTTGGCGCCGTTGTCGGTGTTGTCGATCCTCATCATGGCTGCAAACGTATATCTTGTGAGTTTTTCCTTCTCTAATTTTGGTGCACTGGCAGGCCTTAATCAGTTGTTCGGTTGCCATCTGAACCAGGCAATAGCAATGGGAATTGCATTTCGGTCGCTGGAGGGAACAGATGATGTGGGTCGATTGCATTTACGAGGAGATTTCGATAAATCATAAAGCAATTTATATACAGACTCTAACAGCCAGTCATTTCCTCTTGCCTTCTGTAAGTGTCGGAACTCAGTAGCCAACTTGGTGTATCCCCGCTTCTTACCTTCCCGTCCAGACAATCGTCGCCTTCTCGTTCTGGATCTTCGGGTCACTCAGTGAGCCCTCTTTGGGACTCCCGCTCGCAACTAATTTAACTGATATACGTATCACAGTTCTGGAGACGGTGGTGACGGTCATACGCAAGTCTTCTGATCTCCGTTGCATTTCCACTCCTTCCTGAGGGTGTTCTTAGTATTGATATCCCTTTGGCGCTCTCGAACCGGATTCCAAGAAGTCGACAAGGCACTGTTTACCGTCATTCATCTAACATGGGAGTCTGCGATTCTTCCATCGATCTGTATGATCATCGCAGTCGGACTTTATCATGCCACACCAGTAAGTTTTTAGGACACCCTTCTTGATACGGAACCCATTTGAACTGATCCTCTAGCGCGTAGACGACCACCTGGTCCTCTTCTTCGTCCTGCTTACAGGGAAATTCTACACCTTCGGCATGCTCCGAACGCTCAACTACCGAGCAAAACTTCGTCGTAAAATGGAATCACACGAACTGGGCAGAACGTCTCTGAGCACCGACTGGACGGGTTCAACAGACTTTCCGACCAAGAAAAGAAAACACTCCAGTCGAACGAGCATCGCAGTGTGTAGAAAGCGTATATTCTTCCTCATTGTGTAGATTCGCTGACTGCCCATACCGCAGCCCGACGCACCAGGCCCCACAGCAATCTTGAGAGAAAGCGACACAGATAACGACATACCAAGCAGTCCTTCGATCAGCCATCTTGGAAGCATTGGTCATCTCACGACAAGCGTCCAACTGAATACGCCGTCAATGGAGGCGCAGGAGAGAGGCGCATTTTCGGGGTTTAGAAATCGTGTGTATTCTGGCGAGATAGCTCGATGATGAGATCAGTCATAATATGGATGTTACAGACTGTTTAAATCAAAGCAGCAGTTTTGCACGGAGATCCGGGGTTTCAAGGTTTAATACTTGCAGCAAGATCACTGAGTAGAGTTTCGAGGCGCTGGGCCTCATGACGAATAAGGACGAGATCCTTCTCGTAAACGATGGCTTCTGTGAGACCGGGGAAGGTGGTAGCTCCATAGCCTGTAGTGCACGCGTTCATGATCAATCAGCATCAGCGCGAAGTAAAGAGGATTGCGAGAACACTCACCAAGCCACTTGCCAGGAGCCACACCCAGATGCTTGTACCATTCTCTTTGATAAATTCCATCCTGCGAGATGAACCCACGTTCAAATGCGATGAGCTTCTTGTTCGCAGCCGAAACACGTTTGGCAGCCTTTATGAATCGGCGGATGGGGAAAGGCAAGGGCAGGTTGTCGATCTTTTCCTCGTCACTAGAACCCTCTAGATTCCCGAACTGTCTGTCGAGGTCAACCACATATTCGAGGTACTCTTCCCATGACCCAGCACTTCGCAAGCTCAGATATCGCAGCTCAGCGTTGGTGGGAGGAGGTACGCCGAAGATACCTTTAATCCAATCTGCAATCCGCCGGCGGAATCCTGCACGTCGTTTGTTGCACTTCGCCCTGAGTCGTCGTCCTGGGAAAGGCATCCTCTTGAGGAGTCTCAGGAAGTCTTCCTCTGCATCCTTTTTCTCGACGTCCAGAAGGATGCTAGCTTCTTGGACGTCCCTGATTGCATTCCTTAGCGAGGAGAACTCCACCTCCTTGGCCTTCTCGTCGAGTGACGGCACCAGGCTCTGAACCCTGGTAAAAACCGATGAACGGGTGATCGAATTAGCTTTTGGGAAACACGCTTACTTGTCGAGGTAGTCGTCCAGCTCGAGTGCATACTGCGTGGTATTTAGAGGAAGGATGACCGAGTCAATGAGACGAAGAGCCAGCAGTCCCAAATGCCTCGCAACAGCAACCTAGAATGGTATCTTGTCAGTCGAGCAGAATTAGAGAATTATGTGAGATAGACATACATGACGATGGAACCCGCGATCCGCATAACGTTCCTGCCATGCCTGCGTATCGTAAATGGAATGATAGTGATACACCGGATCACTCGGCGTAAAGCCAAAGCCCTGATCAGTGCTTGCAACTCCAAGACGCTGCAAAAACACGGTGTAATCACTCCCACTTCCAAGCGGTCGTACCCTCGTATTCGACGCCTTGAGCTCCGCCACTTCATTGGCATACATCTCCAAAAAATCAGAATCGACGTTGCTGGTGTTCACACCCTGGAGGCCTTTCAGAGGGCCTTCGTCATCAAGAGCGTCCCAGAGCGTCTTGCCTTCGACTGTGGGGTGTGGGACATCAAGAGCCGTTTGTTGAATGATGTGAGCGAGAGAGGGGGATGCTCCAACGTCCCAGCGAGACCCAGCCACCGACACATCGACATTGAGGTAGGCGACAACATGTTCGGAGATCCAAGGTGCGAAATCTTCACCCCATTCTGTACTACCCACAAGACCATACTAGGAAAGGACGTTTCGTCAAAAAAAAAAAAGAACGAAGAGCCATTTGTACTGCATTACCTCTTCGGCATCCCAGCTGGCGATGACAATTGTTCGTAGAGGTTTCCACCTTTTCTTCAACAAAGCACCAAAGCCACGGATAATCTCGTGGAGAGATACGGTGCCGCTCGTGGGGTCAGCAGCTCCCAGTACCCAGGCTTTATCGGAACCAGCATGTCAGTGGAAATCTTGGGCATGGCGGAGGCCATAAAGAGGATCATTGTACTGACCATCGCGATGGCATCCTATCAACACAACTTCGTTCTTGATATGGCCAGGAATAGACGCCATTGCGTTCCATATAGGTGCGACCTTCGTGTCGACTGGAGTTTTTCTTAGTAAGACAATCTTAGTATGTAGCATGGGTCTCACCGTGGTTGACCAGCCGCACGTTCTTCTCACTGGCTTTCCCGCTCAAGACCTTCTTTCCGTCCTTATGAGCGTCGATCTCTCCGATTTCTTCGAGAAGCCTCTGCGCATTTTGCCATGAGATCGGCAGACTGGGAATGTTTGGGATGTTTGAGCCCTCAGTTCGTTCAGCGTCCAGGTAGGCAGGATAACCTGGAGTGCTTGGGTCGCCTGGGTACAATGACAAGAACTGGACGCTTCCGCGCTGCACGGACGACGGATTGCGAGCCGGACCGGCGGGGTATGGCGGATAGTCATTCTTGACGGTGACGAACCCATCGTCGCGTGGGTCTGAATAGATGAGAACTCCCGCAGCACCAAGCTCCTGTGCACCTTTGATCTTCGCAAAGTTGAGGAAGTACTCTGGGAGGAAGAAATAAGGTACTCACCTTCAGTCCACGAAAATTTGCTCCATAGCGTGCAATAACAATCTTGTCCGTCAAATTGGCTCCTTGAGCAACAAGCTCGTCGTAATCTTCTTTCCTGCCGTAGTTCGCATAGACCAGTTGGCCCGTAACTTCGCCATCGCGGCTCAGACCATGCCAGGCGGGAACGGCGTCTCTGTACTTGTGGGCATCAGGATCCCGAGGGTCTCCATCCTCTACCAGATCTGCTGTCCACAGAGCGGTGCCGTCATCATCCAGTATTTCAACGGCCTGGTCCAGACCAGTGTTCAAGACGGGGTAGTAAGTGTCGATCCATGCGGTAGGGTGGGATGGAGCACTAGGAGTTGTGAGAAGGAGCGTTGCGTTTCGAGAGTGTGGTGAACCAGCGTCGTAAATGGGTAATTCGTCAGGTTTCCGGATGCCTAGCTCGTCTTGAAGCAAGTGAAGGATGACTTTGGCGTCCAGGTTGTCCTCTGAACTGCCTGCAAGATGGGGGTGAGTTGCATACGCGCGAGATGCCTCAACTGCGCTCTCCGGGTTAGGGATGGAGCTGGTAAATAAACGGGTTTGTACAGGGCACTGCGGACTACACTTGTTGAAATGGCTCACAGGAAGAGATCCTCGCGCTCCTTGATGGTCAGTCCACGATGGGGAAGAGGGAATTTCGGCTTGTTAGACGATGAAGATGACCATGGTCGAGGTCCGTCCACGAGGAGGTTGCGGTTTGTCAGATGGCGGACGAGGACCAAGAGGAGAAGAAAGGCGGTGCCGTGGAGAACGACTTTCTGCAGACGACGGCGATGACTACACTTTGGTTGGGGGGGCCGTCGAGGATCCGCGAGCTTGTCTTGCTCCTTGGAAGCGGGGTGCTGTTTCTCGATGTCCATGAGAATCATGGTTCGACAAGCCCAGTTATAAATGATCACGATAAGGCAGACTGTCACCAGACGCGTCCCGGATCGCGTGCTCCGAGTATTTCTTGCTTCGCGTTCCTAGTCAGGGTGTTTCTGAGTCTCTCACTGGTGGAAGCTGCCTCAAGACTGCAATATGTGTTCGAGTTGTAAGTCAGGCTTGGATTTCTGTTCGCCGGCTGCCTCGTAGTCGTCCCAATTGTAAATATGGCCTGTCAGGTTTGTCAATTAAATCATTTCTCACCATTATCGCTTCACCACTGGTGCTATACAATGCTTCGATTCTCAGGCAGCTATCCCTACCTTCTCCCATATTGAACCGACCAGGACGCCCTAATGACCGATGAGAAACCCTTGAAGCAGGTTTTGTTGCTCCCTGTCTCGACCCCACCAGAAATCTCCCGACGACCAGCATGGCGGGTTTGGCGTCTCGCATGGCTGCTCCTGGCTGTCTTCCTATGGGGCCTGCATATAAACCCAAGGACCTCGGAAGGAAACTCGCGAGAGACTACGGAAAGCCAACGAAGTGGTCGAAGACCCTTTGGACGACGGGCCGAAGAGGCCTTCCTGTACGTGCGCCTTTCCTTCGTGCGTCAAAACTTTCACTCTGACATTTATATGCAGCTCTGTTCCTAATGCCTCATCTGCAATTAGAGCCTCCAGGCTCTTCGCCACCAAGCCGCACCTGGCGGGAACCCCACAGGACTTGACTACCGCAGTGGATTTTCTTCAAATTCTGCAGAGGGAATTTAACATAACCCCTCCTGCAGTTGAACCAATCTTTCCTGCGGGTTCCTCTGAATCACAACATGCAACTCGCTCCATCTCCAAAGCAATTCGACCGTATGCATGGATCGACACATATTATCCTGTCATGAACACCCCGCTAGACAGGAATCTACAAATCCTTGACGAAGACGGGACGCTCTTATGGGAAGCGAATCTGGTGGAAGTGTCTGATTTAACTGACCCAGATGCTGGGCAATACTTCGACGCTGTTCCGACATTCCATGGCTTGAGCCGCGAAGGGGATGTAACAGGAAAGCTTGTGGGTGGAAACTATTGCACGCAGGATGTACGATTTCCCTTCTCATTTCTAGCTTTCGAATTAACCACATTGTTTAATAGGATTATGGAAAGCTGGTGGAGAAAGGTGATGTTGTCAAGTGAGAGACATGTTTCCTCATGGGCTCATGAATGTAGCAGGAGTCGACTTGAGCGGTGCTATTGTCTTGTGTCGCTATGGTGGCATCTTTCGTGGGCTCAAAGTAAGTCGGCCAGCCCGGCGTTAAATTTAAGCTCTGACCCTTTCTCAAGGTCAAAGGAGGCCAAGGTATGTGCCAGGTCTAATACCCCTTCGAGCATCCTCAACTGTAATGCGCATCCCACGCAGATTTGGGTGCTGCTGGTGTGCTAATTTACTCTGACCCGATCGACGACGGTACTATCACTGTCGAAAATGGGTACCTTGCGTAAGTACAATTGCAACGCTCTTGCTATATTCCAGAATTGACACTTAGACAGTTATCCCAATGGACCTGCTCGAAATCCAACGTCGGTGCAGCGTGGAAGTGTGCAATTCATCAGTGTCTATCCTGGCGACCCAACGACTCCGGGATATCCGTCATACGAAAATAGTACGCGAACCGAAGGAGCCAACATCCCTCTCATTCCCAGTCTCCCAATCTCCTGGGACAATGCTCGAACCTTGTTCAGGACTCTGCAGTCAGACGATCCTTTTGGAGGCAAACTTGTCCGATTGGTTAATAATGGTCAGGGCAACTGGTTTTCCAGATATTTCTGTACAGGGCTGAATGCGTCCTGCATCAGTGAACTCGACAGTCACTCCCATCTGGAACACAATGGGAGTAATTCCAGGTTTCATCAAAGACGAGGTTGTTGTGGTCGGCAATCACAGGGATGGTAAGTCGCTCAATTTATCCATTTCATTGCCAAGGCTTACAATGATTCTCTAGCTTGGGTAAGCGTGCCATGTTTCACTGCGAAGCATACCGCCTAACTCTTCGACAGGTCCTAGGTGCTACAGATCCTTCCAGTGGGACAGCATCAGTAAATGAAGTTATTCGCGGCCTTGGACACTTGCTGAGCAAGGGATGGAGGCCATTGAGAACAATAGTAATTGCTAGCTGGGATGCAGAAGAGGTGAGAACCTTCTTTTCACAAATTGCGCTCTTCTAACCACAACCCTTGCAGTACGGCCTCATTGGCAGCACAGAATGGGGCGAAGATTTTGCAGATTGGATTGACGAACACGTCGTTGCTTATCTCAATCTTGGTATGCCGTCATCCTTCCCACCTATTACATGCTTCTAATCGTATACTTTAAGATTCTTCTGTATCCGGCTCACGCTTCAGGATGTCTGGTTCACCTCTTCTCGCGCATTTTATCCGGGATACGGCAGAGGAAATTCCGCATCCCACGGACAGTGACCGTACGCTCTGGGATGCTACTCAGGATGACGGTCCTCTTTTTGGCCCTGCAAGGGTTGACCACTCCGCGTTGAATGAAGAGGCATTAAAAATACGTGAAATGGAAGTCGCCGCTGCTGACAACGTCGGTGTCTCGCCTTTGGGATCTGGTAGTGATTATACTGTATTTTTGCAAAGGAATGGGGTGCGTCTTCCGTTCGTGGCGCTCTCGTCTCAGCTGCTGAGGACCGTTGTGTAGATTCCGAGCACAAACGGCGGATTCGGGGCAACACTCCATGATCCAGTTTATCACTACCATTCCGTATTTGACTCGGAGAGGTGGCAAGAAATGTACGGCGATCCTGGATTTTTCCGCCATGTATGTGTCAAGTTAGTCCTTGGTTTCATAATCCAAGATACTGACATCTGTTTAGATTGCAGTTGCAAAACACCTCGGATTACAAACTCTTCGACTTGGGTCCTCACTTGCGCTTCCTTTCAATACCACACACTACGCTTATGAATTGGAGTCTTACCTTGAAACGTGGGTCATTTTATTATCCCTTTTCAAGAAGAGTGTTGTAATCACTTGCTGGTGTAGCGTTCAAGGCATCGCGGATCAAGCATCTCTTGATGTAAATTTCAAGCCTCTGAAGAACTCCATCCAAGCCGTTCAGAAAGCCAGTCAAGCTCTTGAGGAGGAGAAGCAGGCAGCCTTGAAAGATCTCCAGAAAATTATTGACGACTGGAAGAAGAGGCACCAACGGAGACGTTGGCTCGCCAGGACACTCAAGAAAGTCGCCTGCTCAGTTAAGAATGCTCTTGGACACGAATGCCTCTGTCAGCATGGGAAACCTCATCGTCGGTCAGAAGCCGTGCTTCAAAAGCAGGATGCGGATGAGGACGAAATATTGGTTGGAGTGCTTCTCCACAAGGGTAATGAAGGCTTGCTTGATCATGACAGCACGGGAACGCTCCACCCTCGACGCAGGTTCCCGGTGAAGCGTCTCATAAGGGTTCTCAAGCGCATTCGTTCCGTGAACAAGAAGTCGTCCTCATTCGAAAGGGCTTTCATCTCAGAGGATGGTATTAAAGACCGGGAGTGGTATAAGCACCTCGGTGTTGCACCCGGAAAATGGTTAGGTGAGTCAACGTCCCTCGGAGCAATATAATTGGGGGCCTATCTAACGTCGTTAGGTTATGGTGCAACTACCTTCCCTGCATTGACGGAAGCGATAACTTTTGAGAAGAACGCGACTCTGGCAAACTATGAGGTTGAACGACTGGAGAAACTCTTGGACAAGTTGGAAAAGAGGCTCAAAGTCTGATCTGCTTTATGACATCCCATCTGTCATTTCCTTTTGAGTGGATACTTGTACCCCTGTAGTAGTATCTAAAGACAATGCTCTCGTGATATGTCGGGGAAATAGGGGAATAACAGTGACACAGGTCAAGTGACCGTGTCTTGGAACGCGCTGTATAGATACTCCGACTCCCTGCAAGGCATCTGCCACGAGGGACAACCAGAGCCCGCGAACCAATCGTTTATCCTCTTCATGACACGACGACTCCTTTGACGGAGCTCATTCGCCATGTCTGTTACCGCCAACCTCGGAAAGCTCGAGCAGAAAGCGGCCACTATTCTTGCAGTTGCCTTACCTCTTTCCCTTCTCATCTTCACTCACCGACGAGAACTCATACCACTCTATGGATCCACGCCAACGTCCTTCCTGCTCGACAAAATAATCTTTGCGGCCGTGATATTGTCCTCCATCCACCCATTCTCGATACCGCCTCGATGGGTACTCCTTGCCACAGGAATTGCGCTCACAGCTGCGCCGAATGTAACCTATTATATGGCAGTTTGGACTGCCAGGAAGAAGGATCCTGTATGGGGACCTGCTGTTACTCACGCGTGCTCGTTGGGCCCGATAGTTTTTCTGCTGACGACGTTTGTCGCTGAGATGAATGATCTAGACTCGGAGGTACATATGTTTCTTCATCCATCCTGGTTTCCGCGCTCATACGTAGTTAGCCCCAGTCTAAAGGTGATAAAGCGAGCACAGGACGATCTCCGCTTTCCCTTCGCCTAATCCGAGGAACAATGTGCCATCTCATCTCATATACCTTGTCCCAACGTCTATGGGCCGGGCTTCCCCTCCTCTACACCATCTCTGACAGCCAAATTGTATGTTCAAATTCACCCTTTTAAAAACTCTCTAAAACCGCGGTGCATAGTATTTGGCAATAGCAGGTGCATTTTATGCTTTATATATCGCGTCTTGGCCAATCCAAAGCGTCAAACGCCTTCCAAGGAAGAAGAAAATTCAAGCGACCTCTTCCTTATCCGCCTTTCAACTCAAAGGCTTCTTACTGGCTGCCTTCGCTGCGTTCTGGTGGACCGCTCATCCCCTGTTTGCAAATCCAATTCTTCCGCATCCTTTGAAGGAGGTCTACACGCATCCGTCATACAACCTGCAAATACTCTCTGCCGAGCAATCCGTCACTGGACTGATTCAAGTTGCAGAATGGCTCCCGCCTGAAGCAGACAACGGAAACGACCAGGAAATGCATTCTGCCCGCTATCTACGTGCAGACCACTCCATTCTTGGTGGTGTGTGGACCCGCGATAGGGTGCAAGTTCTGGACGACGATAAACCCCTTCAAGATTCATTTGGCAGCCCTCTCGGTGACTCCATTTATAGCACTTTCATCATACAGGAGACGGTCCGACTTGTTAATAGTACGCAAGTTGGGAAGGCGGACAAGTGGAAGAATGCTCTTGTCATGTAAGAGGAATACTCTGAACGTCAATGATCGTCAATTTTGACAAAAAACATCAGTGGCCTGGGGATTGGCACTTCTGCGACTTCATTAATGCGCCACGATATTTCGACGACTATTGTGGAAATTGACCCTGCTGTTTACAAAGCTGCTAGAACCTACTTCGGACTCCCCGACCCAGGACCTGGTCAAGTATTCCTTGAGGATGCACGGGCGTGGGTTACGGAGAAGCAAGCCAAGATCGAAGCAGGAAAGCAGGAAACTCTTTTCGATATTGTGATCCACGACTGCTTCTCTGGTGGCGGAGTCCCAAAGCACATATTCACTCTTCAGTTCTGGGAACAGTTGAAAACTTTAATGGCGCCGGAGGGTGTTCTTGTCGTTGTAAGTCTCTTTGTGATCGTTCTATTTCGTGCTGTAAACAATGATGTTGGGGAGAACTTCGCTGGAATATTGAGGTCAAGCTCCTCTCGGCTTGTGATTCACACGCTGGAGAGAAGCTTCAAGCAGTGCCGGGCCTTCCATGATGTTTTCGACGCGCTGCCGGATGAAAAATACGATACAGAGTTTATCAACATGGTTCGTCTGTCGTCTGTTTACCTTATCCACTGCCTCATAACTCGCGAACATCGCAGGTTATCTTCTGCACTCAAGCCGAGTCGCCATTGACATTCCGTACGACAAAAAAATCAGATTGGCTTGGGTCGCCCTTACGTCGACACGTCTTCCAAAATTTACTGTCCAGAGAGGTCAATCTCACGTCAATAAGAGACCCAACGGCAGGCGACGGATACATTTTGACTGATAAAACAAACCCTTTGGGGACCCTCCAAGCAGAACAAGGGAGCCACCATTGGTCTGGTACGTTCTGAAGCATGCACATTCCGTCTATGAATGCTCACCCTTTGAGCCTAGTGATGCGTCAGGTGCTTGGAGATGTTCATTGGGAAACCTACTAAGGGAGATCAACATTAGTAACTTCATACTCTGTAGGGAGCTTATTGTGACCTGTATTTATCTCAGCTATGTTCTGTACTGCCTGTGTGTACTGATACTTGCGATCGTGGACTGAACGAGAGGTAACAACTTAGTTCGTGTTCTAAAAGGAGTAAACATAACTTGAAGTAACTCAGCCAACCCCTGATTGCGCCTTGGTCTTGGACGGTGTCCATTCACCAGCCATACAGCTCCTGCGCTATGTCAGAACACCCTCGCACCACTCTCTCTTCCCTGTCTTCTTCTCCGGGAAGATTGCCTCCGATATCGAGGCCGGACTGGCCGTGGGCAGCTCGTAGTTACTCACAAAGAAGCCAACAGTCGTCTCCACATCCTATCCAAGGATCAAGCGCGCAGAGTGGTTGGGATCCACGATCATCCATCTCCTCGGGCGGTAGTCAAAGTGGCCATTCAGGTATACAGGCCGGTAGAGCCACCAGCACTCCCAGACCGACATTCGCAAATTCTGCCATGGCACACGGGGAGTTGACAAGGCATTGGACATTCACGGTACATAAATGCCTCTCCCTTCCTTCAAGTCTAACCCTGCTTGCCACAGGGTTTTGAATGGGTCGTTCGTGATGCTCACAAGCTCAGGAATTTTGTCGAGGGCGTAGAAGCTGTTGAAGATGGCGTCCAGCCTGGGCATGGGGATTTCGAAATACTCAAACACTCCCCGATGCTTGGAGACAACAAATTCAAACTAGAGATTGGTGGGTTCCCTCATCACCTAAATTAAACCTCCCTAAACGACCTCTGTAGCACCCACCATTCCTGCCGACGGGTCGTCTGCTTCCAGTCCAACCACTCTGTCGTTGTACATCACCTCCCTTCTGCTCGACTTTGCTCAAGGCGACTATGAAACTCATGCTTCCATGATGGCTGCTATTAAATGCCAAGATGACCGTGCTGGTGAACGAGGAGCGCGTCCAGATTGGGTTTGGGAATATTGGCAGAACGATTGGGTATTTCGTCGCGAAAGCGAGGTTTGGGGTGCGTGAACGCGTCGTTGGTAGATGCAATGCGCTCATTTCTATCTTAGAATGCCCCTTGCCATCCCTTAGTTCGCTCTTGGAGAATCCAAGGATACAAGAAACGGATTCCATCGTAATCTGCGTACAAATTCACTGCCCTGTTGGACCCTCTGTTCCTCAGCAACCTTCCGTATACTATGTACCCAAGGATCTCCTGGACGGCCTCGAGGCATCATTAGATAACCCAAGTGAGTGATCTGGTCAATTGTATTTGGGAGCTTTGTACTAATAAATTGCAGACACTGGCGATGTCCGCTTTGTTTGCCTGGAGCGATACAAGGGTCAAGATGATGCCCCTTCAAATCAGCCTTCATCACCCAATGCTTCTGAAACTAGTTCGCCGTTTGGTTCTTACGCAACTGCCCGCAAACGAATCATATACGCGCACTCTGACATTCTGAAACGCCGCTCTGAATACTTCGCAACCATGTTATCTTCTGCGTTTGCCGAAAGCTCCACCCTGTCCTGCAGTGAACGAAAAATATACACCGTCGTTGTCGAAGAAGTTGACTTCGAGACGACATATTGGTTGCTGAAGTACTGCTATGCCAACTGGTTGCTTTTCAAGCAGCATGATGACCCCAGGGTCGCCGTTGAGGGCGTCGGTGCAGGCTGGAGTGCCCGCTGGCTCACCGGACAGCAAGGCGAGTGGGATTGGAGAACCTTCCATAGAGGAGGGCCGAGCGAGGATGGCACTGCTGACAACAGAAGTGCGACCAGCGGTGAAAGCCTGCCTCTCAGCTCTGCTATGAGCCAGTCGCCTAGTTCAAAGTCAGAAACATTCCGAGGCCCTGTGGCAAACCCTCCAAGTACTTCTAATCGGTCGAGCCCAGCTAAAACTCCCATTTCTCACCCACCGAGCACACCGCGTCAAAGCGCTGTTTCAAATAGCACCACTACCAGTACAGTTCGCCGTACCAGTGTACCTGGCACCGCCAATCCTGTGACCATGAGCGTTAGCGGGCCATCCTCCTCCACTGCATCTAGCAGGTCCAAGCCAGTCTCTATATCGACGAGCTCAGGTAACTTTACCCCGTCCACCCGTTTCCCAGTATCTCCACGCACAGCAAGACCGGTGGCCCAATCAAATCCTGACCCTCATCCACATCCAACCCCTGCTCCTGCACCCGCGTCTGCTATATCGATTTATCAGGTTGCCCATCGCTATGAGATGCCGAATCTTGCTGCGCTCGCTTTGGATCACATTATGTCAACCATCACACCTCAGTCAAGCTTTGCACTGCTCCTTGCAACCTCACTCTGGGATGATCTTCATAGTTTGATTGAGGTTGGTCTTTGAAGCCTGTGGTTTTGAGCGCTGCCATCAATTATAGGACCATTTGTAGGATTTTGTGGTGGAAAGCTGGGACGAGGTGTCAACCTCCCCCGAATTCGAAGTATGCTGTCAAGAAGTTGCGGCTGGAGAGTAAGCCTAATATTTTTCTCATGATTGTTTCTTTCGTTTTGCTAAAGACTCTTCAGGTGGGGTCCTGAGGGTGGTAAAACGCTCATGTCTGTGTTCCGTCGCCTCCGTTCTCCGGCTTCTTTGTCCACATGATTATTTCCGCCGCTGTATAAATACAGACTAATAACAATATCACCCTCACCCACTTCAAGCTTCACGATCTATTCCTTTTGCCGAACTAACAGCTCTTGTCTTCAATCTCCCATACGCCATAAATACCCCGAATACCCTTTAAATGTAAGTGATTAGGATACTGATTTCATGAATGGGCGACCGACGAACGTGATCCTTGCAGAACGTTGGGCGGGATATGTCTTTTCCCCGGATTTTCACTGGTGCAGTGGAGCAAAGTGCAGTCCAGTTTTCTCCGTCTTTGAGATCCCAAAGTCGAGCTTGGAAACGCTAATGTACAACATTAGTGACATGCCTCAGCATGTGCCAATGTCGTTGAAACTTACTCGCAATTTCGAACCCTTTTTCATGCATCCCTGGTCGCGTTCAAGACGTGCGTAGCGAAAGAAGAAGAGTAGGCCCTTGCCTTGTCGGTAGGTTTGCCCCATTTCCCTATGCATCCTTCATCACCGACTGTCCAATACCCTGTGACGCCTCCAAATGGCCACTACGGTCTGCGAGTCAGACGTTGGGCTTGTCACTGGTGGTGCTGGCTGACCTTGGATTCACACTTCGTCGGATGCGGGTATGTGACGCCATGGATCGTGATCTTGGTGTTTTTGCATGCTCCTATCCAGTCGGAGAAATAGGGAAACTTTTGAAGCCGTGCACTGTATTGCCTAGAGCCAAAGGCCAGGCAATGGTCGTTTGGCACTGGATTGTCCCATGTAAAACCCCAGGAAGCGTATTCTGGGGCTTTCTTTTTTTCGACCGCTACCAGAGGGGTTTCATCTGCTCCTCCGTCCTCTGCCGTGGCACCATCACCACTTGTAGCTGCCTTGATGCCCTGAACGCTGGATGTTGGGACGTGGGACGGCAGTGTGCCTCCTTGGAGTGGATTAGATTCTTGCCAATTCTGTATCGACTGCGAAGTCCTCAGGGCAATCATAGATAGCGGAACAGCAGCCAAGAGCAGGAAAATCACTACGATTGAGACAACTGAGCGCGAGCTCCCTCTTCCCTCTTCCAGGTGTACTGAAATGAGGTTTGACCTTTCGTTTGCATAACTTACTGTGGTTCAATAGCAGAACTGGAATACAAACTGACTAAACATACCTTGTTGCATAGTTCGGAATATGATATGTTCTACCACCCGAGCTTCGTTGTACTGCGGTCAGGAGCTATTTCCGTTGCGACTGCCAAAAGGGAGCTACCAACCCGTTGTCTTTGGAATGACTAGAATTCGAGCCATGGAAGGCATACGAAGGCTGAGGGCTTGGAGCAATTGGTTAGGGTAATGTGAAGGGTGAAATGGGAGAGAAAGGTTTGCCTCTGTGGGAGATTGGGGGACTTCTTTGGAGGGGACATTGGAGGAATTGGTGGCGCAGGGAGAATTTAGAGGAAGAAAGCCCTCATGGGGAGTCGCACGTAGCACGCATGTATTTTCTTAGGAGGTGATAATACGTCGCTGAGCTAGAAAAGCCTGCATGGTGTTTTCCCTTCATTCTGGTCGAGTGCATGCAGGTGGGCGCATGTTATACCTCCTTCCATTCTTGGACGGACCTCCATCCACATGGGTCTGGCCTCTTTCTTATCTTCCGAAACAAGGATGTTTACCTATCAGCCGCTCTTCTTACTCTATCAACCATGTTACACGGCAGACTGAGCGTGTTCGTTCGACCCGCCGTTTTCAAGCGCCAGTTTGCGAGCTTTTCACCGACCAATGCCTCGTTCAACATTCCCGTTATCAACTTTGCCAAGTATCGTTTAGCCTCTTCCGCTGAGGAGAAGAAGAGAACAGCCGACGAGATAGTGTCAGCCTTCAAGGAGAGTGGTTTCATTTACCTCTCGAACCACGGAATATCTTCTCGTATGTCTGCGACCTTGCTTCATGACTTGCCTACTTGCTGAAGCCTCTCAATACCAGATGAGGTCAAAAGCACGTTCCAAAAGGTGAGCAGTGCAGTTGTGCGCGTTCTATTTGTTCATTGAACCCTTCAAAAGAGTGCAGAGTTCTTCAAATTGCCCTCTGAAACCAAGGCAAGCACCAATCCCCCGATGATACGCACCTCATGTTCACTTATGTACTCTCAAACACCCAGGACAAACTCGCCTGGGAGGATCCTCGTTCCAACCGTGGTTATGTTGCTATTGGTCGAGAACGTGTCACCCAGTCTGCCGATCCAAAGGAAATCGCGGCACTCCGAGAGAAGGCACCAGATTTCAAGGAGACCATGGAAATTGGGCGGGATTGGGACTCCGAGTGGAAGAATCAATGGCCTGCAGAGACAGTAGCCCCAGGCTTCAAGCAGAGGATGTTGGACTTCTACGAGGTAAGAGTAATTCCATTATCTTTAGACGCGATCTACCGCTAAATCCGCACCGCAGACTTGCCACGAACTCCATGTTCACGTCATGCGTTCGATTGCCCTTGGGCTCGACCTTGGCGAACACTTCTTCGACAACAAGATAGATGAAAAATGTCATAATCTGCGGCTGCTGTCTTATCCTCCTGTCAAAACCAATCTGCTCAAGAATGAGGGTCAAGCGAGGGCTGGTGCTCACAGTGGTCTGTCGTTCTTCTTTTCTGAATGATGTTTTGAACATTGACGCACGCTCGAACAGACTACGGCACATTGACTCTTCTCTTCCAAGACACTGTCGGTGGATTGGAAGTTCAAAATCCACACACTGGCGAATTTGTCCCGGCAACCCCAATAGTGAGCGATATGTTGCGCCAATAATGCGGCCGTCCTGTTTCTGACACCAAGCTCATAGGAGGACACTATTGTCATCAACGTGGGCGACCTTTTGGCGCGGTGGAGTAACGACGTTTTGAGATCCACTCTACATAGAGTGGTCGCACCTCCTGCCGAAAAGATTAGCGAAAGCGAAGGTCTTACACCTGCTCGCCAATCGATTGCTTTCTTCTGCAACCCCAACTTTTCTGCCGAGGTCGCATGCTTGCCCAACTGTGGAGACGTCGCAAAGTACCCTCCTATCAATACAGGAGACTACATCGTTGGACGATTGGCCGTGACCTACACATGATCTATAGGCATGGTTGCAACTGGAGCAAATTTATGGCGAGTCTACTATTATTTGTACAGGATAAAATGTAACTATCAGAATTTGATTGGTTTTGTCCTTCAGTAATCCTCCGTGTCCATGGAGTCGAATGAATACTTGCTTCGTTCTTCAGCCGACCACTTGCTGATATCATAACGATCGCGTTTGGGGTCTGTCGGGGCGAGCTTCTTGTACTCTTTCCACACCCGAGATAACTTGAAATCCGGGTCGTTGTCGTCCTCGTCGCAGACCTTTCCCTTCGCATACCATGGCTTGACTTTCTTTCCCGAGGCAATTGCGACAGCCTTTTCGTCTGCCATCTTCTTTATCTCCGCTTTGATTTCCTTCTTGTCCTCCTCCTCCAGCCCATCCGCCCATTCGTTGAGACAGTCGAACTCGAATTTGAAGTCGGCTTTGGATTTGTTCTTAAACAAGCGCCTCGCCATGGCCTTGCAGAGGAAACCGTATTCGGCTTCGCACCCTATGTCGGCTATGTGCTCGCTGAAGGCCGCCACATTCTTCAGGAGGTTCTCCAAACTAGGAAAATGTGTCTTGTCCAACTGTGCGTTGTCATCTAGGCCACGAAATATAGCGATTGCGCAGGCTCCAATCGCCTTGTTCGTGATGTCGACGCGTTCTCCGTCGTCGCACTCTGTGTACATGAATTAGGCGCGTATATATGAGATGGGGTCGCGACTTACGCGTCCAAACATCTTCGAATTCCGCGAAAGCGATCAACCCCTCGAGGATGTGGTATGCATCTTCCCATTCCTTTTTGACTATTTTACCATGTAGTTTCACCAGCATCCTGTCGACGAGATCCAGGACACCGTAGGAATAGAAATCTTATGGGCAGAAAGCCGGCGTCAGTCATTGTGTTGCTAGCTCGGAGCTTGGGCATACCATTGTAAATATACATATCAAACGCGTCTGGGTCCCTGTTCTCTGCGTCTTTCGCAAGCTTTTCTGCAAGCTCTTTACCCCGGACAGATATGAAAGTGTCGAGGGTGAGGAACGTGTATCCGGAAGGGATGACCTGTGGCACGCAAACGCGTCGCAGTCAGCCGCGTCGTTCGCAAGGCAAGGAGCATCCGATCGTTGGAAGACCGATTTCAGAAACTTACCGACGCTGGAGGCATTTCAAAAACAGATGTATTCAGCAGTATAGTCGAGGAGAACAGATGAGCGTTGGCAGCGAGTGGAAGTGAGAGCAATTGAAAGACCCTGAGGTTGGGCCCGACTGCTTTTTGTATGGGCACGAGCCCAGCCACTCGTTTACATAACTATGGAGTGATGCCAGGATGGACCTGAAAGGGATGAAAACGAATTACAGAATACAAATTAAATAATGAAGAGGGCACTACCGGAATACAAGGATGTCGATGAAGACCGTGAATCAACAGGTGAAGGAAGTCAATGACCAAAAATCGAGAATGAGGAGATGTGTTATGCGGTAAATCTATCCATATATGCGATGGAAATGAAGAAAACAAAGTTAATTGGATGTAGTAAGTTGTCTGTCCGAGTACTTGTCGCCATTCTAGTTTTTCTTGCGGAAGAGGCCAATTGTATGTTGACCACCACAAGCGACAGCAGATGCGAACCAAGCGCCGCCCTCTTTACGGACAACAACTCGTGGTGTTCGCACCTCCTCTTCATCACCCAAGCCCAACTCGCTCTGGACGCCTTGGCCCCAAGAGTACAGTGCACCGCCGCGAGTGACAACCGACGTGTTGTGGCTTCCGCATGAGATTTGGGTGACAGGATCGTCAGTATCAGGGAAGGTGACGAGGGCTGGTTCTCCAATAAAGTCTGGATCGATCCGGTCCTTGAACGCCTCATCGTCGTCGGCAAGCCCGAGCTGTCCGTTGTTGGAACGGCCACATGCGTAAACCTTGCCGGAGGCAGTGAGGAAAACGGTATGATGGGCACCGCCTGCGATCTGAACAACGACATCGCCGCCCAGCTCCTCCTTGCTGAGACGCCTGACCTTCTTGGGCAGCTGGACGACAGAGTCTTCGGAGGACTCGTAGCCGGTGCCCGTTTGACCCATGCTGTTCAAGCCCCATCCCCAGAGGTCGCCTTTCTCGTCGACCGCGAACGAGTGGAATGCGCCGGCACCGACTGTAACCGCTTTGCGGACACGTGTGCCTAGGACGATCTTCTCCGGAACTGTGCCGTGTATCTTGCGCCTCTCGAGGACTTTGCGGCCAAGTTGTGACTGCTCGCCAGCACCCCATGTGTAGATGTTGCCATGGGTGGTGAGGACGAGAAGATGATTGCCACCTGAAGCGATGGAGGAAACTTTTTCAATATCGCCAGGCTTATGGCTGAGGGTTAGTATGGGAACCGGAGTAAATTGATGCTTGAGGCCACTTGCGAAGCCGAGAGAACCCTCATTCACCTAGGCAGGATAAGGTCAGCGATGGCATTCGCAGCTGCCAAAAGAACATGCACATACTCGGAACGAACCCCAAACTCGCAATTCGCCCTTATCGCTGAGTGCGGCAGAAATGCTGTCCCCAGCAACAACCTTGACAGCACGGAAACCTTCATCAACCAAAGACTGGAGGGGTTGGGGGATGGAAGTCAGGTCATCGACGTTCAGGAAGGAGCCAGAATTGTTCGGATCGGGCACATTCTGGGTGACTCGACCGAGAGCAGCGTCATCATTTACACCACATGTCCACACCTACGAAAGGATTAGAGAAGGAAAGGTGAACAGACGTTACAGAGACTTACTGTGCCGCTCTCGTCAATAAACACAGTGTGCAGACCACCCGAGGCTACGAACTCTATGCCAGCGTTGCCTTCACCGAATGTGCCCTTTTGCATTTGTTCCTCTGCCCACAAGTTCCTCTTGGGTTTCTGTATTTCATTGAGGACATCCGGGCCCATTCCGAATTGACCAAAGTTACCTGTTCCCCAGGCGAACAGCAAGAGGCCAGGTTTGTGCTTCAGAGGTGGCACAGGCAGGGCATTGAAGTAGGGTTTCAGCTGCTTAGGCTCCGGAGCTGGTTCGTCTTCACGAACAGGCGACAAATTTCTCGATGATTTGGTGGCAGGTTCAACAGCTTTTTTCCGTGAGGCGGGTTTGGAGGCGGGCTTGGATGCAGGCTTGGATGTGGGTTTAGATGCGGATTTCCGGGAAGGAGCGGGAGGGTCATTTTCTGACTTATGAGCCTCTCCACCACGAGATCGTTTGGGCGGAGGAGACTGCGGGCGTTCGGAGGACGCTGCGCGCTTATTGGAGGTGCCGTTTACTTGCGGCTTGGGTGCAGCCTTGTCAGCAACGGCTGCAGAAGGAGGCTTCACAGATGCGCTGCGGGATGTGCGACGGGGAGGCATCGATGCTGTTCGCTGTCGAGACCGGGGACGGCAGAGGAAAGATGGTGGTGGATGGAGGCAAAGCACAATCTGCAGGTTTGCCTCGACTGGGCCCTGACCAATCCAACGGAAAAATCTCGACCACGTGATGGACGCGTTATTTGTCCCTGCTTGCTCTCAGTACTGTAACCGTGTTTCTGGCTCGCCTCCTTAGGGCCATCATCCAAATCTCTCGTCTTCAGCGATATTCTATGGGTATATACCTTCTACGACACAGCACTGTGTCGCATCTCGAGTCGGGAAGGTGAGATACGACACAGTGTCGAGTCATGTTTACGGAAGTTATCCGTAATTAATTTTTGAGAGGAAATATATATATATTTCCGATGCTCCTCAACGCCCTGCCACAGGAGGCATCGTGCATGCTGCAGGGGGTACACGCCATAGGAGGCCGCTGTCCACCAAGAAAAAGGGCCAGGAGGGGGGGATCCAGTCATCGTGCATTTCTTCCCCAAACCACCACCATGGCCCCGAAATCCGCGACCTCAGACCTATCGTCCAGCGATTTCCTCGATTCCGTGCCCGCTCGTTTGCTCAATGAGTTCCGTGATCACGTACATTTCGGTGCTTCCGTCAGCGCCAATACTAATGTCCGGCCAACCAACCAGGTTTTTCACCCGCGTGGATCCAAGCGCACTGACACCTTTCTGAACACCGACTGGGTCAACATGGGCCATTTGCAGCAGTGGCTCGACGATCATGCACATGGAAAACGCGTTAAACAGGAGGAAAACGCCGCCAGCACCGCGTTTGACGCGTCGAAATCTCTCGACAACACCCCTAAGTCGAAGCCAGAGCCGTTTGACATCGAACTGACGCGCCCAGACACCGCTGGCGACATCAAAATACGCGACATCCAACGTGACAGAAATCCTCGACTCAGATGAGGAAGGCGAGGCGGGTACCACAGTGGAGGAAAGTGAGATGGAGGTAGACGACGAGCGGCGATGGCTCTCGGACGCGTGGCATGCTTCAACACCGTCTATCTCGCAACGCCCGCCATTGGACCACTGTGGCCGAAAAAGTCCGCGAAACGAACATCCGAACGAATGTCGAATCCGACGTCAACTCGAACCTGGATGAGTGGGAATGTTTGGTGCAGGAAGTCGATCTAATCTCAAGCATCGGATGGCCGCTGGTGAGTATTCTCACGGCGCACTCAACCCACAATACTTCTTAGACAACCTTCCACCGGTCAATGGCTGGGATAGCCCTATTCTGAAGAACTTCTTGAAAAATCACCCCGGAGACGTAGATATGAACTAGAGGAGTTCGTATTGAGTCCTTAGAGTAGAGTACAATCTTATAATACAACAGAGAGTTAGCTAAGGTGTTGGCAGATAATCACGTAGATAAGATTGCGGCCGAAGATGCGATACTGTGTCGCATCTTCGGCTTCTGTGTCGACGCTTAGACGCCTTTGAGGCGAGATGCGACACAGTGTTGTGTCGTTTTTGGACCATCCCGATATTCTAGCCACCAGCAACTATGAATCAGCGGGCCTTCTGTTGCGTTTCCCCCATTATCAAGGTTTGATGATTCCCACTCTTCCAAATTCAAATGTCAACTCCGTCAGAATTTATTTAGCCCTCGTGCTCCAATTTTCATACACCAAATCCCTAGCCAGTTGGCTCCAAAGACCAGTAAGGTTTAATTTCTTCTGATTTAACTGAATAAAGCTGCTGCATGGCACGTGCCCATGCAAGCAGTATATGCCGCATAGCAGTACCATTCTTGCGAGGGGCAGAGCCTAATCAGATAGAGGGGAAGGTGTTTAGGTAAGGACTCGAAGACGTCGACCAGTGGTAAACAACATACGCGAAGCAGTCAGCGTGACAATCCGCGTTGGAAGTGTTAACCAGTGCCAGGAGAATCGCGACAAGGAGAAGGAAAGGCAATTGGCTTCTGTTCCTCAAAGACATGGCGTTCTGGAAGCCACAGGCGTCAGCGTCGCCAAGAATCAATCTTGCTGATGACTAGTGGCTTCTCACTTCGAAGATGTGCTTGATTATTGAGATAAAGAGGGCGCCAACCCGACGGCTTTCAAAAATCCGAGTTATATAGCTGATGGAGAGGGCCAAGGTGCCCCGAGCAGGTCGCTAGCTCTGGGGAATGCGATATAATAGCGGTCAAGATAGGCTACGTACAGGTGAATCTACCTATAGGGGTCATGTGACACTGGAGGCAACTCTCCCTATTCCACTGATGACTGGTTTCCGCAGACCACCGTTTGCACCTTATCTTCACCCAAGACCTACTCGCTCCACGGTGACTCCATCGTTTTCCTTTCCTCATAGTGGTTTTTGACAGCATACATGGACGTGCCACACGTGAAGTATAGCGTATGAAATGGAAACAACTCAGCTTTAACCCATTTAAGCCTGCAGAAATGGTCGTCGAGTTTCTTAATAGAAACATGATCCTGTGGGACTCGCGCCATCGTGATTGTGCGCCTTTCAACCATTAAAATAATATATAGTGCCAGACAAAACAGAGTCGTACTGTAGATCCAGTCATCCTCGAGTACCGACATGCACCCTTATCGTCTTATCGTCGAGCCGTCATCTGCTCATCGCAAGTCATTGCACTGCAGTTATTTCCTTCTGCGGGCGCGTTCCTAGGAGCCAATTCATTTGATTCCTCTGTGACATAATGAGCGCAGTCTATGATATATGCGATTTGCGATAAATGGGACTCTGCGGATCCTTCGATGCGTAATTTCGTCTTCTCTCATGCAGGCGCCTAAGCGTTTAAGCGCTCATCTTGGAGTGTGCTTTCCTAAGGTCGCCGTGGATGACCAGACGCTTATGCAGCAACACAGCGTCATCTGTTATACAATCGTGCAAAATGCACATATACCGCTGCAATACACTGTCCTCGAGGTCTTCCTGGTCGTCGACATACAGTACTAGTTCGTCTTAAGTTGAGTAGGAGACGCTGAAGAGGCGGGCCGAGGATCCGGTTCCAATTCCTGTTCAGACCCAAAGCGGAAGACGATACTACTTGCCTTCTCCCATGTTCCCAAAGTCCATTCCCTTACGAACATGCTATGCCCAACGTGCACGTATCTTTATGTCATCGACTGGAAAGGATGACTGATGTCATTAATAGAGGGTTATTCACAAGAAATACTATGGTCCTTCAGAGTCCGAGTCGAGCCACGCCTACAGTCGGCATGGGTCTTCGGATGCGCGTCAAGAGTAAGTTGTGAACATCGTCCTTGCTTTCCCTGTTTGACGATCTGTCTGTAGGATAACTGTCTTCAACCCCGCGACGAGTGAACCGATATGCACGTTAGCATGTTTCTGCTGACATTTGTTACCGCTGTGCTGACCTTATCTTCCTCCTGTAGGGTCGCGTGTGCGTCTCAAGGGGATGTCCGATATTCCATCCAGAAGGCTCAAGAAGCATTTGAATCGGGTGTCTGGTCGAATGCTCCAGCCTTGACGCGTTCCGAAGTGCTTTCCAACCTGGCGCGTATCCTCGAGGCCAACATCCCAGCCCTAGCAAAGGTGGAGACGTTACAAACGGGAAGGACGATAAGGGAGATGAACGCCCAGCTGGGAAGGCTTCCAGAATGGCTGTGAGTTCCGTCTTATTCCTTCGCTGTTATCATACATTGACAACGCGGCCAGCGACTATTTCGCAGCTCTGTTGCGAACAAACCATTCTTTTGTCGCGCATACCCAAGGAAAGCTTCTCAATTATGTCCACCGGGTACCCCTTGGAGTGGTCGCTCAAATCACCGTACGTCTACTCGTACATGTATCTTGCTATGTGTCCTCCGATACGCCGCCCAAGTAGCCCTTCAACCACCCTCTGTTAATCGCAATCAAGAAAATTGCTCCGGCTCTGGCAGCGGGGAATAGCGTTATCGTCAAACCCTCTGAGGTATCTGTCTTTAATACATTTCAGCCTGACGACAACATAAGCTCACCGCCCCATCCAACAGCTGGCGCCCATAACGGTCCTTGAATTCGCGGAATGGGCTACACAGGCAGGAGGTCGGGATATTTCATAACCTGCACGAACTCGTTCATTTTAACATAGTAATGTTCACAGTGCCACCTGGAGTACTATCTGTTCTGCCAGGTTTTGGAAAGACGACCGGAAGGTGGATCGTAGAGGATCGGCTGGTGCGAAAGGTGGACATAACGGTAGGTGCTGGTTCGCCGTTGGCAAGAGTGCAATCTAAGCTCCTTCGTAGGCTGGAACCCAAACAGGCCGAGCACTTGGCAGCATAGTTGGAGCTAATTTGGCTTCATACACCGCAGAACTAGGAGGCAAGGTTCGTCGACAACCTTCTGACAATATTGACCTACGTCCTGACGTTGTTTTTAGGCACCTATCATTGTCTTTGATGATGCAGACTTGATCAGTGCCGTCAATGGAGCCGCCTTCGCCTCCTTCGTTGCATCTGGACAAACCTGCGTGTCTGGAGCACGCCTTCTGGTCCACGATAATATCTATGATGAATTCATGGAAATGTTCCTTGAGAAGGTGGAGAGCTTAACACGCAGGATGGGCAATCGTGCGTAATATATGCCAAGTCCCGCTCTTGTATTTTTACGAATGACCCCGGGCCCATTGACCAGCTTTCAACCCTCAGTCAACAATGGGGACAGTCATCTCGCCTGAACATCTTACTCGGATAGACGAAATGGTCAAACGCGCTTCCAAGACTGCTACTATCCTCACAGGAGGCGAACGGATGACCGGCGAGTCTGCTCTGGACGGCTTCGACTTCTCAAGAGGCTCGTTCTATCCACCGACTGTCATCGTCGACGTTGGGATCGAGGATGAAATCTGGCGAGAAGAGGTCTTTGGTCCCGTTGTTGTCGTCAAACGGTTCATGGTGCGTTTGCTTCTCTGACCTCTTACGACTTGGAGTGATGAAAATCTTTCGTTGCATAGAATGAATCTGAGGGAGTCGCACTGGCTAATTCTAGTAAATATGGCCTTGGAGCAGGGATTTGGACTAGGGATTTGTCACGAGCACATCGTGTAGCTGCTAATATCCAATCGGGTCTCTGTTGGGTCAACACTCACCACCGGAACGACCCCAGCTCTCCATGGTAAGAAGCTAGACTTGGTGGCTTTTCAATGTTGCTGAAAATTTGCTCAGGGGAGGAATGAAGGAGAGTGGGATCGGACGAGAGAACGGACTGGAGGCGTATGCAGCTTGTCAGTATCTTGTTTCTCCCAAAACACTACGCTCCTGATCGTGTCACTAGATACCCAAAGCAAGTCTACCATCGTCAACATCGCCAGCGTGGAGGAGACCAGGCAGAATGACGACTGGTTTGCTGACAGTTCTGAAGAGCGCAGATATGGCTAAAGCACCAGTGTCCCTATAAGTCCTTGAAATATAATGGTACAGATTGTAAAGTAATACAGTCGGAATGTGCAGCATCTACCCCGTGGTCTTGATAGCTTCTTGTTTCGCTGGTGACTACAGACAGTGGTAAATCCTCGTCCCAAAGGATGCAGTACGGGACCTACCTCTTCCACGGGCGCTTCGTCAATGAAGTCTGGTACTTTGTTAAGATCGGCGAGATATGACGGTCCCTCCTCTTCTTCTGGTTCGAGTGCTAGCGCGTCGAGCTCTAAAGGGGGTATTCACAATGTGAATTGTAAAGGAAGATGTGACGAGACATACCCGCTTCTAGATCAGCCTCATCAATCTCATCGGGCACCGCGTATGACCGTCCTAATGTCTCCTGAATCTCATTTGCCTGCTCCAAGAGATCTTCCATGTCGTAGTGTATATTCTACGCGTCCACCAAATCAACACAACAACGTCAGCACACCCCAACTACCCACCCAAATCCCAACTCACCTCGATCTTATCCACATCAATCTTCCCATACTGCTTCCTCAGCTCCTTATTCGCGACCTGCATCGCATCGACCGTCGCCATCGTATTTCTCAGATTCTCCGTAGCGAGCGCTGCGCTCTCCATGTTGAACGTCTGCTGCGTGAGCTGCGCGATCTGCGCCTCGTACATGCGTTTTTGCTTGAGGGTGCGCAGGGCGCGCTGCTGGATCGCGTCCTTGCCGGGGCCGTTGCGCAGCTTGCTCATTTGCTCCTTGTAGCGCGCGAGCTCGCCGTCGAGCTTGCGGATCTTGACTTCGATGGAGGCCATGCGGGTGTCTGTCTATGGCAGTGCGTCATTGGGTGGAAAGAGAGGTGTTTAGAAAGGTACGTGAGTGAGGACAACGGGGAAGGACAGGTACTGACTGCGGTGATAGCATCCTGCAGAGAGGGTTTGGGCTTCTTGCTCGCTGAAGATCCAAAGAGGCGGTTCATAGTGGTCGTTTATTCGTAGTACACCGTTTTAGTCTGCGAGAATAGGATAGGGCGGATACAAGGAGCGCGATGGAGGGGAGAGTAGAGTCGAGATGAGAGTTGAAGGTAAAGGGAGAACGGCTTGGCATCGTTATTGACGGGTGCACGGGCCGTAATGACGTTGCCTATGAAGCCAAACACAGGCAAGCTGAGTGCGACCCTGATCTGGGTTGGCGCCTAAATTAGACGCGGATCAGCCACACGGAAGCAATTTTCTTCAGAGCAGGAGCGATTTATTATATCCCAATAGTACACCCAGATAACTAAACATGAATGAAACAGTCGACAGCAAATTGCACAGATGACAGAGAGGTATTTTTATCATGACAGGAAGCCGCGGATAGCACCGCCAACGTTGAGGACATCGATCCTACAACTCGATGAATAAATTATCGATAGGGAGAAAGGCACGACTCACAGGAATGTGTCGTGGCCCCAGACACCACCCAGCTCGTAGTAGCTGACGTTTTCATTGCCTCCCATTCGTAGCGCGTCGGCTACCTCGCGCTGCTGCTCAACCGTGAATAGGATGTCGCTCTGCACTCCAAGGACCAGCGTTGGTATATTTTTCAGCGGCTGCATACCCGCGGCGAGGTCGGGTAGATACGGCGGGGGGTTGACAGGAGGGGGATGCGATTTCGAGTGAGAAGTCCGATGGGGCTGCTGCGTAGGGTCGGAGGAAGCCGAGTCGAGGGCTGACGGATGCACGCCGGATGACTGGATGTTGAGTGACTCCAGAGCCGAGAGTGTCATGTCGAACAGATCCATCGCCTTCGAGATGTAGATGAGCGAGTTCGCATCATACTTGAGACAGAAGGATTCGCCCTGTTTCTCCGCGGTTAGTCATTGAAAGAAAGATATTGGGTGGGGGTGACAAATACCTGGTGATCCAGGTAGGTCTCAATAAGCAGGTCAGGACACAGGACGGGCGTTCGTGGGCTCCCAGGAGGGTGTTCTTCGGTGTCAGGAAGCGGTCGAAGCTGTCGACCAAATCGCTGATCCCACTCAGGACCGGAGCGATATGTAATGGTCGCGATTTCTATCGTCACGTTTGAGGATTAGAAAGCGTGAGTGACTGGGCGAAGCTACATACGACGGGCTAGTTTCATGCCGGTATGTGGAGGAAGACCGTCGTAATAGAAGCCGTTGTTCCAGTTGGGGTCGGCCATGAGGACTTTGAACGGTTAGAGTGTCAGCAAACGCGTGAAAGAAGCCAGTGCTCACCGCTACGCTGTGCAAAGCGCATCGCGACAGCTGACGGACTGCTCCGGGCTGTACCACTGATACTGACGATCTTCCCGACGCGTTGTGGGTGCAACCAGCCGGCGGCCAGACTCTGCATGGCTCCCATGGAGCATCCGACGCTCGCGTATAGTTTCTGGACGCCGAGGTGATCGAGGAGGGCGAACTGGGCGTTGACCATGTCGAAGATGGAGACGATGGGGAAGCGGGTTGCCCATGGCTTGCCAGTCGCGTCTTCGATGGAAGAAGGGCCGGTGGAGCCATAGCAGCCCCCGATGACATTGGTGCAGATGACGAAGAATGTGTTGGTGTCGATGGGCTTGCCCGGGCCAATGAAGTTCTCCCACCAACCTGGGGCCGAGTTCGCGGGGGTTGACGCAGCGTGTGAAGAGGCGGAGAGACCGGTGTGGAGGAGGATAACGTTGTCCTTGTTGGGGGATAGTGTGCCCCATGTCTCGTAGGCAATGTCGAAGGATGGCAGCGGTGTCGAGTAGTATGTGAGGGGAAGAGGGTGTCGGTGGTGGTAGATGTGGTAGGAGGTGGGGTTAGGACGTGCATAGGGTGGTTCTGGGCCGGTGTCACAGACGTCGCCAGGGGTATGAGGGGAGGATTGCGCGGCGAAGGAGGCCATTAGTCGCGACTCGCGTGCGGCATGGGCGTCGACACAGGGAAAGAGGGGGCGGTTGGGGGAGCTGGGAGGGCATGCCGTGGAGGAGAGACGAACGCAGGCGGCGCGGGTGGGTAGTCTGCGCGCAGGGAGCTTGAGGCGGGCAAGAGACATGGCTGGTGGCCAGGAGAGAGACTGCTTTCGCTTTTATATACATGACTGACAAACGCAAAGAGCAAGAGTGCCGCGGAAATAATGACGTGATAAACCCTAACCCCACTTCGGAACGGAGGACGCTCGATCGGCGTGGACAAATGTGTGCACCGAGTGGGTGCTGGGGAGGGGTTGAGCCAGTGAAATGCAGAGTCGGTTCACTTCCATGCGCCCACAATCACTGCCCACAGTAGCGCTGAGACTTCGGGCAGCGATGTCTGGTCGTAAAACACGTTTTTACTGTTATCGTTTTCTGCCTCGAGGCTAGCGCAGAGCATGTGTTGTCGCGATGAAAGACCGCACTCGAAGTTGTGATGCCAGTGGTCACACACTCCGTCTGGCCACCCTCTCCCCCAACTTTTTCTCGCAGTCCCGCTGCTCCCTCTAATGACCAGCACACCGCATGCATGGCGCACAGCGAACACTCTCCCACAACCCCCTTCGACCCGACCGCCACCATCCACCTCCCCTCACCATCTCCAGAAGACACTACTTTTTTTTCTAAACTTCTCTCCCGACATCCCTCCACGTCGTCAGCCTCCAGCACCGCGAACCCCCGCCGACGAAGCTTCAACATCCTCACCACCATCCCAGACGTCAGTTCCTTTCAACAGTCCGCCTTGTTCCGTGCCTAACACGTGTATCACACCCTCCTCACAAACAGCACTTCTCAACTCTCGTCCGTTCTCACAGCTCTTCTGTCAGAAAATCTACCTGCACTCAGGTTCGCCATCTCTCTACAATGTCGCCCTGCTGCCAGTTCATGAATTTCGCTTCTCAGCCGCCACCAATCACCAGCAGGGCTTTCTTTTCGGGGTATGCCGACAAGTCCACATTTGTCCAAGAGATTCCTGTGAGGTCAGCATCCCTCGATATGCCCTTGTCCCGTCCCGCCCAAGAAGAAGAACGCCCCTCGAGGAAGCAAAAGTCGGAGAACAGGGTGAGTCCCCCACACCTTGCCCCCATCGCGACCTCACACATCCCAGTTCTACAACTTCCTCACGAGGTCCCGATCGCGCTCAGTATCAAAGAAGGAGGATTCATCTACAGAAGTCGAACCAACCACCCGCCCCATGCCTGATCTTCCACAAAACCCCCGCTCTCCACCTGGCAGCCTCGGTCGCCGCTCCAACATCCCCATCCCTACGCAGTCCGGCTCCAAACCGGCCTCGCGCCTCCAGTCACGCCCCCTGTCATCGACTACCACAGCAACGAACACGACCATAACTCCAGCGACACCAAAAGTCAAGAAACGACCTTCAACTGCCATCCCTTCCACTACGTCCCCTCTTGTTGCCTCCTCGTCGAAACCGCTGGAATCACGATCGCGGCCCACAACCCCGAAACCCTCGGGAGCACGCAGAAAACTCCATGATCTGTTCGCTATCCCGCTCAGTCGCCTGTCCTCCTCTAGATCACGCTCAAGATCACGTCCTAGCACTCCACACGCCTCACCAGATGTGCCTCCACTGCCAGCAACACCGGGAACTGATGATGACCCAACACCCAGACCACGAAGGTCTTCCCCTCATAGCATTCGTGGTGCACCTCCGCCGCGTAGTCCATCTCCGACCCCCGAGCGGAGAGTACTCCGCGTAACGAACGCTACGCCTAACAACGAATCGTCGACTGGCTCGACCGCGGCTTCCGTGAAGATCACGAAATTCTTCTCGAGTATGTACCTCAGTTGATCATTACTCGTTTCGACGCTGATGATATCCGCATCTTCGCGTCTATAGAAGGGGGCTCGTCTGCCTCCGAGCAGAAGAAACTTGGCCATCAACATTCCGCTTCCGGGCCCCCCGTTCTTCCCCCCATTCCTGCCTTCGTATCAGCACCGCTCAAACGGGTGTCCTCGTTGCATCGACGCAGCGTCAAAGATCCGATACCTGACCAGCCTCAGCTCGTATTGCCCTCTTCCTTGCCCAAGATCATCCATACGCCCCCAACACCAGCGAAGAACGGTAACGGTACAGCAGAGAGCAGCAAGCTTCCAGCTCCAACTCGACCAGGCCACCACCACGCAATGAAGGGCTCGCTTGACTCTGGGATACGCTATCGCCCACCAATGGCCGTTCTGGACGAGGAAAGTCGAGCCGACTTTTCTCACAAGGATAAAGGCAGGGCAGTTGACAAAGCGAGGGAGAATGAGGCGCAAGCCGTGCCGCGACCGCAGCCAATCAAGATGAGTAACAGCGCCCGCTCGACCAAGCATGGCAGTTTTGACTTTGAGCGGCCTGGATGGGGCGCGGCGATGATGCAGAGGACTGGGAGTAATGGGACGACTGCGACGCAGAATACGGCGGCCAGTGGGTGGAATCAAGAGACGGCGAAGGAGAGGGAAAGCAAGTATGGACCTGGGCTGGCGGGTGTTGGGACACTGCAGAGGGATATGTCAATGAAGCGGGCACAGGAACGTGAAGAATTCCTGAAGAGAGAGCACGAGAAGGCGAGGAAGTGGGCGGTTCCTTCTGGGGTAGATAGCAGGCAAAAGGAAAAGGAGAGAAAAAGTCACGAAAAAGAGAAAACGGCGGCGGCGGCGGCGGCGGCGGCGCAGCAGCAGCACTCGCAGCAGACGACACCGTCTGGTTCAACATCAACGGCAGGGACCGGCAAGATTTCGAGCATGAGCAAGGCAACCGGCAAACGACTGGGGCACGCGCACAAGAGGGCGAGCGGGAGCGGGATATCACGCCTCGTCGGCATCGCGCACCACGGCCTCTTCTCCTTCGAGCCCCCCGTGCCCTCGCCCACGCTCAGCACAGGCAGCACAGGCACGGCACACGACGGGGTCGTCCTCGTTCCGTCAGCAGACAGGAAGGACCGCGAGCGCGAGCGGCTCCAGGCGGAGAAGGAACGCCAACGCGACCTGCGTCGTGGCGGGCGGGCGGGCGACCGTGCACCTGTCCCTGTCCCTCTGCCCCCAGGTGCCCCTGGACCTGGACCGGCGGCGTTCCCGACACAGACGAACGCGGGGCATCGCTCGGGCGCGAAGGGCCGCTCGCTGGACCTTGGCCTCGGTCTTGCATGGGCGCCGTCGAAGATGAAGGAGGAGGCACTCCTGCCGTCGTCGACATTCTTCGTGCGGTCGCTGAGCGGGCGTTCGACGTCTGGGTCGACGACCGGGCGGTCGGCCACTGGAGGCTCGTCGTCGGGCCATGGAACGGGCAGTGGGAGCAGAAACGCGAGTGGGAGGTCGAGGACGGGAGATGAGCATGATGTTGAGCGCTCGAGGTTGGGCAGGGAGGTTGCGGAGGTGTTCAAGAATGCGTTGGGTGTTGAGGAGTATAAGCTTTTCAAGAGTTGTGAGTTCCTTTCCTTCTCGTCTTTCCTGTGGATTTCGGGGCTGACTATTCTTTTCGTTGTCTTGCAGATGTCCATCAGTTCGACGCTCACGAAATTCCGTTCGATGGCCCAACAGGCATCGTCACACTCGTCGACCGACTCTTGGTCACTGCTCCTCACCTAGGAGAAGAAGGTAAAAAGCGGCTACTCGACAACTTTGTCAAGATCATCCTCCAGCAAGCCTGATACGTATTTCCCTCGGCCTTCATCTTCCAAACTTCCATCTCGACACCCATTTAATCCAACATCTATTAATTTTTAGCCAGCATGCCCACAATTGTTCATATATAATCCACCATTGTAGTCTCTCATCTCTCTTGTTTTCATGATGCTTTCTGCCATGATAGATTATGTAGCTTATACTATCCTTCGCTATTCTCCTCTTTTCTTTTTGGGCTTGTTCACATCTATACCTTTGCTCTAGTCGTTCCCCTGGTTTTCCCTTCATCTACCCGCCATTCTCCAGGTCCACCCATGCCATATCATTCATTCATGACTTACGGTTGCTTCCCTACGTCTTCATGGTTCTTACGTTCGTGATTGACTTCATGACAGCCTACGTTTTTATATCCTTCCATTATGTTCTGTAAATGACTGCATGTACTGTATGGCTTTTCGCATGATTACGAGGAAACTTTCTGTAGAATGTCAGTGCTGAGAGCAATAACTCGAAGCCTATGATATTGTTCATGAAGGAGGAACCTGAAAGACATTACATACAAGTCATATGAGGGGGGGATCGAAAGGGTGTAGATGGAATGGTGGTATCTTGGCTATGAAGGCGGAAGTGGGGAGCTGATCATATAGCAGGCCGTAGTGCCCTCAGCCGGTCAGCCAGCTTATCGTCCTCATCTTTCAGCCTTTCGGTGGGCGCCACATCTGGAAGGCTTGTAACGTCCTTCGCCGCGAGATCGTGTTGGAGCTCGATGTTAGCCTCCTCGGCTGTCTGCCGCATGAGTATGTCGATTTGGTCCTGCGGCGTGGAGATAGCCGTTGTTGCGCCCATCGCATCCTCCATGTACGACGTTTGGACATCCAGATCGGTGAACTGGGACTCGAACTTGTCCATCACTATCGATATCTAGAATTAACTAGTCAAGCAGAATCTTGAAGCGGTATTGGGCGAACGCACCCTCTCTAGGTTCATGCTCTCCATCGCCTTGTCCATCCCTCGGACCACCGATGTCATATTCCCCGTAACCTGACGCATGGTGACGGCGGTCTCGACTCTACTGGCAACGGCATCTATTCTGCTAGATAGGCGCAGGAGGTTCAAGGCTTCGCTCTTCTTCCGGATCGCATTTGAGGCATAGATGCGAGCGCCTTCGTTATTCCCCTGCTGGAGCGCCTAAATGTCATGGGAGGGCAGTCGGTCAGAGGCTTCTCCGACTAGATATGTGAGATCGCGCTTGCCTTCTTCAGACGCGCCTTCTCCGTGTTCTCGTCCTTCTGGGCTTTCTTGGCCTGGCGATTGAGAGTCTTCGCTGTGAACTGCAACCACAGAGATCATTATGGAACTTCCGGCTTTCCAAGGGGGTTTACCTTGAGCTGGAACAGAGTCTCTGTAAAGTTTGTTAGTTTAAAATCCAACGCTTCTTATTCCGACTCACTTTCGAGGTTGCTCATGATGGACCAAGAAGAGGATGTGGTGGTTGTGGAAGGGTTTCTGCGGACTTGGTGCAGCATTACGCCCGCGCCGGAAGCGGAAAGCGGTGCTCGTGATCACGTGCACTTGTTCTCGGACTCGCCGGTCCGCATACGATGCAGCGTGTCTCTTCCCAAGTTCCAACACTCGGTTTCTATTTCCCCCCCTCCCATCCTTCTTCGAGAGCGCTGGGCCGCGATTTAGGGCGTAACAATGGGGCTTCTTTTCTTTGTTAGGTCAGTTGAGCCTCCCAATGTCACGAATTTCTCTTACGATGCATAACATCTCAGTTACTTTGCATTACTCGCCGCTTTCGCCTTCGTGACTCTGTCGCTGGGTTTGTTGCTTACATTGTCAATCGTTTCATGGGCTGACCTAGTCATATACTGCAGCGAGCGGTCTTCTGTATGTTTCAGAGCTCATAGAAGAGCATTCTCGACTGGCCAAGCTGATTGGCCAAAGAAGCATTTATGTGAGCCCCAATCCTTAATTCCATGATAATTCAACCGAACTGATAGGTATAGGTGATTATGGTGCTTCACGTTGTATTCTACTTCACCGACTCGTTACCCCTGCTCCAAATGCTGTTTTCACTGGCATGCCATATCGTCTACCTCCAAAACTTCTCCTCCACATGGCCCCTCATCTCGCTCACCTCGCTAACTTTCCTGGCATCGTGTGTCCTCGTCATTGCTGACCATTTCATATGGTTCTTCTACTTTGCTCGCCTGACGAGCGAAGCGAGGCATCTGAAGGCTTACCGGGGGATAAATAGTTACGCTCCGGGCTTCACTGAAATCGCCACCTTTTTCGGCATCTGCGTCTGGTTCACTCCCTTGTTCCTGTTTCTGAGTCTGAGCGCCAATGACAATGCTCTTCCTGTAGCCGCAAGTAAGAGCGAATAATCACTGGATATCCTCCCCTACTAACGATGTGTTCGTTAGTCGAACCGAGCTCGCCGGTACCAGGTTCAGCGATACGAACTAGCCCACCACGCACCTCCCTCATCCGCTCCATGTTCTCGGCTTTCTCTATCGATGGTATCCCACGTATAAGAGGAAGACCAGCGCGGAAAGACACCTCCGAAGGAATCCTTGCTCCCCATTCCCCCACGCCTATACTTTCTCCACTGCCACATCGACCTGCATCGCCCTCTCTCCGAGCAACACCATATCCTCCGCCGCCACCTCGGTCACCAGGCCCACGTGTTCAAGAAATTAACGTACCACATTCATTGCAGAATGCCGCTACTAATTTCAAGTTGGACACTCCTCCAAGGCGTACGGCACCATCACGACAAGGAACTGGGGATTCGTTGGGATTAGGTATAACCATGAGGAGAACGGCTAGCTCAATGGGTCAAGACGACTGAATACAGACTGAGGCACATACGTAGTATTTGAATAAGTAGAAGTTATTGTCTAGCGCCTTTATTCTTTCCCTGCTTGGGCTGTTCAACTGGTAAGGACTTGGTAAGGACGCACTCATTTAAGCGATGCCTTGTGCTTGCCGTTCTGAGAAGGATGACGCAAGGGCTGTATCCGGAGATAACAGTGAATTGAACCCGTCAACAATAGCCATTGCCACCGTCCAGTCACCTGTATGGAATAAAAAATCCTCCGGCATAAATGTATCTCTATCTAGGCAGCCACCCACGGGCACTCTATCTTATAACGAGCTCTCATGACGAACGGCTTGGTCGACCAAGACGCGCTCTGGTCTTCCGCGCCGGAGAAGGACACTCGAAGGCCATAGTTGAATTTTTGCATAAAGACCAAGTCAACGTCCATAATCTCGTTCGGCTGACGAGTAGAATCGTGAAAGGCTGTCTTGGGATGGTTTCAATGGAAAATGGTGAGTCCATTTCGAGATTAGGCTGATGAGCATACCTCACCACTGCGATCTCTAGACGTTTTCCTTGCTTTGATCACAAGCGCCACAGAAGTAGGCAACACACGGCCATCGGGAACCAACCCTGAATCTGTTGCTCGGATTCACGAAGTCTGCTTTTACAGTCTCACGACCTCGACCTGGGACGACCTTTCAGCAGGCATAGATGGTGCAGACGAGATTGGCTATAGAGACAGTTACAGCGGTCAACAAACACCTCCCTTGTTTGAGCACCCGTGCATGCCCCTCACGAAGATCATTTCGTCTGGCTCCTTTTACTATGCAATCGATACAACATGGGATCTATCATCGAGACTAGCAGTTCGTCTCGCCAAGGATTCACAGTCACCAAAGGAAAGCATATCTTTTGACGAGAGATTTGTATGGAATGAATATATCATTCGGAGTCTTCTTGATTTTCGAGAAAGGTTGGATCCACTTGAGAGAGACGATCTCGATGCCTGCCAGTTCATCGTAAGAGCCTTTCACTAATGGACAGCAATTCACCGACATTTCACTCAGGTCCTCGCTATTCAAGGGTATGTCGGAGTATTCACGATGGCATTGCCTGCTCCTCCGGTCGATGGATCGCCGACCGTAGCAACGTTGGCTCTCATCTCGCGGCTAGGTTGGAAAAGGGCTGGAACCAGGTTCAATACACGCGGAGTGGACGATGATGGGAACACAGCGAATTTTGTCGAGGTACGTGCTCCTGTTCTCTTTCGCTATATGATCTTGACGAGAGGCAACTAGACAGAAACTATATTTACTACTGACCAACACTGTGTCAGCTACGTACAAGTTCGCGGAAGTGTTCCCTGTAGGTTCTTTGTCCTCAATCTAAAGGGATGAAGTTGACCTTACTGTTCCGACCTTCGTTTAGTGTTCTGGGAGCAACAGGGGTTGCAAACTTTTGGTCAGCGTATACAAATCACCCGACCTCATGCATCCCAGCCCGCGTTCGAACGGCATCTGTTCCAACTCATGGAGGAGTACGGATCTATTCATGCCATTAATCTCTTGGGACAGAAAGAAAACGAAGCATCCTTGACGAATGCGTACGCTCGTCAGCTTCAAATTGCACGTGCTGCTCTTGGAGACGAACTTGGGATTACGCACTTCGATTTTCACAACGCCGTGAGGATTGGTGGTCATGAGAGCGTTGTACGAGAACTTAAGTCAGTCTCCTTTCCTTTCCTTTCGAACTATCTTTAACACGGGCACCTATCAGACGTATGGAAACTATTGTGGATCACGTTGACAAGTTCGGCTTCACGATGTGCGATGCTACAACGGACGAACTGGTAACAGACCAGAAAGGTGTCTTCAGAACGAATTGTTTAGATTGGTTAGGCTTTTGCTCTTTGAATCAATGCCCCCGTTGCTCACAATTTAGTTTAGTTTAGATCGCACCAACTTCGTACAAGACATTCTTTCTCGAACCACCTTGGAACAGTACCTGCTTCTTGTCCGCCGGGAATGGCTGCACTCCAACACCCTATGGACACATCACCGCGAGCTTTGGGCCGAAAACGGTGATGCATTATCCCGGATATATGCTGGAACAGGTGCCCTCAACACGAGCTTTACAAGAAGTGGGAAGCGCACATTAGCTGGTGTGTTTGGCTGTCTCTTGCATCGCGCGTTCCTGATCGTTCTCCCTTCATTCGCAGGCGTTATTTCCGATGCAACGAAGAGTGTGTCTAGGGCGTATATCAACAACTTCCAGGATAAAGGAAAACAGGCGGCCATCGATATGTTCCTCGTACGTTTTTATCAAGATCTCTGAGAAGTCAACTGAAGGTGCTGCTCTATAAGGGAAATCTCAGTAATCAGCGTCAAGTCACTATTTATGACCCGATACACGACCACGTTCGAGCAACGCTGGACCAACGGTATGGTTATTGATGCCTATCACCGCCGGCACTCTGAAAACGACTTTTAGATCGGCGGAGTACTCAACGACAAAGCAATGCATTATCTTAGTGGGCACATGGAACCTAAACGGCCGGGTTTGCAATTTCTTTGCTCTCTATTTCCACTTCACTCATCAGATGTCGCTCAATTTCAGGCACCGTCGGAGTCATTACTTCCCTGGCTATTTCCCCGAGAAAGTAAGACTATAGACACAGTGTATTTCCGGTCGCTCAACTCTGCCCCTTTGGGTTTAGGTTCAAATGAGTGCGCCTGTCAGCTTTACTTCGACCTCCAGCTGCTTATCAAAATTAGACCGGATATGTTCGTGCTGGGCTTCCAAGAAATTGTCCCATTGACCGCACAACAAATCGTACAGACGGATCCGGAGAAACGGTGGGTAGATGTGCTAGTATGTGTTCGTGGATTGATCACCTTTTTGTAGTCGTGTATGGGAAAACAAAATCCTGGCCACCCTTGATCGCCGTCCACAGAAGAAGTGTGATTACGTTCTTCTCAGGAGTGAACAGGTATTTGTTTACTTCGAATGCTTGATATGACTTCGTCGATCAATTTCCCAGCTCGTTGGAACTGCATTGTTGATCCTAGTGAAGTCGGAGCTGACAGCTGTCATAAGAAATGTAGAAGGAACGTCTAGAAAAGTGGGTACTCCAAGTTCAGCCTTGTATTGGCTGCTTCACACTCCACTACAGACTGGATTGCGTGGCATGTCTGGGAACAAAGGTGCAGTTGGAATACGACTGGACTATCATGATACCAGTTTTTGCTTCCTTACTGCCCACCTTGCCGCTGGTCATTCGAACGTCGAAGAACGAAATGCAGACTATCGGACTATCGTAAACGGACTGCACTTTCAGAAGGGAAAGACTATTCAAAGCCATGAGTGAGAAGCGTCGAATCTCCCACTCCATCTTCTGTTTAATATTGGCAATAGGAATGTCATCTGGCTAGCTGATACAAACTACCGGATCGACCTCGACAATGCGACCGTACGGGCGCTGGCGGAGCATGATGACTTCGACCCACTTTGTGCAGCTGATCAGGTGGTTCATCCCTTCCCCTCGTCCTGAAAACGTGTTGACCTCCGCTTTTTCTCAGCTGCGGCAAGCCATGGACTCGAACGCCGCATTCGCCGGGTACGAAGAGGGCCCACTTCTCTTCCGGCCGACATACCGCTACGATCTTGGGACCGACATCTACGACACGAGCGAGAAGATGAGAATCCCAGCCTGGACAGGTAAACACGGGCTGTCTGAGAAATTGGAATCACTTTTGATGCTCGTCGCAGATCGAATTCTTCACCGCGGCAGTGCTCTTGACCTGGCGGTCTATTCTAGAGCCGAATTGCGGGGATCTGACCATAAACCAGGTGAAGTGGGGTTCAGTCTACAACTGCCTTGCCCCACTGATCCTCCTTCCCGAGATAGTGTTTGCCAGATATAGAGCGAAAGTCCGAGTTGTCGACCCTGTGAAGAAGGCGGCGTTGTCCCGCATGCTTCTAGAGAGCATCGTGTCTACGGAGCCAGGAGAGAGTCTGGACGAAAAGTTGGCAAATCTAACCCTGCCTATGAACACAGTAGAACGTTTGTGTCATCTTTTTCATACATGGCCAATTCGTTGACATTATCATTGATACTCCAGTGCCCCTGCCTAGCACAGATGACAAAAGCTGGTGGGATACTGCAGGTAGGGTTTATCTTTTGTTCATAGTTGAAGCCGTTGGCTAACCCATTAAAGAATGGCCTAGGGGGTTGGTGCCGATAGCAGAGATTCTGAAACTGGACTTGTATCGAAACACCAATCCCTTCGTATCACCAGCAACATCCCCACTGTCTTCGTCTCCCTCCTCCTCTGACGAGGAACTGTATTCACATGCTCTGACACTGCAGACACCCATGGCACCCATCCAAGCAACTGCGCGAAGGCCAGCACCTCCACCACCTCGTTTGCAGAAACAAGCAGAAACAAGCGACTCATGACTGAAGCTTTGGAATAATTGACTAACGTTCAATCAAGTATACAATTGTAAACATGCAGGTTGTAAATTGGACTACGGAGGACGTATAATTTAGGAGAATCAAATGAGCCCCTGCTTCTTGAGGTCGTCGTAGGTCTTGCGGTTATATACGTTTCCGTCGTCGTCTTCAAGTTCCTCCATCGTTTCTTGCTCGAATATCTCGTGCCGTCCTTCTTGCTTCAATTTCTCCGCCACTCGATATCAAGTCTTCAAGTCAGCTCGCGGAGGATTATGGAATGCCAGACAACTCACAAGCAAGAGCATCCTCAATACGAGTAATCTCGTGAAAATGTTTGGTGTTCGGGAGACCGAGAGCCCTCATACCGAAGGCATGACGAGATTCCTAAGCAAGGTCAACACAAGCATGGTCAGGTTCGAACGAGGGCACTCACTTGGAAATGTCGATCGAAATTTTTTCTGATGAGTAAACGTGAACACGTGGAAAGAATGCAGAGGAGACGAAGCCCACCTTCCCATATATACATGATCGGAGCAGATTTCACAACGGTATTCAACCCCAAGACCGTGAAGCTTATACAGCCAATAAGGAATTGGTTTGCCGTCCCAACCGAGAGGGAGCTTTAGAGGATTATAAATTCTCTCTTCCTCTTCCTCCTCTTCGCCACCGCCTTCCGCAGCTGAGGTGGCCGGCGGAGGGACTGGATTGGATTGATCTAATAGCTCTTGTTCACGCTCTCTCGCGGTTAGCGAGAATCGGCGCTCCACGTTTGACTTGGTCTCATTCAATGTTGCCGCCAGAGATACCAGGAGATCGGTGGCCAGGTGCGTGAGATAAGCCGAGTTTCGGATGCGAATTTTTTGAGAGGATTGGGTGGTCGTGTTGTGCACAGGTTCCTGGGGTGCAACACCGTTAGGGTTTGCCGCGGGTTCACCAGACGTCGCTTGCTTCGCAACGGCTTTGATGTGCCTTTTTGAGGTGAGATGCGCATCGTAGACCGTCTGCTTTGCATAATGCCTCTGGCCTAGACGAGTACAGGGGTAAATCTTTTTCAAGGGAAATAAATTGGACTTACAAGCCCCACACCATAAACCGCCGTTGTTACCATTTTCTTGAGACTTCGATTCTGAAGGGTCCTCCCACCCGGGTATCTCTTTCGCGTCCCATTTCCTCTCAAAATCGAGGGCAACTTCTCGTTGTCGCGCATCGATGTCCACAATCGGCTGAGTCTTCTTTGTGAACGATAGGAGGTAGCCATGCAGATTTTTCAGGTAACTGCGAGAATTCACGATAAAAATAAGGATTTTTTGAGGAACGGGAGTCTACGAACGTCTCGTAATCCTTTGTATGACGCGTTTCTTTCGGTAATTCAGAGTGGACTGGACCAAGCTGTGCAGCAAGTAAAAGGTCCAGGTATTGTAGATACCCAGGACGCTTCCCGATGTTTTTCAGGTTGTTGTATGCGGTGTGATTCGCGTAGAGGTCCAGATATCTACCATAACCCTCTTCGCCAGAGAAAAGTAAAGCAATAGCTGAAAGGGGTGAATTGGCTTGAGTACCAGCAGTAGCGTGAGTGAAGGGCCTGCTCACGGTCTTCTTCTTCGTACTCCTCATCGCCGTCCTGGTGAGGTTCATCAAGGAACGCTGCAATTTCAAGGTCGAATCCGGCTGGTATAGCATCAGGGTACTTGTTGTGGTGCTCTTGGATTTTCACCAACCGCGAATAGAACTCCGACAAGTCGTTTTGTTGTAAGGGTGCAGATAACGCGTCCAGTTCTGCCTTTCTTGCAACTTCATCCTGATATAAACTGTTCAAGGCTATCACTCTTGAAGAGATTCGGTCGAGTATCTGAAATGCCTTATGTTCATTTTGGAGCTTGCGGTCCTGCGTAGGGGTGGGGCGGGAAAGGAGGGTGTAGAGGGCCCTCTCGAAGCGCTCTATCTCCTCGTGGGTTTGACGCTGAATTTCAATGGTAGAGTCCATGGTTGAGCCTGCAAGTGTGAGTCCAGCGCAAAGGTGTCGAGATATTCAAACTCCGATCGCTGCACCACTCTCAACCAACCACGACAACTTGAAAATAATGGCTGGCGTCAATCCCGGGGACGACGTACGCATATGCATATCCTCTGCTCAGAATATAGCTAACGTGAAATCTGTGTCCAGAAACTCGTATTTGAGTCATCTGAAGCTGTTAATGTTGTATCAACATTCGACGACCTTGGCCTGAAGGAGGACCTCTTGCGCGGCATCTATGCCTACAGTATGTATCGCCAATGCTCCCGCGAAAATGTCACTCTTACCTTGCGCCCTAGATTTCGAAAAGCCTTCAGCTATCCAACAACGCGCTATTCTGCCTATAACTCAAGGACGCGATGTTATTGCTCAGGCTCAGTCTGGTACTGGTAAAACTGCGACGTTTTCCATTTCTATCCTCCAGTCCATCGACGTCACCGTCCGCGAAACTCAAGCGCTCGTTTTGTCCCCTACCCGTGAATTGGCGACCCAAATCCAATCTGTCGTACTGGCATTGGGAGACTACATGAATGTCCAATGTCACGCTTGTATCGGAGGTACATCCATTGGGGAGGATATTCGAAAGCTCGAATACGGTCAGCACGTCGTCTCAGGAACACCTGGACGCGTCTTCGACATGATTCGGAGACGCAGCCTACGAACAAGAAACATCAAGATGCTGGTGCTTGACGAAGCGGACGAATTGTTGAACAAGGGCTTCAAGGACCAAATTTACGACGTTTACCGTTACCTACCCCCCGCCACACAGGTCGTTCTTCTCAGTGCGACCTTGCCATATGATGTTCTAGAGATGACTACGAAGTTCATGACCGACCCTATCCGAATCCTGGTCAAGCGTGACGAACTGACGCTGGAGGGTATCAAGCAGTTCTTTGTCGCAGTTGAGAAGGAGGACTGGAAATTTGATACCCTTTGTGACTTGTACGACACTCTCACCATCACGCAAGCCGTGATCTTCTGCAATACCCGTCGAAAGGTTCGTCCTATACCCTTTTCTTTCCTTTTGTCAATGGGTTTTAGCAATTATTAGGTTGACTGGCTGACGGAAAAAATGCGCGCGTCTAACTTCACGGTCTCATCTATGCATGGTGAAATGGTTCAAAAAGAACGTGATGCCATTATGGCCGAATTTCGAGGAGGAACTTCGTCAGTATATCATGTCCAGACAAGTGAACCTCGGCTCATCCTCTCCTTTTAGGCGAGTCTTGATTACTACGGATGTTTGGGCCCGAGGGATCGACGTTCAGCAAGTCTCATTGGTCATCAATTATGATCTTCCTGCGTGAGTGTCTCAGGCTATTGAACTCACCTCCGTCGGCCCAATTATCGCTATTTTAGCAACCGAGAGAATTACATCCATCGTATTGGGCGATCTGGCCGGTTTGGAAGGAAAGGCGTTGCCATCAACGTTAGTATTGCCCTGTTTCGCCCCTAAGTTGAATTGTTTGCTCATCGTAAGTGTAGTTCGTGACGGTTGAGGACGTTCGTATACTGCGTGATATCGGTGAGTGGACCGTTATATTCCCTCGGCGAAGCAGGCTCACGGCCCCCTAGAACAATTCTACAGTACCCAAATCGTGTGTTCAAGTCCGTCTCGTTTTCCCGTTGCTGACCTCTCCTTCAGGATGAAATGCCGGTGAATGCTGCAGAACTCATCTAATTCATTCGTACTTCCGTCTGTAGAGTCGGTTCTCCTCCCCAGTCTTGTATTCTATCATCCCTCATGCAGAATTCCTCCGACCGGAAAAATGGGCACCGTATTCTTATTTCCTATGAATAAAAGGTAGCAGAACCTGCTCTAAAATCTCCAAAAAGGATCTTGAGACCGTGAACAGTATGCGCGGAGTAGTAAATTGCAATGCCGAGAACCTCACTAGCACGTTGCGATCGAATTAGTGAGTTCAATTACAGCCACGCGACTGTTTAAGCGTTCGAAGCGCCGTCTACCCCTTTCGGCAGAGAGATGAAGAGCTTTAACACACGCATACATACGGCGGACATTGTCGTCAATTCACGAAATGTCCCAGCTCAGAAATAGGCGGATGATGATTAAGTTCTACACCGTAAGTACGACGTGATGAAATCCGGGTCAATTTCGACACCCATTAAAAAGCATGAGGATCCATCGCGTCCTTCGCATCGACACGTGCGCGAAGTGTGTGGTGTGGCGTCAGGACGCCCGTATCATCCACCGAACTCGAACCGGGTTCTCGACAAGGGTTCTCGGTTTGCTCCCTTTGTAATGCGAGCACTCGCGTCGGGGACGCACTGAGCTAGGAAAAGAGCGCGGACCGGCATTTTATGACGCACGGTAGAACCTGTTGGGAGCGCTTAAAATTTTCACTCCGTCAATTCTGGGAACAGAATTCTCTGCATAGGTGGTATTTCGTGCAAGGTGCACATGTGCGTTGCAAAGCGCATTCACCGGCCAAGAGTCGAGAATAAATCCACAGCTGATGATACGTTCTGTTGGGAGGAACGAACCAATCCAGTCGAGGGGTCACCACGGCGGATGCAAATCTCTGTAGCACTGTGGATCTGAGGCGGTACACTGAAGCCAGGAAAACTCCGATCGCCTTGGTACAACCACGAGTGAAGACAAGAGAAAAAAAAGCATCGAGGCCGCGGGGTCGTGGCAGACTCCCCGAGGCCATCTATTTGCGGACCTCGAAGACCTTGCAGGACCTTGCTAGCTGAAGCTCTTCATGTAGCAAGAGTCAGTCAAGTAGAACACAGGGCACCGCCCATATCGGTTGCCTATCAGGTCCCACGGTGGCGATGATTGTCGTGTAGATCACTTACCACAACAGGAAACACCTGCAGTCCATAGTCGAAAAGGGACATGCTCCTATTTTCATACAGTTTCCTCCTGTACGTGGTGATGACAAGCGAAGATGACTTACTCGAGCACTCCAACTGCGCGATCGGGGCATAGACCAAGAATTTGGACAAGATTTTAGATCTCCTCGCGAGGCCACACGACTCGAGCTCGACACAATACCTTACGTGAAAAAGAAATTCGGACTCGATAGAATCGCATGCTTCGGTCCTGAAGAATACACCCCTTGGCCATCTTCGAGCTCGTAAGGGTTAGTAATGGAACGTACCAGAATTCAGTCGACCCCAATCTGTTGTACCCCTGCGCAAATGCATTTGAACCAGCTTTCAACCCACGGTTGGGAGGGTGGAAGTGCCAGTGAGATGATTTGTGGTATTCGAATTAGAGGGGCCTAAACGCCGGCTCCCTTGAATCATGCGGCGGTGGGTATTGCGCATCTGAATCGAGACTCGAGCAAACAAGGAAGCATATCGCGATGCTCTTTGAGCGAGTATAAAGCGACGAGTAGCTTGCGACGATGAAACTCATCCCCCATCCTCCACTACTATCTGTTGCCATGTGCTATTGGCGAAGGTCAGTCGATTATGCATTGCCTTCAGGTACCGTCGACTTACTTCACGCACGAACGGCAGAGTTCGTAACGTTTACAAAAAGTTCGTCACTTCCTTCATGAATCCTTGGACCCATATTAATCTCTTTCGAAGATGTGGTCACGCCGTCAATTTGGTATGCCCAAGGACGTCCAGCATGCAAGTTTCACTAACGCCTGCACACTTTATAGCCGGACGAAGAGGTAAGCCGTCTCGCAATGAGGATTCTCTTTGAAAGTTGATCGGCGACTAGATCAAGTGTGACCTAGTCAACTGCAAATTCAGCCCTGCACATCCCCAGGATTGTAAGCCACCCAGCTGTACTCAAACGTGTTGGCAGTAGTGCGTCATTTTCGTCCATGTATATTCACCAGGTCTAACATACATACCAGCCGACAATTTCCACAGCAATATTCCCCCCACATCGAGAAGGCATGCCCAGCCTGCGGCGACTGAACTCGACGTGCAAATCACTTCTTTCAATCGGAAAGGTCTCTCGTGCCTGGGCAGAGGGATGAGGCGAAGGAAAAGAAAAAAAGTAGAACGCGTATCGGGCTACTGGCATATAGACCTAGATTTGCCTCTGTCCGCTGGAGATGTAACTTGTTTCTGAGAAAGCAATTTGTAAAATCCGTAATTTATCTGGATATATGTTGAATGCGTACCGTTCGAGTGGTCAGGCCGGTTAGGGATCACCGATGTTATGCTTTTTCTTCAGCTGTGCGAGTTCCTCTTCTCGTCTTGCAAGATCGGCTTTCGCAGCAGCAGCATCTTGCTTGGCCGGCATATGGTAGAGGACGACTATGTACCGCTCTTGGAGGTGGAAACCATTGAGATGGTCGAGGGCATTTTTGGCCTGGATGAAATGAGATAGCTGCGTAATGCGGTACCATAGGTTAAGCGCACCTCCATCACGTCGTCATACACTACGAAAGCTGTCCCCTTGGTCTTCTGCTCATTTCCGATACGAATTTGGCGGATACTGCCATACCGTCCGAACAAATCGTACAAGTCCTCGCCCGTAATCTGGTAATTGAGATTTTTTACGAAGAGGATCCGATTGGCCCCGGGAGGCAGCTTTGCCTACATTAAAGATTAACCTTGGTGTTATGACTACTATGGCGACAACTCACCGCTGGTCTTGCAAGCGCCATGATGATGCTGGATGAAGGTGTAAGTTGGCGACCACCGTGACTGTTCATGGAGCCAAGCCTCACGCTGACTCAGCAGCCTGAAGCACACACAACAACCATATTTGGGCTGTGTACTCCGTAACGCGTAACAACCTCAAAAGTCAACTTAGACTGGCATTCAGTTTTCTAGGTCTCCGTTCATACCGCACAGAGGCGTTACAAGCAATTTTTCTACTAGCATCAGGAGAAGTATCAGAATTATTTAGGCCTATTCCTTTCTGATTACCTCTGGCTCAGTCTGGATGCCGTGTTGTGCTGTAGATCTTCGGGTGTAGCGATACCGGCGGCTTGCGCACAGGTCACGGCGGGCGTTATAGGAGACCTGAGCCATCGGGGATATCTGGAGGATGGGGCTTTTAGAATACATATCCTAGCTTTCACAATGGAAGCGCCTCAGTGTGATCCCCGTCAAAAGTTCCGCCAGCGTGAATTCCACAACCGCAAAAAAATACACCTCGTCTCGTCGTTGGGCGCGTGCTAACCGAGTGTCAAGTTTTGAATTGAAGTAAGCGATCGAGGCGGCCGTGAACGACAACTCATGGTCCGAAGCCAATCACCAGCTCGCACAGGCACACTGTGAGGCACTTGGTACACCGGACCTTAGAGTAATGCGGCCGATAGGAAAGAGTCAGCTGAATTTTGGAGCCTGTTGGCTACTGACGAAGAAATGTGCATAGAACAGAGGTGGTTGCTCTGCATGCCGATTGTTAGACGCAGCATATCGAAGACTGGCCCTGGCTATTGGAGGTTATCAGAAGACGTTGGCAGGAACGTGTCAACTACACCTGATAGAATCGCTGAACTATCTGAAATGAAAAAATAGCCGCCGACTTACGGCAGCTTTCCATGTGAGGTCAAAAGAACGCCCTAGGCGTTGAGGCAGTTTCAGATCGTGATGAACTTCTCGGTGGTCTCGTAGCTTTCAGCGACGTTGCACGGCAGGCCCATCTGGATCCAGAAACACTAAAATAAGCCAGCTGGATAGGCTTGGAGGCAGAGGTGACCTAATGTTTCGTTTGCAGTCAGAGGAACAGAACTTCCAGAGTTCTGATACTTAGTGAGCAGATGGTAAGCAGAAAGCCTTGAGTGTTCAAACTTCTCTTACATCTGGATCCAGGAATCAGATACGTGAGGGACTTGTTCAACCACACTAAATTCTGGCATTACCGTGCGGAGGACTGTCGTAAGCGGAATTTAGCAGAGAGCATGCATATACTTGTACAGGTGATGGAGAAGACTTCTGGAAAACCATCGGTACAGCGACCTGAAATACCCACTGTTCAGACCACTGTCCCTCTCGAACAGCTGGATAATATTCTTTTCAACTGGAGCACAACTGTGGAGGCCATCGGAGATTTGACGGGAGCCGTTGAATCCACCAGACATCCGCGTGAGAATGCATGGGATTAATGACCGTGTGGGGTGCCGAAGAGGCATCGTTCTCGACTGCATGGTAGAGGTGGAGGAAAGTGCCGGCTCAGCTTCGTCAGTTGAGCGTTCTCAAGAAAGAGATGTATCGAGAAAACTGCTCTCTAGAAAGATGCAGTCATATCACAAGGAATCTATTTCTTCTTGGATCGCACACCTTTCCTCATCAACCTTTCTACCTCCCTACAATCGTTCGGTCCACGCGTGCAGACAAAGGTCGAGCCTTCTCCATCCGCGTCGGGTATGTTACATTTAATGTCTTCCGCGTTGGGGCACGGGCAATCGGACGGCCTCGGAACGCAGTCCAACGTTTCCGGACACATGTACTGTGAACATGCCACTGGAGGAAAAGGGTTGTATCTAAGGAATCCTTGCTGAAAAATATATGTAGAGGCTTACCACCGTCTGAGTATGCAGCCCACTGTGAGGCCCCGGAACGTTGCTGCTGTTGCTGCTGTTGCTGCTGATGTTGATGGTGGCCTCCGAACATATTCTCGAAGAAGCCGTTGAATTGTGCAGCCACGACCTGCAACCCCACAAGGAGGAGCATTTGTACCATAAAAAAGCGCTGCATAGCGAAAATATGATGTAGAACTTGTCTCGCGTGCGATGCGGTTGGTGTCGTGGCTAGGGTTTGAGTCCAGTACCTGCGTCGTGGCTATTACTAACGCGACGTGTCCTAGCCCACGTGGGGATCTTCTCCGTTTCGGGTTTCGGGTAGACGCCGGTTACACGTTGACGAAGGGACAACTATATTCAGAACTAGCTACTCAGCAATACTAGGAAGTAAAACTACTGGTCATTCGAACGATCGTCCTCCCCTAGCTGCGTGGTTTTGCATAAGGGAATAGCCACAGAAACCGTCGACGACTTTGGAAGTTGCGACAGAATGCATGGCCTCTACTTCTTGAATGCAGCTTGCGTGTAGTAGTGTTGGTGATAAATCTGTTTGAAATGTGTTGAGTAGGTACAAGATTTGGGAAGATGGGGAGGGAAATGGAGGTCAATGAGTACATAAATCGAGGATATTGAACAAGACATCATGACGTGTCGTAAAAAGATAGATGTGTGGTTGAAGGTTCGGTAGAGGTGTTGGTCATCAAAGGCAGACTTCCAAGGACATTCTCTTCATTCCTCATCATCCTCAAGGTCGAGGCCGTCCATCATCGCCCGTCTGGAGCTTCTTGCGCCACGGAGTCTTGATGTCGACGAAGGGACTCCAACTATCGTCCTTGAAGACACTGGAGAGAGGGACGCCAACTTACTGGCTATCCTGTTTCTCGGCACGTTAGTCACCGAAGACGATTTCTTGGCAGGCATGTCACTCTCGACTGAACCACTGGAGATCATGGTGGCTTTCTTGACCTTGCGAGGCGGCATATTCTCCTTGGGCTTATCGCTTTCCATGTTTACGTCAGCACCGACTTCATCATGGTCGGACGAGGGCGGAAAAACAACCAAATGAGGATCCTGAAAGACAACGAAGCCGGGATAATGGATTGAGGTAGGATCTGGTTGCGGGGGAAGAATCCGTGGGACAAGTACGGGGTTGCTTCTTGAATAGGATGAAGGAGGAGGAGAAGGAGACTCTGAGCGCCCATTGTCATCGGATAACGCGTCGAAAGCATCATGGTTTCGCGTGATGCGGCCACTCCTGGGCTTGAGCTCCGGGGAAGGGGCGAGCGATTTGGTCGATGATCTGCGAGGCGGAGTAGCGTCCAGTCCACATCGATCTGTCGTAGAGGGCTTCACGGGATCTCCCCCAGCGTTCTTCGGGAGTCCAAAGTCCAAGACTCGCGCAGGGCTCGCGGGGCCAGTTAACACATCGCTGAAGCGTGAAGGGGATATGCTGGGAGAGAAGAGAAGGGTCTTGCGAGACTTGCTGGGAGAGAGGAGGCCCTCCGACTCTAAAATTCTGCGCTTTGCGGGACTGAAGAGATTCGGGTCTCCAGGAGAATGTGGCCTCTTGCTGCCTCTTATCGGTTTGGCGGAAAGGTTGGGGTTAGAAGGGATAAATTGTTCGAGTGGCAGCTCCTGCAGGGGGTTTCGTCGTTGCATGGGCTGCGTTGAGGACAAAAGAAGGGCGGGGAGCGGGGCGACAATAATTAGTGGTGGAGGGAGAGGGTAAGAACAATTTTAGCCGAAAATCCAACTTGCACAATGCCCCTGCCGCGTGGCGTTGTCACGGTCGCGTCAGGTTACATACAAGTGACCTAAGTCACAATTACAAACAATCAAGGTACACTACTTTTGTCTTGCACTACCGCGTCTGTCCCACCAAATGGCCTGTTGGCATCACAACGTCAAAGACTCCCGTTCCGGTCGCATTGGGTTTTCCTAGAACAATGTTTCCCGAAGGCGTCGTCAGGTCGTCAAAGTCTCCGTAGAGTGTCGCGTCAGAGAGGAATGCAGCAGTCGTCTCATACGAAGCCTTCAGCAAAGGCGAGGGGTTTGTGGATATACCCTTGCGATTGAATGGCTTATAACCACCATCGAAAGTCTGCCCATTTCTCGGTCGGTCATGAAAATCAGAGGTAAGCAATGCAACGCACCATATAGTCAGCGATCAGTTCCAGGTGCCGCCTGTTCACGTCGATGTTGTACACCGCGAAGATGCCTGCCATCTCCTTCAGTATTGCGGCTCGAGCCATCTCAACGCCATACGTTTTGAGAATGGAGTAGATGTCGTTGGAGTAGATGTGCTCGTCTTCCAGTATACTTTCATCCGAACCAGCTGCAAATTCCCACATTCCTCTGAGATTGGATCCATTGGTTGTGAGCTAATGAGATGTTAGCGGTCTGAACGCAGAGTGGCTACGAAACGTCTGAAATACCTTGATTACAGGCTCGCCTCCCTTCTTGCTGTCCTCTTTGACTTGGAAACACTCTAAGATCCCTGGGATCTCTCGGATTACTGTGGTTCGGCAGACGCGCTCTATGATCCCAACAAACAAGAGTTTGGGCATATCGGAAGGGAACTATAGAAAAACTTCGACGCACATCACAGAAGAAACAACAGAAAACCAACCTCGATCTTGAATGTGCATTTCTCGGGTTCGAAATCGAAAGAGGTACACTGATGCATGTGCCTTTGGAAGAGATCAGCTACGTGAGCCACACGAGTCTTAAATGACGGCGATTTCAGTTTTTTGATTGGCGGAGCCGGGGTCTCCTCTGGAGTTGCAAATTTCGCTTCAAGAGCATCATCATCGTACGCGCCAGTGGTCTCTTCTTCCTCATCGTCACTATCATACGTTGCCAATTGCTTCCTTTGTCGAGCATGCTTAGCATCTTCCGCGTCGCCATCGCCGACTTCACTCCCTTCGTCATCGCCCCTCCTGTCTACCACAGGTTCTTCCTCTTCTTCGTTGCTCTCGCCATCTTTTGACTTGACTTTTTTGCCTTGTCCCAGCTGGGCCATTTGGGTCTTCAGATCAGCATCCAACTTCTTCATTTCTGCAAGCATCTCCTTCTTCAGCGTCAAAGGGAACTTAACACCGAAAGCCGAGAGAATCTCTAGCGGATCAACGTCGTGCTCCTCTTGATACTCGTCCTTGGGATAGAAGTTGATATCCACCGTGAATTGAGTGCGACGAGCTTGTCCTGCGACTTGCAATGTTTCATAAACCGTGACGTTATCAACCAGCTGTGATAGATTGACCCGACTCGCCCGTTTGCAGAACAAGCTGATGTCTTGGAGCAATACACCACAGCGTATCTTCATCGTCATCGATGGCGTCTTTGGCTTCTGGGACGCTGTCATAACGATTTCTCGCAAGCGGGGAATACCGAGAGTCACATTGGCGGCACCGTGCCCTGAACAGAGTCATGGGCGGCTGAAAGAGAAGGACAAAAAAATCTTCACGTACCAGCGAAATGGAAGGTGTTCAATGTCATCTGAGTAGAAGGCTCGCCAATGCTGTGAGATCAGGTCAGCTCGGGGGTCTTTTCGTAAGCCAAACACTTACCCTTGTGATGCTAACAGGCCAACAGCTTCGCCTGGCTCGACTAGACTTCGCATATACTTGTGATTCATGAGGAGGCGGAAATCTCTCGGGTCCATACGCTTTCTTCGACTGGGATATTTCGACGTAGAATTGGCGTCAGCGAGGAGTTGATGGGAGTTTGACTTGACATATTCGTCCACTGCAGCTGCGAATTTCTCCGATGTGCTGCCCATATACCGTGAAGGGTTGTACACGGACAACGCGGGGACATACTTGTCTCGCTTGGAGGGTTTCCGTTTGTCCGGGCGATCAGCAGAACGCTTGAACGTCTTCTTCATGTACGCGACGGCCGTCCCTTGATCAACCACGTCAGAGACCTGGTAAGGCTTCAGCCGACGAGCGAAGGAAACATTGTTTTGAGCAATGAAGGGGAATTGGTAGAGGTGCTTCTGCTTCGTAACGTCCAGTGCGTCTCCTCCGTAGGTGAACTGGTATACCGAATTGTCACTTCCTCGTACAGTGTTGTCATAGTGCACGCGAAGGCCTTCTAGATGCTTGATCAGACACCTTTGAAGGTATCCAGAACGCGAAGTTTTCACAGCAGTATCGATAAGACCTTCTCGTCCAGCCATACAATGAAAATAAAATTCTTGAGGTTTGATGCCAGTCAAGAACCGGCTGGCGACATAGCCGCCTGCTATCGCTTTCGTTTCGAAAGGACGGAATGAAGGAAGAGTTTTCCCGCTAACCATCACAGGCACACGACGGCCTTCAAGTTCTTGTTGCCCAAGGGCGCAAGAGATTTGTCGGACATTGACTGCAGAACCTTTTGCGCCGGATAGGGTCATGGTTTGCATGTGGTTATAAGGGAATTGGCGCAAGAGACCAGCTGGTAGGCATGCATCAGAAATGAAACTTGTCAATTTTGATAGCTTCGTCTTCACGGTCATATCCAGACCGGCCATCTTGTTGTCGTCCCGTAGTACATCCTCAAGCAATGCTCGAAGGGCATCAGGAATATCGGCTTTAGATGCTGTGCCGAGTGACGGGAAATTTTCGATTGCCCCATCCAAACCGAGGTTTTTGCCCTTCTGTAAGAGGTCGTCCCGGCTCTCATCGCCTGCTGGAGTGAGCATTAGATCATCCATGCGACATGTGAAGGCGCGGTGCTGTAGGAACTTGGTGAAGAGTCTGCTGAGAATACCGAGGAGCTTGCCAGAAACATCGGGCCCGTATAACTCGTAAACGGAGTGTACGAGACCGTAGTCAGAGGCTCCAAATGCCGCTTTATCCAGCACACCACATAATAATTCGCCGTCCATGAAGATGACTTTGTCCTCTTTGGAATCTGCGCCCCAGAGCCTTCCTGGCACCTTGGTCTTCCCTTCCATGTTAAGACCTTCGTATTGACTGGGAGTGACGTTCTTGAGGACGGTTGAAATCTGAAGTCCTCTTTTAGTAACACGGGATCATGACATATGAGACAGCTTAGAGCTTACGATTTGTTTACCTGTCCACAGCGGCATTGGCTTCCAAATGGTAGGGGGAAGGGTAAGCAGGCGCGTGCCAGGATCGATCTCGTCTTCTGGGCGAAGTGCACCATATATTAGCTGGAAGTATTCCTCACGGTCGAAGAATGAATTCTGGCACGTCATCCAAACCCCCGCAACGACATGATCTTGAATAAGGCCACGAATAGGATTCCCTGATGTAGGTACCAGATACTGATTGTCTGTATTGGATATCATCATGGCTTCGGCACGAGCAACATGATTTTCTTGAGAGAAAAAATCAGCACATCACCATAAGTTACAAACAGTAGATGCATACGGGGAAAGTGGATGTTCATCTCTGAAGTACTTCGTCAACCTTGCTGCATGGATTAGGGGCTTAAAACGTACCATCTCCGTCAAAATCAGCTGCGAACTCGAAGTTAACACCATCGAGGCATCGATAGAAAAGAACGCACCGTTGTAGGAGTTACTGGATTATACAGATCCGGGTAAGTGAGGCAGCAAGCAAGGGAAAGAGGCATACCAGTTGGCATAGTGCATGCGGATGGTCTTCTCGCCTCTCAACACTCGGGCTTTGTGTGTCATCATACTTGGTTTATGTAGTGTAGGTTGACGGTTCAGAATGAGAATATCGCCATCCCGCAAGTGTCGATAAACCTTCTTATTAACGGCCGCAGTTCGTGTCGTCAGGCTATGCTTGCCTGAAGTTGCTCTGTCCCCTTCGTGAGGTGTCAGCAGCTGGTTTGCGATTGCAGTGCGCTGCTCGACGGTCATTTTATCCTAGAAAATAGATGAGAGTGTGCGCTACGTGGAAAGCGAGGACGAGACTTGCCAGTGACTGCTGCTCGCCGCTCTCATATTCAACCATGGAGGCACCTGGATATACGTGAGGACCATTGATAACAAGTTGGCGCATTTCATGGAAATTTGCCGCGGTTACAGGCTCTGGGAATGTCAGCTTCCTGGCAAATACAGGTGGGATGCCAATTTCGTTTGGTTCGATGTTAACATCGGGGGAGATGACAGATCGGGCGGCATAGTTTACTCGCTTTCCCTGCGTACCGAGCGGGACTTAAGAACGGGAAAATACTAAAAAGCAAGGAACACACCATCATATGCTTCCTAAAAAGACCCTCTTTCTTTTCCAGACCTTGCTTCACACCAGCTGGAGGTAACTTGCCCTGACGCACAATTTGAGGGTTTTTGCTGCTATCCATATAGCTGTTGACATCGATCTGAAGTTGAACCAACCGGTCGAGAAGCGCCGACATGATTGTTTTCCGAGCGGCCTCGTCATAGTTAGGACCCTTCTGCGATGCTTCCCGAAGGCTAACGCTCATATCTCGCATGCGATATGATGTCTGCAAAACCTTGGCAAGCAATTCGTTTTGAGGATGCTCGAAGAGAGTGTCGGCCATCTTCGCTGGGGGTCTGAAACGCGTGGGTGATACAGGAATTACCTCCATGAAAAACATGTCCGCAGATGCAAACGAGATCTGGTCGGGAGAAAGTGGTGCAAATGCACCATGTCGCCCAAATATCAGGGCGCACATGATAGCCTCATTATGGAACAGCCGTCGCAGATGCGCGCGGCATTCCTCCGGAGCCATAACACGTTCGTTGCGCCCTCGTTTCGACTTGATTCTGCCGTTTGCAGCCTTGGGGAGTGAATCTGCTGCCTTCTTTTCCGCGTCACTCATGACATCTTCTCCTTCACCTTCCTCATCTTCATCCCAGTCTCCATCTCCATCTTCCTTTTCCGATCCCATTTCGGCATCTTCCCCAGCAGCTGGCAGCTTTCGGGAGTTGGAAAGAAGGGGGAATAACCCAGCTTTCTCTGCGAGAAGGACATCGGGTCTCTTTCGAGTTAACTGACCCTTTTGACGTGCAGAAAGGTCATATTCAATTATCTTGATATGTCCTTCCTTTCGGTACGTATACGCCACACTGCTCCCAAGGTCAGGATAGAATGAAAGAATATTTTTAGACTCACGATCCACAATCACTGTTTTGGCACTTCTTGGTTATGCAGGTCTTCAAGAAATCATTGATTGCGTCCTTTCTCGCTTGGTATATGGGTGCGTCTTTGTAGGAATCGCGTGTGTTCTTGGGAGACCTTGCGAGGTGGACCGCAACATAGAGGTTTATTCTTGCAATGAATTCATGGGGGGTTTCATCCGGTTGACCATGCATATCTTCCTCAGGAAAGGCGTCGTCATCTCCTTGATCACCATCCTTCGCCCTTCTGCGACGAACGCGCAATCTGATATCGTCGATGCCTTGGGCAGCTTCCAAAAGTCCTCGTTCCAATAAGCGAAGTTTGGCTAGATATTTCCAGAGCTGTAGTGAACATCAAGAAACTGAAATTCGGTGTAGAC